GGCTGCAGGATGCTAGGGTCACGTGACTGCCACTTGTGGCCGTCCCAGCCGTCTTCTGATTAGCCAAATCAATGGATTCGCTTCGCGACTGCGTGCTTCACTAACAACTGCAGGGATCCACTTTACAACCGTGGCGAAAAGCGTCCTCATTTTATCAACCTCAGAAGGATGCGAGTCTGGGTCTAGCTTGGGATCCCCCCAATCATTTCGGGTCTCTTCTGCTTTTTCTGATCTCTCCAGGGAACGGCACAAGGGGAGCTTTTCGTCGACGATGGACACACGTATAATTTTGAGACGAAAGGACAGTATCTGCATCGCCTCTTCCGTTTCTCCGGCAACGTGCTGACGGCCAGGTACCCAGTCTAGTTGTTTTTTTCCTTCCTCTTCCTCTTCTCCCTCTCCTAAATCATCCAGCACCCCCTTTTTTCTTCTTGCTGAATCCCCCCCCCCCAATTTTTATTTCAGTACGGCAGATCCAAAAGGCAGCTTTGAAACTCCGGCCTGGATTGAACGGGTGGTGATCCTCGGGGCAGGCAAACCGGGAGCGGTCTTTCTCAAACAAGAGGGTGAGTTGGTGGAAGGGGCGAAAGTTAACACCACGTTGACTATTTCCTTTTGGATGGAAGTAGTAAATGATTTCTTGGAGGGAAGCAAATCAAGGAGAGGAGCAACCTAGAACGAAAGAGGAATTTCCCGACGCTGAGGACAATTTAACCCGTGGAACGGAAGTTGCCTCCGGAAGTTGTGGGTGCTCCAACATTGGAGGTTTTTAAGAAGAGACTGGGGTCTCCTGCTTGAGCAGGGGGTTGGACTAGATGACCTCTGAGGTCCTTTCCAACTCTTGTTATTCTGTGTTTCAGTAAAGGTCTCCTGCTTGAGCAGGGGGTTGGACTAGATGACCTCCGAGGTCCCATCCGACTCTGTTATTCTTTTCATGGGGCAAAGACGGAAATGAGGAGCGAATTTTGGCACACCACCAGTCCTTACTCCGATCCTGATAGCACGTGGTCCCCGAACTAGGGGGTTGGACTAGATGACCTCTCAGGTCCCTTGGAGTGTGTTATTCTTATTCTGGCTGAGACTTAAGAGTCTTCCTCTCTTCTCTCTTCCCCCCCCCCACCTTTCCACCTCCCATCGTCCAGGAGCCGACGAGACCCGCCTGGATTTCAGCCACGAAGCCGAAACCTCCGTTTTAACCATCCGCAAGCCTGCCATGAGCGTCGGAGAAGACTGGAGCATCTCGCTACGATAATGGCGGGGGGCGGGGGAGACAAGAATTAGCTGGGCAGAGGGGCAGGGGGATATTTGGAGGAGGGGGTGGGGGGTGGGGGTCGAAGATCCTAGTCCCAATCCATGGGGCAGGTAGATCTGGACATGCCCCACTGCCACTGTATCTATAGTCCGTGTCCCAGTTCAGAAGGCATGAGGAGTATCTTTCCTTTCTCTGCTCTTGTTATCCTTCTCTTCCTCTCTTTCCTTCCTTCCTTCCTTCCTTCCTTCCTTCCCGCTCTCCTCTTTTTCCTTCCCTCTATTCCTTCCTTCCTTCATTCCACTATCTCTTCTCTTCTTCCCTCTGTTCGTTTCTTTCTTCCACCTTTCCTTTCTTCTTCCCTCCCTTTCCTTTCTCCCATCTTTTTCCTTTCTCCTTCCCTCTCTTCTTTCTTCATTCTTCCCTTCCCTCTTTCCTCCCTCCCTGTCTGCCCGGTGTCTGTATTCCTTCCTCCCTCCCTCCAACTTTTAGCAATATTTGCTGTAAAATTGAGGACTCTCCTGGCGACGCTGGATTGCAACTCGTTTCCCCTCTGGGGACTGGTGGCCAACACCCCCCTGCCCCCCCCAACTATCTCCCCCTCCCCATTATTTTTCTGGATAATGCAAACCTGGGTTGCCTCTTTCCAAAGCTGGTGGTCCTGACTCTCTGCACCACCACCCCCGTTTTCCCCTTCTCTCTGCCCACTTATTCTGGCTGAAGTTTTCAATCGGTTCCTGGACCAATTATGGGGGGGGGGACCCAAACAGCAATCCAATTGTAGTTGGCAAGGACTGCTTTTTAAACCCATTTTCTCGCCAGCTGGTGAATGTACTAAAACCTTTTGTTTTTCTCCACCATCCCCGTATTTAAACCTCTTGCAGTTTGCAAGAACTTGTGTACCACAAAACGTCGGCCTAATTCCTGCCCTTCCCAAGAGGATCCCCTTGCTAAATCCCCCCCCCCTTTTGTTTCAGAGAGGGGGTTACCTCTGTTTCTAAGGGAGGGAGGTGACCTAGGTGTCAGTGAATCACTGTCGCTTCTATTTATGGCTATTTTTATTTTTTGGTGGGGAGGGCAGATCAGACAGATCATGTGAAGATAAAAGGGGGGATGTTGTTGTTGTTGTTAGGAACCAGGCTTAGACTTGTGAGCAAGTGGAAATGACTGTCCTGCATAGGGATCAAGGAAAAATGAGGTGGTGGCATAAGCTGCTGTAGAAGCAGCCCCTTCCTTGCAGGAAACAGAAAAACAGGGGGTCCATCTTCCTGGGAGAGGGGCTAGAATTTTTCCTTGTAGCTGCTCTGCCTCATTTCTCTCATTCCTGCCTCCGGGCTTCGCTCCTACCAACAAGCCAAAAGCTTTCGTTTTGTGGTTTTTTTTAATTATCCCTAAGTGTCTGTGTTGATTAACATTCCTGATTTTGGCGGATTTCTCCCTTTACATGTTTACAGGCAAAAAAAAAGAAAAAAAAGGCACGGAGCAGGGCTTTTAGAGAAAAAAAAATCCCTTAACACATACACACACACACACACCCCAAAATCTTTTCTTATCCCTTCCTGATTGCCATGACATCCGCAGGTAAAGCTTTTACCGACTTGAGTGTTTTGATAAAAAGATGGAAAATGAAAAAATAAAAATGCCGTAAAGTCTCGCCGTTGTGATTTGAACTAACCTGGAGGCTACTTTGATGTTAAAAGAAAAACGGATCAAACGCTTCTTTTTCTGGCAAAGCACTTGCTTCAAGGCTCTTGGTAAAAAAATACCAGATTTTGCTGGGAAAGGAAGGGGGAAAAAAACACTTTACAATGGTCTTCCTTTGAGAACTTATTGCTATTATTATTACACTAGTTACTTTCCTACGAAATCATAGTGAGCAGTCCTTAAGATTTTTTTTAAAATTCATTTTCATTCCTTCTTTAACAGAAAGTGATTTCAAGGAAGCTAAGGCACTTTTTAAAATTTAAACTTTATTCTCTTTAAAAAAAAAACAAACCTTTGCTGCAATGCCCTTTCCTTGAGAATTTATTCCTGTTGCTATTCCATTAGTGTATGAGGTTACTTTCCAATGAAATTGTAGCGAGCAATTCTTTTTAAAGATTTGTTTTAAAAAACATTTTTATTCTTTTTGTAGCCCTTTTCCCAAAAGGGCCACTAGTATCCCCCCCCCTCCTCCACAGTTATAGATAAAATGATAGAATGATTGATATAGATTAGATAACCTTTGTCATTTTTTCCTGTGGGCACAATGGCAGACATTAAAAATGAAATTCAGTTGCTTCTTCTCAAAGTGTACATATAGATGTGTGTGTGTGTCAGTGTTAGGTTTCAAATATGTAAACAATTGGTTCTTTGTGTGGATGCTGCTTCTGGAAATCCATTCTGGGCCTGGGCAACGAAAAATTAGCTGCCGGTTCTGCCGAAGTGGTGTGAACTGGCTAAATCCCACCACTGGAGTGTGTGTGTGTGTGTAGATAGAATGATAGATATTTGGATAGAATGATTGATAGATTAGAGATTGATGGGTTGATATAGAATATATCGATAGAATGATAGAATATACAGATAGAATGATTGATAGAATGATAGGATTGAATGGTAGATAGAAAGATAGATGGGTAGGTTGGTAGGTAGGTAGATAGATAGATAGATAGATAACCTTTGTCATTTTTTTACTGTGGGCATGTTGGCACCCATTAAAAATGAAATTCTGTTGCTCTCAAAAGTAGCACACATACAACAAAACAAAACAAGTGTTGAAGTCCACAAGTCATAAAAGGGCCAAGTTGAAGATCCCTGATCTAGAGACAATTCTGTGGCTTTTCTTGACATCCCCTATGGCTCCCCTTTTTCTCCCACTGCTTTCATGAGTTCAGGGTGCCTCTTTCTCTTTTAATACACTTAAGTAGAGCCTAACAGGGTCGTTGTCTAAGCTGCCTGGCAAGATGTGTCTTTTTTTCAGGAGGCAATTGGACTTTCTTGTTTCCCTTTGAAGACGTTTCGCTTCTCATCCAAGAAGCTTCTTCAGCTCTGCTTCATCCCGCTCTGGTGGGCTCCATCCCTTTCTGTTGAGATGCCTGCCTCTCTCACACACAAATCCACTCGCTGGTCGGCTCCCCCTGGCCGCTCTATCCGACTGACTCCTCTGCTCGGCTTCTCGCGTGCGTCTCTCTCAACCTCTCCGCTGCACGGCTCCCCTGGCCTCTCTATCCGTCCCACTCATCTGCTCGGCTTCTGGTGCGCTTCTGTTTTACGTGCCCCTCTGTCCCCTCGCCGCTCGTCTTCTCAGCCTCTCTCTTCCGCGCGTCTTTTTTTCCCGCCTCTTTTTGAATCCCTCCTCTCGCGCCCCGCCCCCAAACCCAAAATGTATGGACGGGTATTCTATTTTGAACTGGCGGGCGGGGCGTGTTCTGAGGCAAACCGATGAGGCCGGAAGTTGTTCCGGGACCCCGGATTGGCGACGGAGGCCGAAGGAGTACGAAAACGGACGGACCGGAAGTGGCCTGACGGGCGAGCAGGAGGGCGGGGGAAAGAAAGCGCGGACCCCCAAATCAGATGGAAGGGCTTTGACGAGCTGAGGAGAAAGGCCGCCACTTCCTCCTTCGCCCTCGGAGGCGGCAACCGCGAGCGGTGAGCTTAGGCCTTGGCTCCATTGCCATGGTAACGGTGTTACACCGTCTCCCCGCCGTCCTTTCCGCGGCCGCCGTCAGGCTGTGGAACCTCGGGGGTGCGACATAACTGCGCCTGCGCAGATGGGTGGAACGACAGAGGGGAGATGCTTTCCCCAACCTGGCGCGCTCCTTGATACTCCGACCTGCCATGCCCCCCCCCCCAAAAAAAGTCAGACGGTAGAGGATGATGGGTTCTATACCAGTGCATTTAGAGGTGGACAGGTCGGGGACAGCCGCTTCGCATCTCTCTTGGAGGCTGAAGAGCGGATGATGGGTGTTGTAGTGCAGCACCCCTGACTCTTGGATGCAAGAGGTGGGTGGGCGGATGATGGGCCTTGTAGTCTCTCCCGAGAAGGTGCAGAGTGAGGCAAGAGCTACCTCAGAGTACAGTAGGAGGAGGTGGCTGGAAGTGACGTGAGGTTCTGGATGAAGGAAAGCGGGTCTGGGGATGATGGGAGCTATAGTAGCACAGCAGGCCTTTATGGGACACCCTGTGGCAGGTTACCTGGAAGAGTATTAAGCAAGGGGAGGAAAAAAATGGAATTTTTTTTTTTAGAAAGAAGCAGGATACGGTGCTAGAAATTTATTTTTATTTCATATATCTTAACTATATGCCTCAAAGAGGGGCTACGGATGGTGCATGATAACTGTAACAGAGAAATTAAAAATGCCTGAAATGAACCTCAAAATTAGGGTTTAAAAAATTTCAATTGTAGAATAATGACAGTTTTATTAATGTAAACCACCCAGAGTTAACCGTAGGAAAATGGGAGGCCGATATCCAGACCTGGTTTTAACAAATGGCATTTTGCCTCTCTCTCTCTCTCTCCTTAGGCTGTGCCATGAAGGTGAAATTAAAAAATGTTTTTGTCGTCTATTTCCTGGTGTCAGTGACTGGCCTCATGTACGCCTTGCTGCAGTTGGGTGAGTATCAGAATTGGGATCAAGAATGTGTCTCTCCTTGCCAACAGGATAGATAAAAGTCTGGGCTTGTATAGGTAATCCTTGACTTACAACCTAACTGAGCCCAACATTTCCATTGCCAAGCAAGATGGTCCTTAAGCAAGTTTTGCCCCCTTTACAACCTTGCTTGTCACCCTTGTTAAGTCAATCACTGCAGTTGTTGCCAAGGGCCTGAATTTTCTTCACGTGACCATGGGGATGCTACCACGGTCATAAATGCGAAAATCGGTCGTAAGTCACTAGTTCCAGTGCTGCTTAAGACCTGGCTTTTCCGGCAGGCCTGGGGTTTATAAAATCTGACCCCTGGATGAATGTTATTGTATTGTTTGTTTTGTTAAGTTATGTTGTGTTTTTATTGTTAGCCGCCCGGAGTCCTGCGGGAGTGGGGTGGTCTATAAATTTTAATAAATAAATAAATAGTAATTTCAAATGAATCACTAAACGAATTATTGTAAGTCCAGAGTCTCTTTGAAACGAGATGGAGGCAAATAAATTTAACAATAACCCCATGGTGAGATGGACGGCAAATAAATGGGATGGATGGATGGGTAAATATTTCAATCAGAATAGAGCTGGAAGGGACCTTGGAGGTTTTCTAGTCCAACCCCCTGGTCAAGCAGGAGACCCTACACCATTTCAGACAAGCGGCTGTCCAGTCTTTTCTTAAAAAACCTCCAACTTGAGGCAAGCCTTTCCACTGGTTAATTGTTCTTATTATTAGGAATTTTTTTCCTTATTTCTAGGTTGGATCTCTCCTTGCTTAGGTTCCATCCATTATGGTACTTCAGAAAATAAGTTGATCCCCCTTCTCTTTTTTGTGGCAGCCCCTCAAATACTGCAATGCAGCTATTATGTCACACTTGGTCCTTCTTTTCTCTAGACTGGCCCTGCCAAATTCCTGCAACCGTTCTTCATAATTTTTTTTAGTCTCCAGGCCCTTAATCGTCTTTAGTTGCTTTAATACTGTGGTTCTCAACCTTTTTAATGCCACGACCCCCAACCGGTCGTAAGTTGAGGACTACTCAACCGGTCGTAAGTCGAGGACTACTCAACTGGTGCAGCACCGTTTGCAGACTGGGACTTTTGGCGGGCTCAGCAGGGCAGAGACAGCCTGGACAATTCCTATGGGCTTTTGAAAGCCAATAGAATTAGACTCTATTCAAGAGAGTCTATTCTATTGGCTTTCGAAAGCCAATAGAATAAAAGGGAGTAGCACGCTAAGGAAAAGGGGGGAAAAAATGGCGGACTGCGTTGTTTGGCAACCCCCATGAAATGGTCGTTCGACCCCAAATGGGGTCCCGACCCACAGGTGGAGAACCACTGCTTTAATAAATCTTAGTTTATCTTAGTTGCTATAATAAATAATAAAAGGGGGAAAAAAAGGGATTACATGTATAGACTTGGGAAATGCAAAAGAGAGGAAGGAGCGGCTTCACAGTGCAGGCTTCCTTTTGTCTGGCTGTAGGGCAGCCCTGTGATTGCAGCCAACACCTGAAGGCTGCTAGCGACCTCATCCACGCCAAGGAGAAGCGCCTGTCCCAGTTGCAAAGAGAAGTGAAGCGGCTGCAGGGCCTGGAAAAGGTGCTGGGACCGATAGAAGACACACCGGTGGTCATCTATGTGGTCACGCCCACCTATGCCAGGTAGGCGACGGAACTTCCTAGAGGATGATGCTGAGCCTGATTCCAAAAATCAATGCCTCTTGGAATTGTTTGGCCCTCTTGCTCCTGTTTCCGATCTCCAGTGATGTCATTTCTGCCCGTATTGTGGAATCTTCTCCCTCCAGAGAGAAGTTTGACCTCATTACTCCTCAGCTTCCGAAGATCCCTCGAGCCTTGCTTATGCCAGCAGGCCAGGGGACTCCGGGGGACAGGTGAACTCGTGTGATGGCTCCCTTAGTATCAGCGTTCCTCCGTCTCTCATTCTCCTTTCCTGGTTTAGCTTTGCTGTTAAAACTTTTGAACAATTATTATATAATGGTTTTCAGTAAGGATTGCCTTATTTACTGTTTTAATGGAAGATAGATAGATAGATAGATAGATAGATAGATAGATAGATAAACAGATAGACAGACAGACAATTATATAATGGTTTTCAGCAAGGATTGCCTTATTTACTGTTTTAATGGAAGACAGAGAGAGAGAGAGAGATAAACAGATAGACAGACAGACAGACAGACAGAAAATTATATAATGGTTTTCAGTAAGGATTGCCTTATTTACTGTTTTAATGGAAGATAGATAGATAGAGAGACAGACAGACAATTATATAATGGTTTTCAGTAAGGATTGTCTCATTTACTGTTTTAATGGAAGATAGATAAACAGACAGACAGATAGAGTATATAGTGGTTTTCAGTAAGGATTGTCATTAATTTACTGTTTTAATGGAGGATGGATGGATGGATAGAAGGAAGAAAGGAAGACATAGAGGAGGGAGGGAGAAAGGGGAGAAGGAAAGAAAGAGGGAGGGGAGGGAGGAAGGAAAACAGGGACAGAGGAAGGAAAGAAGGATTCTAGTCCTCATTCTAAGCAAATGACTAGCGCTTGAGGGAGGGAGGGAGGAAGTAAAGAGGGATTGAGGGAGGAGAGAGGAGCGATGGAGAGAAACAGAGAAAGAAAAGAAAAAAAAATACTCTCTGTTGTTTGACACAAGGACCTCACATAACCACTCGATCGCTCCTTCCTGCTTTGCAGGCTGGTTCAGAAAGCCGAACTGGTCCGGCTCTCCCAGACGTTGATGCACGTCAAAAACCTGCACTGGATCGTGGTGGAGGACTCGCCCCGCCGGACCCAGCTAGTCTCCGAGTTGCTGGCCCAAAGTAAGCTGCCTTTCACCCACCTCCATGCTGAGACCCCCAAGGAGCACCAGCGGAAGGAGACTGACCCCAACTGGCTGAAGCCACGCGGAGTAGAGCAACGGAATTTGGCCCTGCAGTGGCTGCGCCAGCATCGCAAGCTGACCGACGCCGGCGTGGTGTACTTTGCGGACGACGACAACACCTACAGCCTCCGCCTCTTTGACGAGGTCAGCAAATATGCTGACTCTGTAAACCGCTTAGAGAGGGCTGTAAAGCACTATGAAGCGGTATATAAGTCTAGGACTATTGTTATAAATACATGCCCATTGCCAAGTATCCTAACTTTTTATATATGTGTGTGTGTGTGTGTGTGTGTGTGTGTGTGTGTGTGTGTTTTATTAATTTTTATAGGATTAGGGTAAGGGTTAAATTTTTTTAAAAATAACATTCTTAATATTTAGCAAACAGCATGTTGTTTGGGTTCATGTATTTAAAAAAAATGAGTAATAATTTCTATATTACCAATATGTTAGTTAATCGCTCAGAAGCCTTCTTACTAGTATATATTCAACGTTACATAGTACATATTATGTTCCTTTCTCTCTAACTCGTTTTTCTAGCCATTGATAAAAATTGTCCCACGTTCTAAAGCACACTGAGACTTCTTTCTCTTTTTTCTTTAATGTTACTCTGTCACCAAGTGTCCCAGGTTTTGATCCCATGACCCTGAGGATGCTGCAGGAGTCGTAAGAGCGAGCACCATATTAACGGCAGCAAGAATGGTATTTGCCCAACACTGGAAAAATGAAAACTTACCAGCTGAAGAAGTACTAATTAAGAAAATTCTAGGGTGTGCAGAAATGGATAGATTTTTAAAGATGAAGGAGAAAGAAGATTCAGTGTACTTTAGAACAGGGGAAATTTTTTTATCAATGGCTAGAAAAACGAGTCAGAGAGAAAGGAACGTGATACGTAATTTTGAACTTATATTAGTAAGAAGGCTGTTGAGTGATGAATTAACATATTGTTTATGATAATTAGCTATATCTATTATTGTTAAATATATCTATCCAGACATTATGCTGTTTGCTAAATACTGAAAATGTTATTTGGAAAAACCCCAACCCTAACCCCGACCCTTCCTTACCCCTAAACTATAAAAACTAATAAAATCTATACCCCCCCCCAAAAGAAAAAAGAGTGAGCACCGGTCGTAATTTTTTCAGGCCCAGTGTAACTTTGAACGGTTGCTAAATGAACGGTTGTAAGCCAAGGAGTTTGAGAAGGCTCTTTAGAGCCGTTGCGGGTTCAGGATCCTGCAATCAAAAGAGGCAAACCCACTATTGGGAAGAGTTACGGTTTAACCATTAAGCTCTGGTTAAGGAAGGAGGCAAAGACTGTCGCGCTGAAGTTCTTCTGCTGATTTTCTCTTCCCGACAGATCCGTTCCACCAAGAGGGTCTCGGTCTGGCCCGTCGGCCTGGTGGGAGGCCTCCGTTTCGAGCGGCCCCTGGTGGAAAAGGGCAAAGTGGCCGGCTTCTACACGGCATGGAAGCCCAACAGGCCCTTCCCCGTTGACATGGCGGGCTTCGCCGTGGCCCTGTCGCTGCTGCTGGCCAACCCGGAGGCACGCTTCGACTTGCTGGCCGAGCGGGGCTACTTGGAGAGCAGCCTGCTGCAGTCCCTGGTCTCCATGGAGGAGCTGGAGCCGAAGGCGGACAACTGCACCAAGGTTAGAAGGAGAGGACGGCCTTCCCAGCTGGCAAAGTCAGTTGGGGAAAGCCAGGATTCGGTTAATGGCCATCTGGTTCCCTTAAAACAGCGGTTCTCAACCTATGGGTCACGACCCCATTTGGGGTTGATCGACCATTTCACGGGGGTTGCCAAGCAAGGCTGTCCGCCATTTTTTTTCACCTTTTCCGGCGGGTGCCTTACCTCCCTTGGGCTGGTGGCCCAGCTGGTGGTCAGCCTGCTCCGTCTCTTCCGCTTGCCAGCTATGCCTCGGCCGGTGCAGGGGACGGCACCACGCATGTGTGGTGCTCCCGGGCAGGGAAAGTCCTCGACTTACGACCGGTTGGGTAGTCCTCGACTTACGACCGGTTTAGTCCTCGACTTACGACCGGTTTAGTCCTCGACTTACGACCGGTTGGGGGTCGCGGCATTAAAAAGGTTGAGAACCACTGCCTTAAAACAACTGTAAAGCACCAAGGACCTCCCTAACTGCCTTGCTTATCAACGAACCTTCTGCCCCCCAGTAGTGGTCATCAATTGAGGACTACCTGTAGACCGATCCTCAGGCAGTGAGGAAGCACCATCCCCGTCTCTCTTTCAGGTCCTCGTCTGGCACACCCGCACCGAGAAGCCTAAGATGAAACAGGAGGAGCTCTTACAGAAGCAGGGACTCGGCTCCGATCCCCACATCGAGGTGTGAGACCAGCTCCCATCCAGGTACCACAATGGGGGTGGACATCTTTGCCGGGCTGGAGAGCCCACCCCAGGCTGGAATGGGATTGCCTTGTATAGTTAGAGAGAGAACACATTAATTTATGAAGGCTGAATCCTGCGCTCACCCAAGCTCTCTTTGTGTGATGGGGCCGATGGCCAGGACGCTGCCTTACAGGAAGAGAACTCTATGACCCAATATTTAAATAAATCTGGATGGGGAAAATGGTTCCCCGGTCCTGGGGAGGGGCTGGGTCCTGTCCCACTTGCTGTGTGCGTCTCTTAGTGTTGTCCTGAAGGCTGCTCTGATAATATGCATGGGAACCTTAACAATCCTTCTGTCGAGTTTCATAGATTCCCCCCCCCCCCAAGACTCTTGTAACAAATCTTTTAACAAACCAGGATTGGCCAATTCACATTTTCTTGGGTCTCTCCTATCTCCTGCGGTGGGAAAAGGCAGTTTTTGCCCATTTCAGACTTCTGGACTTCAACTCCCAGAATTCCCCATCCAGCACGCTTTAAGATATGTGGACTTCCACTCCCAGAATTCCTCATCCAGGATACTTTGAGACGACTAGACTACAACTCCCAGAATTCCCCAGCCAGCTTGCATGGAATTGACTACAACTCCCCAAATTTTCCAGCCAGCATTCTTCAAGGTATCTGGACTTCAATTCCCATTTAACTTTATTTAATTTCTTTACTAAAATAAAATAAAAATTGCAGGGGGCCATTCTGGGACTTGAAGTTCACACCCCTTAAAGCATGCTGGGGCTGGGGAATTCTGGGAGTTGTAGTCAAGGAGTCCACCCGCTTTTTATATTGCCGAGGCTGAAAAACACCGCTTTAAAGCATACTCTGTAATGGTTTAATTTCGGGTACAGGGATGGGCGAATTCAACCTAAGATGGTTCTTTAGCAAACCGGGGTTTATCCGGATTTGGGAAAACCTTACCAAATTTTGTCCTTTTTGCCTACGTTTGGGGGGAAATCACGCTGCTTTCCGCACGCTGCCATATTTTACTTTGATCGTGTTTGCTGTTGGGGTGGCAAACAAATAGATTTGTGACATCGCCTATCTAGTTTGCCTCCATCTTTGCTGCGTCCGAACCCGTTTTGTTTCTCGGACGCGCCTGGAATTACCCAATCACGGTGAGGTCTACCCGCTTGGAAAACGAACGTAGGAATGAGAATCTCCAATCTGGGGAGGGGTTTAAATCCTCAGTTTGCCCCAGCTTGATTGGCACCAGAAGAGACTCACTAAGTGATCGAAGAACAGTGAAGCTGAATTTCTTAGCCTGGTGCTGGCCTTCCTCAAATAAATGCGCTCATCGCTTTCCCACACCCAGTTTTTACAACCTTTAACGCTGAGCTAAGGACTTCCAGCAACGAGGTGTGTCTTTGCAACACACTCCGGCCTCACCCAAAACTTTCTCAACACAAAGAGTGTCGCTGTGGACACATATTTCAGGAGCCAGATTCGTTTTTTTCAGCGATGACTGAAGGAAGGGATACAATCCTGGCAGTCTCTTACTTACAACAGGTCCACATTTAGTGACCGTTCACAGCTACAGCGGCACTGAAAAAAGGGACTTAGCACAGTTTTCCACCCTTATGCCGTGGTCACGTGATCAAAATTCAGAAGCTTGGCAACTGACTCGTCTTTACGACGGTCGCAGTGTCCCGGGGTCACGAGATCCCCTTTTGCGACTTGACAAACAAAGTCAACGGCGAAGCCGCTTAACAATCCTGTGACTAAGTTAACAACCAGAGTGAATCTCTTATCAACTGTAGCAAGAAAGGTCATAAAATGGAGCAAAAGCGACTTAACAACTGTCTGGCTTAGCAACAGAAACTTTGGTCATAAGTTGAGGCACCCTCTGCATTGGCCATTGTTTATCCCCTTACGCCCTGATCAACCTCCTCAGCCTGGTGCTAAGCCACAATTCACAACGCTGGAATGGCTGACTTTACCTCGCGTCCTCAACCGTCGTGTCCTCCCTTAACGCACGGAGCGTAACCCGATCGTGGTTTTTAAACCGCAATTCATGGCTTAGCGTAGGGCTGCGGCCCTCGCCCATATTTGCTTGAGTGGAAAAGCAGAGCAGAAATTCAATAAATCATGTCGTAAGCTTTTGGCTGCCGGTGATTTATTTCAAGGGTTTGTTTATTCAAGATTGCCTGGATGTTGGAAGCCACAATATTTGGGAGTCGTGAAGGATGGGTTCACACGCTAAGCCAGGGTGAGTTTGGCTTCACAGGTTGTGTGAATGTTGTTACTTGTGGCCGATGGCATAAAACAGGCAAAACTATAGCCCAGGTGAGTCGGGAGACTTTTTTCAACCTGAGCAGATAATCGGTGGCTTCTTAGAAGTTTCTGCAAATGGGATCTGAGCAAGGGGATCCGCGTGTGATCAAGGAAGTTGCCGAATCTTGGCCGAAACAGACCAGCCAGGAAGAGTTTGGGGCTTTCTGGCAAGAGATCAACTGAGCATGAAATCGAAAATTGGTTGAAATTGAAAATGGTTGGGCCAGTCCTACCTTGCCGTGCTATTGTTCCTTGGAAGCAGCTGTTTCCCCCACCTGCAAAACGACAGTCACGAACCGGGTTGACTAGCCAAGAAATGTAGCTTATCTGGATAATGGCTTTCCCCCAGATTTCCGCCTTTGACCCCCTCTGGAGAATAAGACAATGCTGCCATCCTTTGCTTTTGTAAAAAAAACTGCCAGCGCTAGAGAACAGGCTAGCAAAAGGCAAGAGGTTTTAAAACTCTGCTGTCAGCATTCTAGTCCTCAAGGAGAACTCCAGATGTTGTGCCAGTACAGTCAGAGGAGGCGGGGAATAATTATGCAGCCACATCTGGAAGCTGTAGATCTTTTCTCCCGAATCCTGGCATCCCTTCCTGCTAAAGAGACTAGGCGCAGGGGTCTTCAAACTTGGCCCTTTGATGACTTGTGGACTTCAACTCCCAGAATTCCTCAGCCAGAGACCCCCGCTTTCCCTTGCCCCGAAACCATTCCCAACCTTTGCTCCCCTTTGGGCCCATCTCGTGTGCCCCGCCTGCAATCTTCTTTTTATTACCTTCCTTACACAGTTTGTTTAGATATACATATTTTAAAGTGTTTTGATAGTTGGGACATGGTTTTCATTATTGACTGTATGCCAGCCAGAGTCTTGTTTAGTGGGATGGGTGGCTGTCTAAATGTGAGAGAGAGGGGGGCGAGGGAGAAGGGGGGAGGAAGGAAGGATGGAAGGAAAGAAAAGATCAGGAAGGAAGGAATAGATGGGAGGGAAGGAAGGAAGGAAGGAAGGAAAAGACCGGGAAAGAATAGATGGAAGGGAAGGAAGCCTAGAAAAAGAAGGAAAGAATGAAGAGGAGAAAGGGAAGGAAGGAAAAGGGAAGAAGGAGAAGAAGAAATAGATGGGAGGGAAGGAAGCAGAGAAAAAGAAGGAAAGGAAGGAAGGAAAAGACCAGGAAAGGATAGACGGAAGGGAAGGAAGCCGAGAAAAAGAAGGAAAGCATGAAGAGGGAAGAGGGAAGGAAGGAAGGAAAAGGGAAGAAGGAATAGATGGGAGGGAAGGAAGCAAAGAAAGAGAAGAAAAGAGAGAGGAAAAGAAGGAGAAGGAAGGAAAAGATCAGGAAGGAATAGGAAGCCGAGAAAAGGAAGGAAGGAGAGAAAAAGGAAACGAAGGAAGAAGGAAGGAGAAGGGAAGGAAGGAAGAAAAATCAGGAAGGAATAGGAAGCCGAGAAAAGGGAAGGAAGGAAAAGGGGAGAAGGGAAGGAAAGAAGGAATAGACGGAAGGGAAGGAAGGAAAAGGGGAGGAAAGAAGGAAACAGACGGAAGGGACCTACATCCCCCGGCGTCCAGAGCTAGGGCTCCACGATTCCGCCTCCTCCGCTGCTGCCACCGCCGCCGCTGCGGCTTCTCCTGCCCGCCCGGGAGGGGAGGGCCACCCGCCCACTGGCTTCCTGGGGGAGGCGGGCGCGGCTTCCTCCTCCTCCTCGCGGGCTCCCGTCCATCCTCCCCTGCCGGGCCAGCTGGCAGCAGCGCGGACGCGGGAGAGCGCGGACCAGCCGGGCTGCGCAGCCCCCATGGACGGTGAGAGCTTCGCGGCGCCGCTCCGGGCTGAGCTGCGGCTCCGGCTGCTTTGGGGGGGGGGAGAGACCCTCCCGCACCCCTCCCGAGTCGGGCTGGCTCCGAACATCCCCGCCTCCGTCCGGACGACCCGGGCTGGAGGGGCTTGGCGAGGGACGCCCCCGTCCACACGTACTAGAGAGACACGCGGGCAGAGAGAGAGAGAGAGAAGCGGGGCGTCTGTTGCAACACGCGTCCCTGGCGGGGCAACGGGCAGTCGCTTCCGCGGAAAAGCAGCCGGGCTGGCAAGGATGGGGAAAAGCAAAGAGCGCCCGGTTGGGGAAGACTGGGCGAGGCTGGATTGGGACGTGTAGCGTTGCAAAAGTTGGGGTGCGTGGTTAAAGAGGGTGGGTGCCTGTGTGTGTGTGTGTTTGTGTGTGTGAAGACAGGGGAAGGGGCAGGAAACGGGGGATAAGGGGAGCTGGCAAGGTCTGCCCCGTCCGATTCGGGCACCCGTGACTCAGATAGGGGTGTGTGGTTTGTTTGTTTGTTTGTTTGTGTGGCTGTTTGTTTTTGCAAAGTTGTGGGTCTCGCAGCACACACACACACCCCACACACAGAATCCCAGTCTGGGAGGCTCGTGTGGCAGCTCTCAAGCGGGGTTTTCCTGGGGCAGGAAGTAGCGAGGGCGTTTGTGGCACAACGCGAACCTCTGCCAAGTTTGACAGCCGCAGGGGAGACGACGGTTCTCCAGTTGTGCCTTTTAACACACTTCAGTGGGTGCTTCTCTTTCTCCCCCCCCCCAAAAAAAAACCTCTATTCGCAGGTCGGGAAACCCCCCTCCTTTTTTTCTCCTCTTGCAAGCATGCCCCCATTATTCCCCCGCCCCCCTCTTTTTTTAAGCAGAATTCTCATCCAGATCTACTTCATCCCCAAATTCACAAAAACCCACAATTTATTTTTATTTTTTCTTCTGCCACTTTTCAGGCCCTTCGGGGTTTTTTCTTTTTTTTTTCTTTGAGGTTCTTTTTTTAAAAAATAAAATCAAATCCAGGATCAGTTTTGCATGTCAACATTCTCCTGCTTCTGATAAACTTCCTTCTGAAGCCACATGTTGCAACATCTGGAGGCCCGTCGGGTAGAATGTGGCTGGGCTGGACGCAGCACGGAGTTTAAAAGTACATTTTATAAAAGCCGGAATGACTCCCAAAGGGGCGAATTTAATCTCCGTCTGAAATCTGACTGTCCTTGCTCTTATTTCTTCTTTGCAACTTAAAAAATCAGATTGTGTGTGTGTGTGTTAGTGTGTGCTGAGCTCAGATTTGGCAACCGTTGCGTTTCCGTTCTCACGGCCGGCTGCCTGTTTCCACTGCCTTGTTAAAGAAAAATATTTATTAATTGTTGCGCGTCCATCTGTTTCGGCGGCTCACCTTAATTCAGATTTATCGCAGGGAAATGAAAGGACCACAAACTGCTAAGAATCCATACGGGCTACAAGCCCCAAAATTTATGCTGCTAAGCGAGGCAGTTGATAAGGGAGTTTTGCCTCATTTTACGATTTCGTTTTCCCCCATTGACTTCGGAGGTTGTAAAAGGGGATCACGCAACCCAAAGATGCTGCAGTTGTCATAAATAGGAGCCAGTTGCCAAGAGTCTCAATTGTGATCATGTGACCATGGGGAAGGTGCAACGGTCCTAAGTGTGAAAAAGGGTCCTAAGTGACTTTTTCCCCGGTGCCGTTGTAATTTCAAACGGTCCCTAAAATTATCTGTATTGGGAGGAGTTTTTAAAAAGTTTAACGGCACATCTTTGTAATTTTCTCCTTCCGACTGCTGGGAGGTGATTTTAATAATTAAAAAAGAAAGGGTTTTTTAAAAAAATTGATCGTTTCTTTGGAAGTTGAAACTTCGTACATGAAGTTTGGAGAGCGTTAGCAATTTTCCCGGGCTTCCTCCGAGGTTTATGGAGCCACTGTAATTTCCTGCCCAGATGTGATCTGCAAATCTGAGATAGACAATGATGGCCAGCCACAGAGAAATAACAGTGACGGTTTTTGGGGTGCATTTGTTAAAAGGGGGGGGGCAAGGGAAGGAGAAATTTCCAGCAGAGTTTGCAGAACAGTCTAATGGAAGTGGACAATTTTACAATCAGGAACCACACTTCTTATTACTCAGTTTCAATACAGGTAGTCTTCAACTTAACGACCGCAACCGAGTCCAACATTTATGTTGCTAAGTGAGACCTGCATTAAGTGTTAAGTTTTGGCACGATTGTTAACTGAATCCCTGCATGATTAAATTAGTAGCACGGTTGTTAAGTGAATCTTTGTTTGCCAGAAGGTCACAAAATGGGGATCCCGTAACGCACACACGGGGGATACCGCGACCGTCATAAATGTGATTCAGTTGTCAAGCGCCTGAATTTTGATCATGTGACCTGATGGTTATTAAGTGTGAAAATGGTCATAAGTCGCTTTTTTCTGTGCTGATGTAAGTTTGAACGGTCACTAAATGATTTTGTTAAGTCAAGGACGAGCTATAGTGCATTAAACCATTATTGTTATGGTTTACTGGCTGTGTCTGCTGGAGCCTCACCGCAGCTAAAGCTTGCTTAAGTGAAGCTTATGATAGCTTAATGTCATTTTGTGTTTATGTTTATGTTATGTTATGTATGTTATGTTATGATGTTGTTATGATGTTGTTATCTGATCCCAGGGACTGAATGCCTTCTCCATTTAGCCGGTTTTGGTAGCTGAGATTTTATTTTATTTTATTTTATTGAAAAGGCAGGCAGCGAAGGATAGGATCCTATCAAAACAAAGGATTCAAAACTTGGGACTTTGAAAAACAGTCCACTTTTGACGGGCGAGCTGTCCCAGAATCCATTGCAACATTGTGTGGTTTTTTTTGCAGTAAACAAGTGGCAGCACAAAGGGCTTTCTGAAAAGTGGAAAAGGTTTTTATATTTATATATTTAATAACGCTGGTTAAAAACTTGACGAGGCCGTGTCTGGCTTGGCAGAGTAAACAGGACAAACTGAGATTTTTCTAGGGGATGTTTTCTGTTTACTAAAAATAAACCATTGGTTAAAATAGCTTGTCTTAGTCCTCTTGTGCTGTATAACTGGCCTACCTTGTAGGCTTGTTGTGTAGAACACGGAGAGAACTACAAGCAGCCCTTGGCTTACAGCCATTTTAGGGACCATTTGAAGTTGCAATGGCACTGGAAAAAATAACTTGTGGCTGTTTTTCACACTTATGATCATGTGATCACGTGATGACAATTTGGAAACTTGGCAACTGACTCATACTGATGACGGTCACAGTGTCCCGGGGTCACTGGATCCCCTTGTGCGACTGTCTGTCAAGAAAAATCAGGTTCACGTCACAATCCTGTTACTATTTTAACATCTCCAGCGATTCGTGTAACGACTCTGCCAAAAAAAGGTCGTAAAATGAGGCAAAACTCATTTAACGACGGCCTTGCTTAGCAATGGAACTTCTGGGCTCCTTGCGGTCGTAAGTTGAGGACAACCTGAAAAAGACGGAATAGAAGCTAGATCGCCATTCTGTTTAGGCCCAACTGGGGGATCTGGCCTGTCCATCTAGAACCCAGTTTGTAGATAAATCCTGACATCGGAAAAGAGTCTGCTTTCCTAAAATGAGAGAATATTTGGCTCTTTTTTTCTGCCTTCAACCAAACTACAGAGAATGGTGAGCTCTATAGACATAATTGAGTTTTGTTTTCTTCTCTCTTTGGGGCCACATAGTTTGAATTCCTGACTCTGTCCGCCCCTGGGATAGAAAAAAGTTTCAAACAGAATTAACAAGAAGAGGGGGAAAAAAAAAAGATCTAAGTTTGATTCTTGGGGCCACAGACAAAAATGTACACACTGGTATTTACACGCTGGCAGATTGTGCAATCTTCAATAGACTTGGTGCCTCGATAACATCTCATAGCTTTGCAAATAAATCGATTTTATTGCAAAGGAAGTTTGCAGCATGCAAACCTATCCAGGGGTGTAATTTCCAAAAGAAAGAATACAAATAGAAGAAGAAGAAGAATTTTAGAAATTATAGGTAGCCTTTGACTTATAAACAGTTCGTTCAGTGACTGTTTGAAGTTACAACAGCACTGGAGAAAGTAGACTTCGGACCGTGCTCCACACTTAGGACCGTTTTTCAGCATCCTCCACGGTCACGTGATCAAAATTCAGACAGTTGGCCACTGACTCATACTTACGACGGTTGTAGTGGTCCCCTTTTGCGACCGTCTCACAAACAGTAGGGAATCCAGATTCACTTAACAGCTGGGTCACTAATTTAATAACTGCAGGGATTCACTTAAACCTCCGTGGCAAGGAAAGTCGTAAAACGGGGCAAAATTCGCTTAACAACTTGCCTCGCTTAGCAACTGCGGTCGTAAATTGAGGACCACTCGTCCTAATACAAGAAGAAGAATTTTAGAAATCGCATCCCTGGGATAACGTTTTAAGTCCTCCAGGTTTTTTTGCCAGTCCTGTGCGTACGGTTCCTCCCGCCGAGTGCGTTGGATTCCAGAAGCCATCATCCCCGCCAGCCTGACCAGAAATAGGAGTTGTAGTCCATCAAACCAGAAAAAGTTGACTGGAAGACTCAACACGCTAAAAAATGTGCTAGAACAATAAATAAGGAAACCTTGGTCATTCGCGAAGGAACGGATTCGGTGATGGAAACGGTACGGCATTTTGAGCCAGGCTTCCACAGATTGGTGGGGTAAAAAAATGAGAAATTAAAATATTTGTTTTTCCAAGCCCCATTTTGATTTCCCCCAGTTTTTTTAACGTCTTCTCTGAAATGGGCCCAGCCGCTAGAGCAGAGCGGAACATTTTGTCTGCGGCGTTGTCCCGTATTTCCTTCTTCAAAATACTCCCTGGGATTTGTGGGTACGAGAATGAAATGAAATGTGGCTGGTTTTGTCTCCCCGGCTAGGAGGAAGTTGTTGACTCACCCAGGATGACTGGAAAAACCCAGCCAGACTTGCTTGTGTGACTTTGTGACATCACATACGCAGCTCCGACTTTGCAACGTGCCAAAACGATTTAATTTTGCAACGTACCAAAAACTGCCTTTTCAACTTTGGTACAAAGGACCCTAAAATTACAGCGACTGTATAGAGGTCCTCAACTTACGAGCACAATTGGCTAAACAAAGGAGTTGTTCTGTGACTCAGGTCCATTTTTACGACCTTCTTTGCCACGGCGGTGAAGCCGACGCTAACCGAGTCGTGCGGTCGTTAAGCGAATCTGATCTCCCCCATTGACTTTCGTTGTGGGAACTTTGCAGGTGGCGGTCACACGACTTGGGATGCGGTAACCTTCCCTAAACACGGTGCCAGTTGCCCAACGCCCCAGATTTTGATGGTGTGATGGTTAGACTCTTGTGACAGGTGTAACAGTGAGCACTGACGGAAAGCCACTTTTTTTAGCTGTGCCGTCGTAACTCGGAGCGGTTACGCTAAACGCACGGTCGTTAAGTCAAGGGCTGTTTTCTTGACCCAGCCTGAAAAAGGGGCGCAAATTCAGAAGAGGTTCATAAAAATAAAAAAAAATAAAAAAAATGTAAATGGTTGATGTGTATGGCTTGGCTTTGCAAAGATAAACCTGGCTTTAAAAAAAGGTGTATTCTATTAAAAAAAAATATCTACAAAGCATAAAAAAAACACTAGGAGGTTTTTAGAAGCAAGTATTAAACCAGACTTCTGCCATCAGATTGGACACAAAGGGGGTGGGGGGCTATTTGGACAGTCCAAGGAAAATCACCCCGATAAAGAGTGTAAATGACTTTTGGAGGAAAAAGAAAGAAGGAAGGAAGGAAGGAAGGAAGGAAGGAAGGAAGGAAGGAAGGAAGGAAGGAAGGAAAGAAAGAAAGAAAGAAAGAAAGAAAGAAAGAAAGAAAGAAAGAAAGAAAGAAAGAAAGAAGAAAGAAAGCTTTAGGCTTTTGCAAAAGGCAGGTGATTACTGTAGCTAAAATGGTATTTATTTAGAGGGGAAATGGGCAATTTAACAGCAGTTTAAAAGTTGGAAGCCGAGAGGACGAACAGCAAATGTGGTGCAAGGGAAGATAAAACCTGACGGGTTTTTCCCTCCATGGAAATGTAATTCCGGAGTTGATCATCTTGTCCAAAAATGTCACCCAACGTGTTTGACGGAAGGGTGGGGTACGCCCAGGGTGATGCTTCGGACGGGAATTCGGGAGTTCAAGAAGAAGGTGGGGTAGGTAAGGGGAAAAAAAACAACAACCAGATAACCAGGTACTTAACCTGAATTTATCTAAGCGGGTGAGAATTTCCAGCATCCAGCTTTTTCCTTGTTGAAACTTAGGCAAAACGTAGGAAAAGAAAAAGAGGGGAAAAACCAGGCTGAGATCAGCTGAGATTCTAAGCGGGGAAAGGAGAAGGGGGGGGGAGAAATCTCATGGGCTTTTTTTCTGGACTTTCTTAGCCAATCAGGGAAGGAGAAAAAAAAATTCAGGTTGCCCATCCACACGATGCTGCCAGATTTGAACTCGGGTTCAGCCTTGCAAAGAGCTTGGTTTGTGGCTGATGCCAGCCCTTCAATTCATCATTCAGCGCAGAGCTTCCTTCCTTCCTTCCTTCCTTCCTTCCTTCCTTCCTTCCTTCCTTCCTTCCTTCCTTCCTTCCTTCCTCCCTCCCTCCCTCCCTCCCTCCCTCCCTCCCTCCCTCCCTCATCACTGGAGGTTTTCAAGAAGAGATTGGACAACCGTTTGACTGGAATGGTCTAAGGTTTCCTGCCTGAGCAGGGGGTTGGACTAGATGACCTCCAACATCCCTTCCAACTCTGTTATTCTGCTATTCCTTCCTTCCTTCCTTCCTTCCTTCCTTCCTTCCTTCCTTCCTTCCTTCCTTGTTTTTCTTTTCCTTCTTTCCTTTCCCTTTCTTTCTTTCTTTCTTTCTTTCTTTCTCTTATTTTCTCATTCTCTCTCTCTTTCTCTCAGAAAGGTCACTGAATGAAACGGCTGTTTTTTCCTTTGACAGACATCATCGCAAAGAGAGCTTGTGGGCGACGGACAAACAAACAAAGCCGAGTCTGTTAGCGGGACCTTATTTCTCCTAAAAAGTGCATTGGGTTGCTGGGCTATTTGGCTCAGAAGAATTATTTTATTTTATTTATTTAAAAAAAACCTTTTCACTTTTGTTCCATTGCAACATGCTGGGTATGCGACACAGAAGCTGGCTCGGTCCCCCCAGTCCTGGCAGCCCCAAGTCTGGGTGACCAATTTGGTTCAAATTGTCAAAAGGGTGGGAAGCTTCGGTCGAGAATTCCTGCCAAGTTTTGGCTCGGATTGCCAGTTTTTGCTTTCCTGCTATTTTCTTTTTATCGGATATTCTTGGTCTGCTGTAGTGTGTTTTCCTTGCTTAACGTCCAATTCTGTACCAATTTCCTCACCCTTTGAACAATGGGCTGGCTTGCATCCACACCGGCTTCTAAACACTGTATTTTCAAGTCACGTTTGTCCCTCCGATGACTTAACCACAGTTTACACGGCTAACTCATTTATGTCTGACACCGTACTAAACACGGCCAGGCTAAGGGCGGTCGAGTCATTTAGTAGCTTAGGTCATAAAGTCACAACCAGGTTAGTACCCGCAAGATGGACTTTCTGCAGTTCACATGTGGACAATTTACTGCCTTCTCTCCTTCGTCCTGTCTGCTCCGTGGATGGTGGCATTTGAGGACAGGCCCAGGAATAATTGGAGACATGGTGCTGCAGCTTTGGCAAAAATGTTTGAAATGTATTTGTTTTCTTCAATGAAGTAAAATAAGGATCAGATGGGTGGATGGTTGAACTGTCTCAAATTCCACAAAGTTAGGGTGGGATGGCAACCTGCTAATCCTGGAATGCCAGAAATGGCGTTTCAAGGTTTGTTTGGTTTTGACTTCAGAGAAAACTCTGGCACTTGTGATCTGTTTAGTCCCTCTTGCTGGAAAATGGTGGACTTAGAGACTTCTTTTATAAATGTTGGATGTTGCTCTCGGCACGGGCATCCCTTCGTTATTAACATTGTGATTGTGACTTTATCGCTTGGACGCCTTCCATTTTATTCAGGTTGTCCCGCTTTTTCGCTGGCTGATGGCATGAAGGACATGTCATAAAACAGGGGTCTTCAAATGTGGCCCTTTTATGACTTGTGGACTTCAACTCCCAGAATTCCTCAGCCAATTTGGCCCCTTTATGACTTGCGGACTTCAACTCCCAGAATTCCTCAGCCAGGCACGCGTGCCTGTTTGAGGAATTCTGGGAGTTGAAGTCCACAAGTCATAAAAGGGCCAAGTTTGAAGACACCTGTCATAAAAGGAAAAACAGTCCAGGAGAGAAGAGGTGAACAGCAGCCACAGCAGCTACATTCGATTAGATATTTAGATTTAGATTTTTTTTTTTAAAAAAAATTATGATAGTTTTGCTGTCCATCGCAGTCGTAGGTCATGATGGTCATAAAGCGGGTCAACCAACCCAATTTTATGCCTTTCTTTTAACAATGGTCGTTAAGGAATTCTGGGAGTTGAAGTCCACATAGTTTCTGACCGAGGAATTCTGGGAGTTGAAGTCCACAAATCAAAATTTCTGACTGAGGAATTCTGGGAGTTGAAGTCCACAAGTCATAAACTTGTCAAATTTGGGGACCCAGGTCTAGCCCACCCCTTGGGGCTGATGTTAGCCTTTCTGAATTGGCGTGTGCCCCTCAAAACTCCTGCCAGGATTCTGGGCGATGATTGCAATGCTCTTTCCTTCTTCTCCATCCCAGGTGAGGACCTCTTGAACTGCAACAGTGCCTTCTCTCACCCGGATTGGCTGGTGGACATCGATTCCCGCCTTCGGAGCCAGGAGGAAGAGCTGACCCTGGTGAAGTCGGCCTTAGCCGATGCCCTACGGAGACTCAATGCTTACGATCAGCAGATCCCGTGGCTCAAGCAGCAGCTGCTGGAAGGTGAGATGCTCTAGAGTAGGGATCTACAAACCTGGCAACTTGTGGACTTCAACTCCCAGAATTCTTAAAGTGGCAGGCTGGGTGATTCTAGGAGTTGAAGTCCACAGGTCTTAAAGTTGCAAGCTGGGGGATTCTAGGAGTTGAAGTCCACAGGTCTTAAAGTTGCAAGCTGGGGGATTCTGGGAGTTGACATCCAAAATTCTTAAAGTGGCAGGCTGTAGAATTCTGGGAGTTGAAGTCCACAAGTCTTAATGTTGCAGGCTGGGAGTTGAAGTCCACAAGTCTTAAAGTGGCTGGCTGAGGGATTCTGGGAGTTGAAGTCTACAAGTCTCAAAGTGGCTGCCTGAGGGATTCTGGGAGTTGAAGTCCACAAGTCTCAAAGTGGCAGGCTGGGTGATTCTAGGAGTTGAAGTCCACAAGTCTTACAGTTGCCAAGTTTGGAGACCCCTGCTGTAGTGTCCTGAGTGAATGACCAAGGAGGGCCGTAGGTAGAACCGTAACCAAGGCAGTGGACAGATAAGAGGTAACTGAGCCCAGTCCACAAAAACAGTGGGGGTAAAGCTCTCAGACAAACCCTTACCTGGTTCCTCTGGGGAAGCACATTCAGACATGCAAGCTTTTACAAAGTCGATCTGACCTAGATGCCCTCGGTTCCTGCAATAACATATTTCCTTCACAGCAGATGCTAAAGAGGCCGCCTTGCTTCCCAGAGGCAATAATGCCAAATGGATCCTGCCTCCTCTCGCCTCCAGAAATTCCAGGTACTTTCCCGCAATATATGTATAATATACAGGTAAATCCTTGACTTACAACAGTCCGTTTAACGACCGTTTGAAGTTGCAACGGTACTGAAAAAAGTGACTTATAATAGGATCGTTTTTCACATTCAGGACCGTCGCAGCCTCCCCCCCCCCCATGGTCACGCAATCAAAATTCAGACGCTTGGCAACTGACTCACATTTACGACAGTCGCAGCGTCCCGGGGTCACCGTGATCCCCTTTTGCAACCGTCTGACAAGCAAAGTCAGATTCACTTAACAACCAAGTTACTAACTTCACAAACCGCAGCGATTCCGTTAACAATGGTAGCAGGAAAGGTCGTAAAATGGGGCACAATCCATTTAAACGTTTCCCTTAGCAACAAAAATTTGGGTCTCAGCTGTAGTTGCAAGTCTAGGTCTAACTGCACAATATTTTCCCACAATCCTTGGGAATTCCTTTATTATTATTATTATTATTATTTTGAAATACCTTTGAGAATTTTGTGGCTGTTTTAGTATTTTTTGGGGGGGGGGTGTTGCCAAGTCAGAGGAACCCTGATCCCGAATAAATTATTGTCTTCTGTTGGCAGTTCGAGCCTTGCCCCCAAATTCGGAAGCCGCGGAGAAGGGGCATTCGAAGCGGAGAAGATCCATGGGTCAAGGATCAGCGTCGGGACGCAAACCGAGGCGCTTCCAACGCCGGGGAGGGATGCAGAAAAGTCTCTAAGCAATGGGGGTCTTCAACAGGCAGAGGAGAGCTCAGCTACGAGGGGAAAGTCCTTGCAGGACTCTTCCAACGTTGGCGAGATGGACTTTGCTAAAGGTCCCAGCGGTGGTAGTGGTGGTGGTGGTGACCCCATTAAAGTAGCCACGAACTCCCTTGGGCCGCCAACCGAGAGAGAAAACGTGGCTGCCGAGCTACAGACGGTTCAGGAGGACCCTGAAGCTCACAGCTCCAACCCAGATCCTACCAGCAGGTGCCTCCAGGAAGCTCAAGACGTTGGAGAACCTCCACCAGATGCCACCAGAGATGAACCTCCAAGCCCAGGGCAGTCCCGGCTTGGGGGTCAGCCTCTGGGACCAGGATCGGCCTCCCCAGAGCCCTCCTCGGAAGGGAGCAGCAGCAGCAGCACCCCAGCCTCCCCGGTGCCCACCCTTCAGAATGTGATGGCCACCAAAAAGGAGTTGTGAGTTTCTAAACTTAGAGGGAGGAAGAAAAAGGAGAACTGGTTTTGCAGGAATTGGATCTTTTTTTTCTATCTACCTACCTACCTATCTTCTATCTACCTACCTACCTACCTATCTTCTATCTATCTACCTACCTACCTACCTATCTTCTATCTATCTATCTATCTATCTATCTATCTATCTATCTATCTATCTATCTATCTATCTATCTATCTATCTCTCTATCTATCTATCTATTATATTTCCTTTACCTGTCCATTCCTTTTCTTGCTATTATCTTTCTTTTTCCTTCCTTTGCACTTTTTCTTTTCTATTATATATAATCAAATCTACTATATATATTTATATATGTATCTTTCCTCTTCCTTTTTCCTTTCCATCAAGCCTGACTTCTTCCTTTCGTTTTTTTCCCTTCTTCCTTCGCGTTAAACCGACGTTCATTCTTTCTATCATTTTTCCTTTTTCTTTGCATCACGTCTGCCTTTCCTTCCCACCTGTTACATTTCTTTTATCTTCTTCCTTTCGCTCGAACCTGACTCCTCCCTTTCTGCTAAACCTTTTCCTTCGTTCCTCTGCATTAGATATCCGACTCCTTTCCTTTCTGTTCTTTTTCCGTTTTCCTTTGCCTGATGTCGGATTTCTTTCCTTTCCAGGCTGCGAAGGAACAGCTCCTCCGACAAGCTGGCCCGGACCAAACAGCCCCTCCCAAAGAAAGCTGCTTCCAGTGCCAACCTTTTTAACCGTTCCAGCAGCCTTGAAAAGTGAGAAAAAGCACTTTGCATATGATACAGGCCCTTCCACGGCTTTCAAACGTTCGGAACGGAAAGGAAAAAAAAATGACTTATGACCAAGGCACTGGGAATCTTTCTAACGTTCTGTTTTTACCTTGCAGCCGATCGAAGGATCCCACTTTAAGTCCAGGTGAGCTGCTGGCTGTGTTTGTGTCTTTGCATTTTGCAAGCGGGGTTGTTTTTTTTCTCCAGGATCGGGATGAGGGTTCCTGGTCTCCCCTTCCGAAGCTGGGGGACAATGGCTGCCCATGGCCGCTCAGAGGCCCCCTGGACCCCGAGATGGGCGGCAGATCAATTTGATGATGATGATGGTGGTGATGATGATGATGGTAATTGATCATCACACAGCCAGATGTTCAGGCTGGGTTTGGCATTTTTTGTCTACCTGTTGAGTCCTTACCAAGGACCTACAATAGGCAGATGTGGATGTTTGATGGTGTTACAGGTATCGTCGCAGGATGGAAGCAGTTCCTAGTAAGGCCGCCTTTTGCAATTGACTGATGGCAAACTTGTCAATGCCGATGGTGTTCGAGTGGTGCTCCAGTTGTTTTGGGATTGCACCCAAGGAGCCTATGACTATTGGTACCTTGGGTGCAATCCCAAAACAACTGGAGAACCACTCGAACACCATTGGCATTGACAAATTCGCCATTAGTCAGTTGCCATTACTACTACTACTACTACTACTACTACTACTACTACTACTACTACTACTACTGTTGTTGTTGTTGTTATTATTACTATTACTATTATTATTTCTGCTAAGAAAAGGCCAAATAGATTCTTTCTGTTCTTGCCTGCAGGACCGACAAGCTCTCGGCGTTTGAATTATAATCTGGGTGAGGATCTTCTAAAAAGGAATTACTGGCTTTGTTTTGTTTTATTGTTTATTTTATTTTACTTGATTATTTCATTTTATTGCTTTATTTTATTGTGTTATCTCACCTTACACTTCATACTTTGCTATTTACTTCACTTTATTTTGCCTCGTTTTATCTTATTTCAATGTACCTCACTTTATACTTAAAAGTATTTGTTTTGCTTTACTTTTATTTCACTTTGCTTCATACTTTACCGCTGTACACTGCACTAAGTTTATTTTACAGTACTTTAATTTTGCTTTTACTTTTGCTTTCACTTTTAACTTTCCTTTATTCTTTGGGTTTTTTGAGTTGTTTGCCAGGTCTGTTGCAATCCTGTCACCTGGGGATAGTTCCACTGCTTTATTTACACTAACTGGTCTGTGTGTGGGGGGGAGGGGAGCACATCTCACCGTTATTTTGCACACTTCTCTCTGTTCAGTTTGGGAGGCAAGGTTGCACAACGCTTATCCTTCCCTAAAGCAAGGTGAAGCTTTTGAAGCTTCCCGCAAAAAAAAGGTCTGTTCTTTTTCTAATTATTCCTTAATTATCCTCTGTCCCATTAGAGGGACTCTCCATCAAAATGTTTCTACGCGGACGGCCCATCACCATGTACATCCCTTCCGACTTCCATAACTATGAGGATCTGCGCATGGAGCTCCCAACACAGAAGCTGCAGCTGGACTGGGTGTATCCTTAAAAAAAAAGGCAAGGTGGTGCAGGTGGTGTGTGTGTGTCAGACATCCAAAGCGCCTGAAAGCAGGACAGGAAGTAACAACAGATGGAAACTCATCAAGGAGAGAAGCAACCTAGAACTAAGGAGAAATTTCCTGACAGTGAGATCAATTAACCAGTGGAACAACCTGCCTCCAGACATTGTGAGTGCTCCCAACACTGGAAGTTTTTAAGAAGAGACTGGACAGCCATTTGTCCGAAATGGTATATTCCTGTCATCACTCCAGGACTACCTATATCTGGACTTCAACTCCCAGAATTCCATACGGGCAATGGAACTCTGGGAACTGAAGTTTCAACGGCTTTCAAGCTTAAAAGAATCCCGCTCTTTTTCCTTAACGCCTCTCCAGCTACGGCTACCGGGGACGTGACTGCCGTTCCAATCTCTACGTCTTAACATCCGGGGAGCTGGTCTACTTCATTGCCTGCGTGGTGGTGCTTTACCACGTCCAGCGGCGCACGCAGCGCCACTACCTTCGCCACACCGACTGTGTGCGCTGGTGAGTGGGTGGATCACGGTGATCTTGTTTGCTCACCGATCCTGGCAGGATTTGACGGAAGAAGTGTCTTCCCACAGGCCAGGGTGGCTGGATGGTGTGGGGAACAAACTGGACGAAAATCAAAGGGTTGCAGAAATGAAGAAATCCTTTTAAGGTTGGCAGCACATTGACGGTTCCCCCTTCCAAGCTCCCTTCCTTTACCCGTCCAGCATTTAGAACAGGGCCTCCAACCTTGGCGACTTTAAAACTTGGGGGCTTCAGTTTGCAGAATTCCCCATCCCCATTTCGTGCCTAAGGCGGAACTAGAACTCACCGTCTCCTGGTGATTGGCCCAAAGTCACCCAGCCGGCTTTCAGGCCTAAGGCAAGACTAGAACTCACCGTCTCCTGGTGATTGGTCCAAAGTCACCCAGTTGGCTTTCACGCCTAAGTCAGAACTAGAACTTACCAGCACCTGGTTTCTCCTTCAGAAGGAAAACGATGGCAAATAGAATCGAAAAAAGATTATTATTTTTTTTCAATTTCTTGCAGTCTTGCAGTACATCCTGACGGAGTCCGTGTGGCCTCGGGGCAGATGGCTGGCGTGGACAAGGACGGCAAGGTAATCCCACTGTTAGCCTTTCGAGGTAGTCCAGACAAGAAGGACAATCAATACTATAGTCAGTCCTCGTTTAGCGAGCATGCATGGGGATGAAAAACCAACTTTACTACAGTAGGGCTCACCCCCCCCCCCAAATCAAGCTAGGGCTTATTTTGGGTGTAGGCCTTTCTTTCGGGGAAACGGGGGTAATTCTTTTTCTCCTGTCTCATTTTTGCTGCTCCGAAATGCTGATATATGGGTTTTGGCGGTGGGGTGTCTTTCCTACAGCCGCTGCAGCCCTTTGTTCACATCTGGGACTCCGTCACGCTGCTGACCTTGCAGCAAATCGGTCTGGGCAGCTTTGAGAGGGGCGTCGGTTCTCTGGCTTTCTCCACGGCGGTGAGTCCCTCCCCGGCTCGAAAGGAAAGGCGGAAAAGGAAAAATAAACTTCGTTTTTCTCCAGTGCCCTTTGCGGAACGTCTGGGTCTGGCTTTGCAGGGTGGGAATTGCAGCCCGGAACAAAATAGTACATTGGAGGAGACAGTTTTTAATTTCTTTTATTTCAATCTTTCCTTCCCCCCCCCCAAACCAGGACGAGGGCGCCTACCTGTGCGTGATCGACGAATCCAACGAACACATGCTCTCCGTGTGGGACTGCCTCCGTGGCACCAAACAAGCTGAAATCAAGGTGAGGGGGGGGGAAGAGGCCGATGGGAGATGCAGTGATGCTGGCCCAGATGTCATCCAGATGTGTTTATTTTTTAAAGGGGGAGGAGCATAGAAACCGGAACAGGGAGATGGTGGCCAAAAAAAAGGAGATTGAATCGCCTATTTGGGTTGCAGAAGACCAAATGGGAAGAGGAGATGGAATATTTCTTGTGGGAGGGGGCCAGAAGGAAGGCTACAGCTAGTCCTCGACTTATAACAGCTGGTTTAGGGACCGTTCAAAGTCACAACGGCACCGGAAAAAGGGAATCATGACCGTTTTTCACCCTTAACGACCGTTGCAGGATTCTCCGTGGTCCTGGACGCTTGGCAACCGACTCATATTTATGATGGTCGCAACGTCCCGGGGTCACATGATCCTCTTTTGTGGTCTTCTGACCAGCTAAATCAAGGTGGATGCTGGATTCACTTAACAACCGTGTGACTAATTTAACAACGGCATTGATTCGCTTAACGACTGTGGCAAGAAAGATTGTAAAAATGGGAGGCGAAACTCACTTAACAACCGTCTCGCTTAACAACAGGGCTCAGGTCTTAAGTCGAGGACTACCTGTATTTGCAGGTGTGATGGCAGCCTACGTGAATTTGTATTTTGATCCTGCAGGAGATCCGTTACACGCTCAGGAATGGATCCTGAGGGGTTCCATAGCCTGAGGGGTTTTATTTATTTTTTTTGCTCTTCCTTTTCCTATCCAGAGCACCAACGAATCGGTCCTGATGGTGGAGTTTAATCCCCAAGACAGTAGCAACATAATCACAGCTGGAAAGTCGCACGTCTATTTCTGGACCTGGGTGGGAAGCAGCTTAACCAAGAAACAGGGGATCTTTGGGGTAAAAGAATCTTGGAAGGATTACATCTATGTAACTCACCATCTCCTGGCGATGGGCCCAAAGTCATCCAATCAGCTTTCAGGACTAAGGTGGAACTAGAATTCACTGTCTCCTGGTGAAGAGCGTACAACCACCCAGCCATCTTTCACGCTTAAGCTAGGACTAGAAGTCACCATCCCTTGGTGTCTGGTCCAAACTCACTCAGACAGCTTCCATGCCTAAGGTGGAACTAGAACTCACCGTCTCCTGGTGATTGGCCCACAGTCACCTAACTGGTTTTCATGCCTAAGGTGGGACTAGAACTCACTGTCTCCTGGTGATTGGCCGAGAGTCACCCAGCCAGCTTTCCTGCCTAAGGCAGGACTAGAACTCACCATCTCCTGGCGATTAGTCCAGTCGGCTTTCCTGCCTATGGCGGGACTAGAACTCACCGTCTCCTGGTTTCCTGTATAGGCAGTTTGCAGAGTTGACACAGTTCTTGCAAACGGCCCCTTCGTTTCCCTTGCTAGAAATACAAGAAGCCCAAGTTTATCCAGTGCTTCGTGTTTGACACCAACGGGGATGTCCTCACGGGGGATTCCGAAGGCAACATCCTCACGTGGGCGAGGGCAGTGGCCGACATTCGCACTCTGGGCAAGGGGGCAAAAGGTACGCGAAAGGGGAGAGACCCCGACTTTCGCCAGGATGGGGAAGGTGGACGTTGGGACTGTTGAGCAATCCCTTGTCGTAAAACGGGGGGCCGAACTCGCTTGCTTAACAAGGAAATTCTGGGCCCGGTGGCGGTGGGAAGTCGAGGACCCCCTGTCAAATAGTGGGCTCCACTGATTTAAAAACAAAATCTGATGAAAAGCGATAAGAGATAAACTTTGTACTGTCCCTTCCTCCCACAGAGACCTATCAGATCAGCAAGCAGACCCACGCGCACGAAGGGAGCATCTTTTGCCTCTGCCTGTGCCGCGACGGTTCGGTCTTGAGCGGGGGCGGCAAGGACCGTCGTTTGCTTCAGTGGAGCCCCCTCCTCACTGTCCTCCAGGAGGTGGAGGTAAGGTGTGTGTGTGTGTGTGTGTGTGTGTGTGTGTGTGTTTGTTTGGAGGTGGGGGGGAAGGAAACAGACTTCAGCAGGAGCACCTCAGTACAAGTTCCTTCCTATAATTTTCTGCCTCACTAATGAGGCCTAGAGCCTTGTTAAGTCTCAGAAGGGGATTCTTAGCCCTTCGAGGTGGCCCAGCCCAGGAAAACAAAGTGATGAATACTAATAACAACCATATGTCTGAAATGGTATAGGGTTTCCTGCCTGAGCAGGGGGTTGGACTAAATGACCTCCAAGGTCCCTCCCAACTCCTATTCTATTCTATTCTATTCTATTCTATTCTATTCTATTCTATTCTATTCTATTCTATTCTATTCTATTCTATTCTATTCTATTCCTATTTCTATTCTATTCTATTCTATTTCCTATGTCTATTCTATTCTATTCTATTCTTTCAAGTAGTCCTTGACTTATAAACATTTCTTTAGCGACCGTTCGAAGTTGCAACATAATGTGACTTACAATTGAGCCTTGTACTTACGACCGTTGCAGCATAGTTTGCCTGTTTGTAAATATTCTCATTTTTTAATTTTTTTTTTTAACTTTTGGCTCAGATACCGGAGCAATTTGGCGCTGTGCGCACCATCGCAGAGGGCGAGAGCGGGGAGCTTTTGGTGGGGACCACGCGCAACGCCCTCCTACGGGGCAGTTTGGCCGAAGGCTTCAAACCCATCATCCAGGTGAGCAGAGATGCCCCCACTTCAAGGCTCCTCCTAGCCCCAGACTCCTACCTCCCACCTTATAAAAATAAAAATAATGATAATGTAATAATGATAACAGTAACAACAAACAACAACAAAACAAAACAACAACAATAATAATAAAAAAGTTGGAATGGGACCTTGGAGATCATCTAGTCCAACCCCCTGCTCAGGCAGGAAACCCTACCCCATTTCAGACCAATGGCTGTCCAGTCTCTTCTTAAAAACTTCCAGTGTTGGAGCATTCACCTGCTTCTGGAGGCAGGTGGTTCCAACTGGTTCATTGTTCTAACTGTCAGGAAGTTTCTCCTTAGTTCTAGGTTGCTTCTCTCTTTGGATTAGTTTCCACCCGTTGCTTCTTGTCCTGCCTTCAGGGGCCTTGGAGAATAGCTTGACTCCCTCTTCTTTGGGGCAGCCCCTGAGATACTGGAACAGCTGCTATCATGTCCCCCCTCGTCCTTCTCTTCGTTAAACTAGACATACCCAATTCCAGCAACCGTTCCTTATATGTTTTAGCCTCCAGTCCCCTGATCGTCTTTGTTGCTCTTCTCTGCACTCTTTCTAGAGTCTCAACCTCTTTTTTACATCGTAAAACTGGAGGCCAGATTCCAAGTGACTCAGTATTCTCGACCGTGACTCAGTTTCTCCTCCTTTGCAGGGCCACACGGACGAACTCTGGGGTCTGGGGACTCACCCCTCACGGGACCTTTTTGTCACTTGCGGCTACGACAAGCAACTCTGCCTGTGGGACGGCAGTGAACATATGATGGCTTGGAGTCTCACCTTAGAGGTATGGCGGGAGAAAATAGAACGACCCCAGGCACCCCTTGACTTGCAGCCATTCGTTTAGCGACCGTCCAGTTGCAACGGCACTGGAAAAAACATTTTACAATGGATCTTCACACTGAACAGCTGTTGCAGCATCCCCACGGTCAAAATTTGGGTGACTTGGCCACCGGGATGTTTTTATGACGGTTGCAATATTCCAGGTGTGTGTGATTGCCCTTTCTGGCCTTCCCAGCTGGTAAAGCCAATGGGGGGGGGGGACCTGGATTCGTTTAACAACTGTGTGATTCATATAAACAAACGCCGTGGTTCGCTTAACATCCGTGTCAAAAAACAAAACAAAAAAGGTCTGAAAACCGGGCACAATTCTTCCCAATAATGTACGTGGCAATAGATGACTTCTAAATGAATTTGAATTTTGCCACTGCAGTTATCAAAAGTTAATTCTGTTCCTGTCAAGAGCCTGACCCCAGAGACAAAAATCCTCCTATCTTTTTACAAATAACCACCTTACCAGCTTCTCTCTCTCTCTCTCTCTCTTTCTCTGTCTTTTTCTCTTTCTTTTCTTTCTCTCTTTCTCTTTCTCTCTTTCTCTCTCTCTCTTTTTCTTTCTTTCTTTCTTTCTTTCTTTCTTTCTCTTTCTGTCTTCTCTCTCTTTTTCTTTCTTTCTCTCTTTCTTTCTCTTTCTTTCTCTCTTCTCTCTTCTCTCTCTTTCTCCCTTTCTCTTTCTTTTTCTTTCTTTCTTTCTCTCTCTCTCTCTCTTTGTCTCTCTTTCTCTTTCTCTGTCTTTTTTTCTTTCTTTTCTTTCTCTCTCTCTCTCTCTTTTTCTCTCTCTTTTTCTTTCTTTCTCTCTTTCTTTCTCTTTCTTTCTCTCTTCTCTCTTCTCTCTCTTTCTCCCTTTCTCTTTCTCTTTCTTTCTCTCTCTTTCGCTCTTTGCCCTTCCCAGGAAACAGGACTCTGCGCCGATTTCCACCCGAGTGGGAAAGTGGTGACTGTGGGACTCAGCACTGGACGGTAACTTAACCCCCCCTCCCATCACTGGCCCTCCTCCCTGGGACTCAGCAGGGCTGGTGACCCTGTTGGTTTGGGGAACAGCTTCTCCAAAACCAGGACAGTAGCAGACAAAAGCTTAGTTCCTCTGTCCTACCCTGCAGGGTGCGTGGGTGTCAGCTTGGATCAAAGGGATCTTTCCTTTTGTTCCCATAGCTGCTAAATTCCTAGAAAAACAATATATTGGCAAGATCAAAGGTATCTGCAACACTTTTATCTCCCTCAGATGGCAGGTGCTGGAGACGGAGACGCGACAGGTTTTGTCCAGCTACACAGATGGAAACGAACAGCTCTCTGTAGTACGTTATTCCCCAGGTTAGATTGTCTGCTTATTTATTTTATCTTCTCGTGTTTGTTGAGTTCTTGGTATTCTCTGAGCTTGGTTGTTTTTCTGCAGACGTTTCATTACCAAGCTAGGTGACATCAGCAATGCCTGGGAGAGTGAAGTGATTCCTTCCTTCCTTCCTTCCTTTCTTTCTTTTCCTCCTTCCCTCCCTCCCTTCCCAATTCCTTCCTCCCTCCGTCCCTCCCATTCTCTCCTTCCTTCCTTCCTTCCTTCCTTCCTTCCTTCCTTCCTTCCTTCCTTCCTTCCTCTCCCTCCCTCCCTCTATCCCATCCATCCATCCTTCCTTCTTTCCTCTCTTCTTTCTTCTTTGATTACTCATCTGGTGTTGTTTCCTGCTTATCTAGGTGTTACAAACCACACATTAAGACTGGTGGGACAAGCTACTTATTTAAACAGCCAGCACACGTCACTCCCCCGTGCACGGATGATGTTATATAACTCGATAGTGTAACATCTGCAAGAAAATGACCAAGCTTTGAGAACATGTAACCCCACTATTCAACCCTGAGCTGCAATATTTTCTATAATTGGATTTACGTGGGTTTGTTTTTTGTTTTTTGGTTGGAAAAGGTTAAGCAGAGAAACAGGGCGTGAGATCAGATCCTGGGGGTCTCTTTTCATTATTCACTGGCTCTTCCGATCTGGCAAATGATGGTCACATCCCAGATTGTTGGGAAGGACACAATTAGCGGATAAAAATGCCAAATCCAGACTAAACATCTGGCTGACTATGCAGCCAACAATCCTAATTCCTTTGCTGATGGAGATAGGCGACTTCCCCTGTCCGGCCTACTTTAAACTTGTTTTTTTATTTTGTCATTTTTTTTTTATGCTAGATGGAGAGTTCTTGGCCATCGGTTCCCATGACAACTTCATCTATATATATAGTGTGGAAGAGAAAGGGCATAAATATACTCGTTTTGGCCGCTGCACGGTGAGCAGAAGGGCGAGGAACACAGATAGAGCAAGCTGGAGGGAACGGTTAATTTGGGTGGTGGAAAAGCATGAAACAAACACAGCGACTTCCTGGAAAATTTATTTGTTTATTTATTCTGTAAATTATTACGGATGCTCGTCTTAATGAAATAATCTGGGCCACTGACAAGTATACAAAACACAGAGGTCTGTATTAAAAACAACACCAAAAAGCCCATTAAAAACGCCAGATAAAGAAAATAAACTATTCCACTGACGTAAGGGAAAAATGGAATCTTTGTTCCATCTTAGAGCCTGAAAGGAAAATTGAAGTTTAGTAAACTGCCGTAAACATTTGAAAACGTGTTTTTAATTTTTTGCGTTTTGGTCTTTCGGCCCGATTCTGCTTGCTTATTATCCTTGGTTATCTTGCCCCTCTGGAAAGTATTGGATAATCGATCTCTTCCCTAAGGTTTGTTCTTTTTTCTCTCACTTCAGGGGCATTCCAGCTTCATTACACATCTGGATTGGTCCAAAGATGGGAAATTCATCATGTCTAATTCTGGGGATTATGAAATCTTGTATTGTAAGTTTATTTTTTAAAATACAGCAGCAGAGGAAAAGAGAGAGAGAGAGAGAGAGAGAGAGAGAGAGAGAGAGAGAGAGAGAGAGAGAGAGAGGGTGACTTTTGGTTAGTCCCTCCCTCTGAGTCTATCCTACCTCACAGGATTGCTGTTGTGAGGAAAACGGAAGAAGGAAGGGGTGTTATTTATATTCGCCACCTTGAGTTCTTGATTAAAAATAATGAAGGCGGGATAGAAACAAACACACCCATCACGATCCTAATTTTCCTTTCAGGGGAGGTAGCCAGAGGTTGCAAGCTAGTACGGAATCGGTTTGACAACAGGGACCGGGAATGGGCCTCCTACACCTGCGTGCTGGGTTTCCACGTTTTCGGTAACGGTGTTTACTTGTTTTGACCAGTTGTTGGGGTTTTTGTGAGCGGCCCGGAATCTTCTGGATTGGGGCAGGCATCCCAAATCAGATGGACGAAATCCAATTCAACTCTCCTTTTCTTTTCCTCTTTCTTCCGTACCCTCAACCCAGGGGTTTGGCCCGACGGCTCGGATGGCACGGATATCAACGCCCTGTGCCGTTCGCACAACGAGCGGGTGGTGGCTGTGGCGGACGATTTTTGCAAAGTCCATCTCTTCCAGTACCCTTGTGCCAAGCCCAAGGTAGGTCGCTAAGGAAGAAGGGCACTCTTAAACCGGGAAGAATTAGTAAATATTTTGGCTGGAAGGTAATGCCCAGGCATTTTTTGATGGTTCTTATCCTTTTTTTTTTTTGTTTATAAATATTTTATTGATTTTCTATTTTTACAATGAAGTGCCTAATTAAACAACGGGATGACTGAGTCCATTAGTAATTTCGTGGTACATATAAGCTTCTTCAAATTTAATCCAATATTATTACACTCTCTGATACGTCCTCATTTCATCTGATAATAGACATTTTTCCACACTAAGCAAACACAAAAGTCCCTTTTTTCACTGCTGTTGTTACTCCGAATGGTCACTGAAAGAACGGTTGTAAATTGAGGATTACCTGTATCACTGTAAACCTGGGCTAAATTCTTCTCCACCATTTCCCGCCCTTCAAAATAAGATCGGCAGGAGAATTTCACCCCACTTTGGAGTTTTGGGGCGTCCCAATCCAACAGCGTAGTTTTTAATGTCTCTTCTCCCCTCCCCACCATGTTCCTGATCTTCTGCAGGCTCCCAGCCACGTCTACACCGGCCACGGCAGCCACGTTACCAACGTCCGTTTCACCCACGACGACGGCCACCTCATCTCCATGGGGGGCAAGGACACCAGCATCTTCCAATGGCGGATGTTGGGGGGCGCTACTCCCCCGGCCAGCCGATCCCTCTCCTCCCTTTCCTCGCACGAAGCAGGATCCGGCACCTGAAGCTGCCGAAATCCGGATGGATCAACCTTAAGGATGGCGACCGAGTTCTCAGGTGTGGGGAGTTGCTCGGAGACATCTCCTGCCTCGGCGTATGGACCGGTTGGCTTCCCTTCCGCCCTGCCTAACTGGAGAGTTTTCGTTTGCTAACCGTCGCCGCCGTTTGCTTATTAACACAAGGTGAAGGGCAGTCGCGATGCGCAGCTGGGTGACGCCCGCGGCCATGGCAAATCAAACGTGGTGCGTCACCTTCTCCTGTCCCTGGGCCGGGTGGACGGAGAAGCTGCCAAACACGGCAGGCAGGTAGAAAGGGAAAATTGGGCCTCTGGGATTTCCTCGGCTTTCGCTCTGTACATGCCTCTGGATCTTCAAAGCCTAGAGAAGATGGGGAATTGGGATCCTCCATCGCCGTTCCCTGTTTAAGTAGTGCTCAGCTTGCCACCACCTTTGGGATCAGAATTCCCGCTGCCAGGCTAAGGTGCTTGCTAATTGGACGGCCTGTCTTTGACACGGTCGTTAACTGTCGCTGCGGTTGTTCGTCATTAAGTGGATCTGACTTCTCCCATGGTTCTTCAGCAGTGGCGCCTGGTTTTATGACCGTTTTGGCCACGGGGGAGGGGGGGATTAGACAGGTTGTTAAATGAATCAGGCAGTCCTTAAGCAAATCCAGCTCCTTTCCTCCCATTGACTTTGCCTGTTGGAAGCCGGTTGGGAAGATCACCAATAGTGATCACATGATCCTGGGACACTGCAACCATGTGCCTGAATCTTGATCACGTGACCACTAGGGACGCTGCAGCGGTCATAAGTGCGAAAAACGGTCATAAGTCACTTTTTTCAATGGCATCGTAACTCCAAACGGTCGCTAAACGAACAGAATTTTTGTAAGTCGTGCACTACCTTTATAGCAGTGCTTCCCAAACTTGCACAAATTGCCTACACTAGGTAAATGTGGGGTTTTTTGGGGTAGCAACAACACACAAACTTGTTAATGCTTTTGCAGAAGGAACAATGAAACTCGTGTTCGTGCAAAATGGTGTTTTTTGAAGAAAAGGGACCGTTTGGGGTCCTTTTGGTTAATAAATTCAGAGTGAATCTCCTGCGAGGAGGCGGCAGTCGTGATCTGTGGGCCTCACAGAAATTTAATTCAATAAATAAAATTAAATATCTATGCCCTGACATCTGTTGAAGTAGGATTTTTTTTCTCCATTCCGGCCTTCATAAAAGTGCACAAAATGAAAACGTTCGCTAAAGCCCGAAAAGGTGGATTTTAGAAGGAAAAAGGTTGGGGAAGCACTGTTGTATAGATTTTTTAAAAAAACCCACTTCTTTGATTTTGTTTTTACTTTCATTTTGGACCTGGTTGGGTCCAACATGTAAATAGGCATACAAAAAAGGAAGGTTTTCATGTTTGGAAAGAGAAAATAAATGTTTGCATCTCAAATCTTGATAAGTCTTTTTCTTCTTCTTTTCTCTTTGATCTGGCTTGGCAAGACCAGGATCCCCAAATCTGGTTTAGCGTGACAGGTTTTGAGTTACAGGGAGATTTTCTGCCAAAATTTACTTCCCATTTGAAAGCATTGAACTGTGCTGTAGATGTACAGGTAGTCCTCGACTTAATGACTGTTAAGTCATGGCGGTTGTAAAGCAGGTCACTGTGGCCATTACTGAGGGATCTTGGGAACTGTAGTCCCTATTCCAAGTTCCTCCTTTTGTTTACATCAAGCGTTTCTCAACTTTAGCAACTTCAAAATGGGTGGACTTCAACTCCCAGAATCCCCCAGCCAGCATGCTTTAATCTGGGTGGATTTAGACTCCCAGAATTCCCCAACCAGCTTGATTTAAGATGGGTGGACTTCAACTCCCAGAATTCCCCAGCCAGCATGCTTTAAGATGGGTGGACTTCAACTCCCAGAATCCCGCAGCCAGCCTGCTTTAAGGATTGAAGGCTGTGGATTTCTGGGAGTTGAAGTCCAACCATCTTAAAATGGCTAACGTTTAGAAACACTGTCTTAAAACACTTGCAGGATTGAAAATAATTTTAAAGGGTTCACAAATGCCACCAACGTATCCTACATATTGCATGCCCGCATGTGCTCATCAGTTGTGACACGTAAAATATTAAAAATTTTGCGTCTGCTTGTTCGCTTTGACTAAAGCGGGGGCCTTGCGGGCAGGAAAGAGTTAACCTCCAGTTCCGGAAAAGGCCGATGTCTGCCGAAAGTACTCGATTCTCCCCTTCTCCGCCGAAGATGGGCGGAAAGACACGAAGGAGGCCGCCCTCCCTCCGAAGTCCCGCTGAGGCTCCGCCCACCCGAGAAAGAGCCCTTCCAACGAGGTGAGCCGAAGCCCTCCGGGAGAAACAGCCCGAGTCTTCTTCGTTCCTTTCCGGAAACCCTCGGGAAGAATCCCCGCCCCTCCCGCCAGCCCAGACTGAGGAGAAACCTCCTTTTCCGGAAAAGACCGAGCCGGCTTCCGTCGCCGGCGTGCGCTTCCCACGAAGCCCGACCGGAAATGCCCGAGCGCTTCCGGAGATCGCCGAAGGGCGCGCAGCGGGGCCGGCCCAGGCTGCGTGAGGGGGAGCGACGGAGCGGCGGCTGAGGCGGCGGGAGGCGATGAAGAGCGGCCGGGCCCGGAGTTGCTGAGGCGGCCGAGGCGGCCGGGAAGAGGTCGCGGGGCGCCATGGCGGCCAATATGTACCGGGTGGGCGGTAAGGAGGCGGCGGCTCTTCCCGTGGCTCGTTATTTGTCCCGGCGAGGGGGGGGAGGGGCGAGGGGGGGGGCGCCCGAGGGCTTTATTTAAAGCACAAAAGGGGGGGCTGAGGAGGGTGGTCCGGGTTTGGGGGGGCTGTTTTTTAGGGGGGGAGGCCCCGACCAGGAAGTGGGGGCGGAGGTTTGGAAAGAGGGGGGGTCAGCCCCCCCTTGGAGGGTGGAGGGGCTGGTTGGAAATTGGGAGGGGGGGTCCCCTTTTGGGGGCGTTCTCCCCCTTTTTGTGTGGGGTTGCAAACTGTCTTAGGTGGTAATTCTGACCCCCCCCCCGGAAAAAAAAACTTGGTGCACCCCCAAGAATGTTGCTGGATCTCGGGTTCCATCCTCCAGTCCTCTTGGAGGGAAGGTCCCATCGTCCCCATCCGGGCTTCCTTCTTTCCAAGCTGGAATTCTCCAAGTGAGTTGGGTTAAAACTCCCCAGATACCCTGGGCTTAAATTCCCGTCATCCCCAGCCTGATCCTCTGGCACTCTCCAGGTTATAGGCGGGAACTCCCATCATCCCCAGCCTGAACGCTCCATCCTCTGGCACTCTCCAGGTTATAGGCTAGAACTCCCATCATCCCCAGCCTGAACGCTCCATCCTTTCACACTCTCTAGGTTATAGGCTAGAACTCCCATCATCCCCAGCCTGAACGCTCCATCCTTTCACACTCTCTAGGTTATAAGCTAGAACTCCCATCATCCCCCGCCTGAACTCTCCATCCCCTGGCACTCTCAGGGATGTGCTAGCCTAGAACTCCCATCGTCCCCACCTGAGCTCTCCACCCCCTGCCACTTTCCAAGTGTGCTGGGCAATAAACCCCATCATCCCCAGCTCAGCTCTCCACCCCCTGGCACTTACCAGAGGTGCTAGATTAAAACATCCATCATCCCTGGCTGAGTTCTCCATCTCCTGGCACTTTCAAGATATGCTGGGAAATAAACCCCATCATCCCCAGCTGAGCTCTCCACAACCCCCCTCCCACATTTTCCAGATGTGTTAGACTAGAATGTCCATCATCCCCGCCTGTGTTCTCCATCTCCTGGCACATTCCAGATGTTCTGGGCAAGAACTCCACTCTCCTCACCCCCAGCCAAACTCCCTTGCTCTCTCCAGATGTGCTGTGCTGAAGTCCTGGGTAGTGAGCGTAACGTGGATATGAAAAGCAACTTGATTGAGAAAATGGAGCCATTTAGGAGGGCAAGAAATAAAAGAAAATAGTTTGGTTATGAATGGAGATAAAGAGAGGGGCGAAAGCAGCTTGCTGAGCTTGGCAAAGAAGCTAAAAATAAATGGGGAGGGGTATAATTAGCTTTTTTTCCCATTCGGTTAAAGAATGGCCCGGGCATAACAAGGATAACAGCAAACTTTGTTTTATTTTTAAACTGCCTTTATTATTTTTATAAATAACTCAAGGCGGCAAAAATATCCAACATGGCTTCCTCCTCTTTTCCCCACAACAACCCTGCAGGTTGGGTTTGGGCTGAGAGAGAGGGACTGGCCCGAAATCACCCAGCCGGCTTTCGTGCCAAAAGCAAACTAGAATTCACCATCTCCTGGCGATTGGCCCAAAAGTCACCCAGCTGGCTTTGATGCCTAAGGCAGGACTTAGTCTTTCAAGAGAGTGTGGGGGAATCGGGGTCCCATCAAACCTGAGGGGGGACGTGAGATGGATGGACGAGCAAAAGAGCTGGGATTTTGTTGAGGTACAGGGCGGAGGGGATTTGACTCTTGAGAGAGGGGAGAACAACGCAATCCATACAAAAGGGCAGGGGGTCTCCCCTTTAGAAACCGGACTCAACCTCCCTGCGTGGTCTAGCTAATACTTCAGACTTAGCAGGCAGAGCGCACTGAGCACCAGAAACGGGATGCTAAAGAATATACAGAGGAGCAATAGCACTTCCACATACAGAAGCAGTATATCTGAATTCCAAGTGGGCAGAAAACAAAAAGCAGGGGGAAAACCCTCCCGCTTTTAGATCTTGCTCGGGGACAACTTGCCGGCTTTCACATCCAAAGCCGAACGAGGGTTTTAAGTTGGACCCGGCCGAGCCGTTTTATCCCTTCTTCCTCTTGGGTCAGTGCCAGAATCATTTCGCCTGCCGCCCCTCTCAGCGGGATGACATCCTGCGCGCCCTCAGGCTGAACAGGTGAGATGGAGGCCAGCCTGGCCTCTCCCACCTCACCTGCAGAAAGCCCAGTTCTGGACCTTGGCATCGCCAGTTAAAAATATTGGGTGCCCAAACAAAATATTGGCTTTGCACCAACCCCCCCCCCCAAAGCCATCTCCTAGCCAGGGGACAAGCAACCTAGAACTTTTCTGACAGTGAGAACAATTAATCAGTGGAACAACCTGCCACCAGAAGCTGTGAATGCTCCAATACTGTTTTAAGAAGAGACTGGACAGCCATTTGTTTGAAATGGCCTCTTGCCTGAGCAGGGGTTGGGCTAGAAGACCTCCAAGATCCCTCCCAACTCTGTTATTCTGCTATCCTTCCTTCCTTCCTTCCTTCCCCTCCCTCCCTCCCTGGGGTTTTTAAAGAAGAGACTGGACAGCCATTTGTCTGAAATGGTATAGGCTTTCCTGCCTGACCAGGGGGTTGGACTAGATGACCTCCAAGGTCCCTTCTGACTTTATTACTCTTATTTTATTAGTGTTAGTCTCATCCAGATATGACAACTTGAGTTCCTTTGAATCAGGGGCCTTCAAACGTGGCCCTTTTAGGACTTGTGGACTTCAACTCCCAGAATTCCTCAACCAGGCGTGCTGAAAAAAGGGACTTAGGACCCAAAGTCACCCAGCCAGTTTTCGTGGCTAAAGCGGGACTACAACACAGTGCCTTCCATGTTATAGCCTGCCGCCTTAACTACGAGACCAAACTCTCGTGAGCCATGCATGTGCGTGAATTTTTCCTTGATCGGGCTGTAGAGGACTGCCTAGAATACCCTGAAGATCCAAAAAAAAGGACACGTACGTTTATGAGAAAACAGAATTATTATTATTAATAATAATAATAATAATAGGATTGTCTGTTCCACACAGTCAGCCAGATGTTTAAACTGGTTTGGCATCTTATCCACCTACGGGTCCTTCTCAAACACCTGGGGGTAGGCAGAGATATTTGATTATTATTTTGCTCCCTGGCAAATTGTTCAGACTTTGAGAGAGAGAAAAAAAAATGGTTGGACCGATTTTCCCGGCCTTGTAATTTTGTCACCTTCCGTCCTCAAAATGGCAGGAAACTTCGCTGTTCGCTCTCAGCCCTCAAGTTCAAAGGAGGAAGTGAAACTTGAAAAAATAGAATTAACTACCTGGATCCCGAGGCTGATGCAAGGCAGGATATGGTCAGCTGGGACTCAATATCTCCTCTGAATCAGTCCATCACGTTCTCTTTGCCCAATCAGAGGTAGTCCTCGGCTTGTAACCGTTCATTTAGTGACCGTTCAAAACTACAGCGGCAGTGAGTTTTGCACCATTAATGACCTTTGCAACATCACCTGATTAAAATTCAGCCACTTGGCAACTGACTCACATTTACGATGGTCACACTGTCCCGGGGTCTTGTGATCCTCTTTTGCGCCTTTCTGCCAAGCAAAGTCAACAGGGAAGCCAGATTCCACTTAACAACTGTGTTGCTGACTTAACAGCTGCAGTGACTCACTTAACAATGGGCTGGAATGGTCGTAAAATGAGGCACTTTACAAAGGTCTCCCTTAGCTACTGAAATTTGGGGCTAGATTGCGGCTGTAAATCAAGGACTATTTGTACGATGTAGAAACCTCTGTTCTAAAATTAGTGTAGTTCAGAGTTTTTCAACCTTGAGGATTTGTGGATTTCAACTCCCAGAAGCCCCCATCAGAAAAGGGAATTCTGGGAATTGAAGTCCATACATTTTAAAGTAGAGAAAAAAGTTGCTGTGGATTACAAAACTTAATTTTTTTCCCCCTCCCTGGGAAATCCCCTGTTACAATCTCAATTCTGCCATAGATTCGTGTCTGGATTTAAGGAAGTTCAGATTTTTTTTTTTTTTACGTTTTACTGATGTGTGTTTAAAAAATAGCACACTTGCCCACGCAACACATTAACCTGTGGTTCGTTGAATAAACCAGGGTTGGCTGGATTGTCTTTAAATGCGGTGCTGAAAATACTTTTAGGTATTCTCACAGTGAGCGTAAAAGTTGGTAATCATAATTCTGCCCAAATGTTTGACTCTTGAGTTTAGGAATGTTTTGCTGAATTGCAGTTGGGCCAAAACATTCGGATTTATTATTTCAATAAAAACTATTCTCCCCCCCCCCACACATGCCTTTTCCATTTTTTCTTGATTAACCCACAGAACCAAAATGTAAGGACAAGGCTAGGAGTGAATTTGTACATTTAAAAAAAAACAACAACCCATTTTTGCAACTGTTCGCCATTCAGGAGGTGTTTCATTGCTGGAGCTAAGTATGGATCCATTTTGCCCTCAAAATTGCTTTTTTTTTTTTTTTTACTTCCCACCTGGATAGAGGATTCAGGCTTGGAGGTTGAAGTCCAAAATCAAAATCCACCCACAAGCTAAAAATAGGTCCAATTGCCTGAGTTACTCTAGAGAATAACCGAGTTGGAAGGGACCTTGGGGGTCATCTAGTCCAGCCCCCTGCTCAGGCAGGAAACCCTATACCATTTCAGACAAATGGCTGTCCAGTCCCTTCTTAAAAACTTCCAGCGTTGGAGCATTCACCGCTTCTGGGGGCAGGTAGTTCCACTGGTTAATTGTTCTAGCTGTCAGGAAATTTCTCCTTAATTCTAGGTTTTTTTCTCTCCTTGATTAGTTTCCATCCGTTGCTTCTTATTTTGCCTTCAGGGGCTTAGGAGAATAGGTTGACACCCCCTCCTCTTTTTTGTGGCAGCCCCTCAAATATTGGAAGACTGCCGTCATGTCTCCCCAGTCCTTTTCCTCGTCAGTTTACACCCCTCCCCAATTCCTGCAACCGTTCTGCCTATGTTTTAGCCTCCGGTCCCCTAATCATCTTGGTTGCTTTTCTCCATAAAATGTCATTCTAGTCCCGAGGAAGTCACTGGGTCTTTATATTTCTGCTTTTTCTCACTTGCTCCCTTCTGCTTTCTCCTCTTTCCAGATTATGTCTATTTTGAGAACTCCTCTAGCAACCCCTACCTCGTCCGTCGAATTGAGGAGCTCAACAAGGTAGGGGTCTGACGGGTGGGTTGTGCCAATTTGGGTGGGTGGGTGGGTGGAAATTGCTTTTCCCCTGGAGCTGTGGATCTATTGCATGCGAGAAAAGCCAGGAATGGGGTAACAGCAGAGGTTGGGGGGGGGGGTCCTCCGGGCTGGAGCATTTGATCGACCAGCAGTGTATTACCTTCCAGACGGCCAATGGCAACGTGGAGGCAAAGGTGGTCTGCCTCTTTCGACGGAGGGACATCTCCAGCAGCCTCAACAGCCTGGCTGACAGCAATGCTCGTGAGTGGACGGGGCTCCTGGCGGGCTGGACCAGCCTGCCTTCCTTCCCTTCCTTCCTTCCTTCCTTCCTTCCTTTCTTTCTTTCTTTCTTTCTTTCTTTCTTTCTTTCTTTCTTTCTTTCTTTCTTTCTTTCTTTCTTCTTTTTCTTTCTTTCTTTCTTTTTTCCTTTCCTTCCTCCCTTCCATTCTCTACTCCCTCTTTCTTTCCTTCCTTCCCTCCCTTCCTTCCTTCCTTCCCTTCTTTTTTCTTTCTTTCTTTCTTTCTTTCTTTCTTTCTTTCTTTCTTCTTTCTTTCTTTCTTTTTTCCTTTCCTTCCTTCCTCCCTTCCATTCTCTACTCCCTCTTTCTTTCCTTCCTTCCTTCCTTCCTTCCTTCCCTTCTTTTTTCTTTCTTTCTTTCTTTCTTTCTTTCTTTCTTTCTTTCTTTCTTTCTTTCTTCTTTCTTTCTTTCTTTTTTCCTTTCCTTCCTTCCTCCCTTCCATTCTCTACTCCCTCTTTCTTTCCTTCCTTCCCTCTCTCCCTTCCCAATTCCTTCCTCCTCCCATTCTCTCCTTCCTCCTCTCCTCCCTCCCATTCTTTTCTTTCTTTCTTTCCCTCCCATTCTCTCCTTCCTTCCTCCCTCCCATTTTCTCCTCCCTCCCTTTCTTTCCTTCCTTCCCTTCCCTCTCTCCCTCCCTTCCCAATTCCTTTCTTCCTCCATACCATTCTCTCTCTTTCTTTCTTTCTTTCTTTCTTTCTTTCTTTCTTTCTTTCTTTCTTTCTTTCCTTCTTTCTTTCTTTCTTTCTTTCCCAGCAGGGAAGGCTTTTGATCCCAAGGGATGGTTTGAGATGGGCAGAGTGGCTTTGCTCCCTTCCGGGCCCGCCTGTCCCTATGTTTCCCCCCTTCTAGCAGCAGCAGAGACAGCTCGCCCAGGAAAAGGAAAGGGAAAAAAAGAACCTGGCTCAAAAGCTGCCCCACCCTCTGCTGGGCCCAGTCAGCCTCTCCCAAGTTCTCCCTGGGGATCAAAAAAACCCACCCTGGATGTGTACAGAACACGTGTGCGCGAATGTGCGAGGGCGCAGGTGGAATTCCAGAGGAGGAACGGTCTGGGTTTTTTCTTGGCATGTGCCAACTTGGTGCAAAGTTGAGGGCTGAAGGTCTCTCCGGCCTCCATTGGGGGCGAGGGGGGTGCCTGGCTTTGAAGCAGGGGGAGAAAGGCGGGCAGGTGCAGGCGGCCCCAGCTGCTGAAGGGTTAACCCAAATTTGCAGCTGTGGGCCTGGGAAGAGGAGGAGGAAGGGATTTCTCTGGGGCTTCCCAGCCTCTCCAGCAGGGGCTGTGACCTTGACTTGGTGGGACCTGATTGGGCAAAGAAGAGGGCGCTGCCTATCCCTGCAGAGAATTGCCTGAGCTCCCCCTCCCTCCCTCTCTCCCTCCCCCCAGAGGGGTGTGTAGATGGGGAGGGGAGGGAACACCCTTCCACTTCCTGTCCTCCCCACCTCTTTGGGACACTGCCAAGCTCGACACGCAGAAGGGTGAGAGGGAGAGGAAGAAGAAGAACAATGCTCGGGAGTGCTGTAAAAAGGCACAGGAGTGTGTTTTGTGTGTGTGTGTGTGTGTTTCTGGAAAGGGAAGGAGGCAAAAAAAAGGCGCAAAATTTGCAGGAGAGCAGAAAAGGCAGGAGGGATTAGAATCGGATTTCCTTCCCCCTCCCCCCCCCAATCCACATGCCTTGGGGGCACAAAGGCTCCTGAGCTGTGAAATCCCAGGGTGTGCGGTGAAAGTTGTGTTAGGATTATTTCTCTCTTCTTCGTCTCTCTCTGTCTCTGTATCTCTCTCTCTCTCTTCTGGCTGACATGGCTTTTGTTCAATCGGATTAGGGAGCGACAGGCACCAGAGTGTGTCTGGGTTGTGTGTGTTGTCATCTCTGCCTTGCTTTTGCCAAAGAGCAGCGTTTCTCAACCTTGGCACTTTTCAGATGGGTGGACTTCAAGGTCCAGAATTCCCCAGCTCAACCATAGGAGAATTCTGGGAGGCAAAGTCCACCCCTCTTAAAGCAGGCTGGCTAGGCGATTCTGGGAGTTGAAGTTTCCCATCTCAAAGCAGGCTGGCTGGGGAATCCTGGGAGTTGAAGCCCACCCACCTTAAAGCCTGCTGGCTGGGGGATTCTGGGAGTTGAAGTCCAGCCACCTTAAAACATGCTGATTAAGGGATTCTGGGAGTTGACGTCCACCCACCTTAAAACATGCTGGCTGGGGGATTCTGGGAGTTAAAGTTCCCCATCTCAAAGCATGCTGGTTGGGGGATTCTGGGAGTTGAAGCCCACCCCTCTTAAGGGGGCCAAAATTGAGAAACACTGCTTCAGAGTGATGGGCTGTGCTACTGGCTCAGATCAGGCAGTGATTCCCAAGCTAATCCTCTCCAAGGATTCCAAACGATGTACAATCTTCTAGCTTCCTTGTCCTCAGATGACGAGAGAGAGAAAAAAAACAACAACACCGAGAAACACCATTAGAAAAACACTTTGGGTGGACAGGAGACCCGATTTAAGCTTAGGCTGCAAATACACGCCCTTTGTTGGTGCGCTTTCTCGTCGGTCGCGCCTTGTGAAACCTCCCCCTGCCCCTTCTTGTGAGTACGGTGGAATTGCTAGAAGTGCTTCTCTCTTTCTCTCTTTCTCGTCTCCCTAAAAAAAAAAAACAACCCAAAAAACCAACTTGAACTCCAGGCGAATTCGAAGAAGAGTCGAAGCAGCCTTCCGTTTCGGAGCAGCAACGGCACCAGCTGAAACACCGAGAGCTCTTTTTGTCCCGCCAGTTCGAGTCTCTGCCCGCCACCCACATACGGTGAGGAGCTTTCTAAATAACAGAATGCGCGTCGTTGCCCGCCGTGGCCTACGAATATTTATTACGGCGCTGAGATCGGCGTTGGGAGAATAGAGGGTATTCTTAGAAGGTGACAATCGGAGGGGAGGTCAGGAACATGGGTGGTCCTCCACATGCGGCCACAGCTAAGCCCCAAACGGACGCTGCTAAGGGAGAAGTTTGCGAAGTGAATTTTGGGGCCCCTTTTATGACCTATCTTAACCGCGGTTGCTAAGGGAGTCGCTGCAGTGGTTAAATTAGTGACCCGGTCGTTAAATGAATCCAGCTTCCCCATTGGCTTTCTCAGAAGGTTGCGAAAGGGGATCACGTGACCCCGGGACATGGCAACCATCATAAATATGAACCAGTTAATAAATGACGATGATGATGATGGTGATGCTGGTAGCAACCTGTGTCAACCATCAGCTCCAGCCAATTTGAATGTTCAGTTGACTGAGGTTCATGTCTAATGAATAAAAGATAATAATAATAATAAGTAATAGTAGTAGTTGGAAGGGACCTTGCAGATCATCTAGTCCAACCCCCTGGTTGACACCTAGGATGCTGGTAGCAACCCATGTCAACCATCAGCTCCAGCCAATTTGAATGTTCAGTTGACTGAGGTTCATGTCTAATGAATAAAAGATATAATAATAATGATGATGATGATGATGGAAGGGACCTTGGAGGTCATCTAGTCCAACCCCCTGCTCAGGCAAGCAGTTGCCCACCATCGGAATGTAAATCCCACGACCTCCAGGGATGCTGCAACGGGTCCTAAGTGTGAGCAACGGTCGTCAGTGTGAGCAACGGTGCTAAGCCCCCTTTTTTCCAGTGCTGCCGCCCCTTGGAACGGTCACTAAACGAACTGTCGTACGTTGAGGACTAGCTTGTATGACCCCCAGTCCTGTTTGGTTTGCAGGGGGAAGTGCAGCGTTACCCTGCTGAATGAAACGGATATCCTCAGCCAGTACTTGGATAAAGAGGTGAGAGGCTGGGAGGGCAGGTGGGGACGGCCTCGGGCGCGGCACACGGGATGGCCGGCCTGGAGAAGGGCCCACAGGAGGAAGAAGGGGCCTGAGGAATAATTCAGGAAGAGTCAAAGGAGAGAGACGCCTTCCGACATGCCCGATTCTTTTAACGCAGTGGTTCTCAACCTTTTTAATGCCGCGACCTCCAAACGGTCGTAAGTCGAGGACTACTCAACGGGTGCAGCACCGTTTGCAGAATGGGACTTTTGGCGGGCTCAGCAGGGCAGAGACAGCCTGGACAATTCCTATTGGCTTTTGAAAGCCAATAGAATTAGACTCTATTCAAGAGAGTCTATTCTATTGGCTTTCAAAAGCCAATAGAATAAAAGGGAGTAGCACAGCTAAGGAAAAGGGGGAAAAAATGGCGGACTGCGTTGTTTGGCAACCCCCGTGAAATGGTCGTTCGACCCCAAATGGGGTCCCGACCCACAGGTTGAGAACCACTGTCTTAACGGAATCTGATAATCAAGAGGGAGCAGGTTCTACATCTCTGGACCACCTCACAGGGCTAAAAGATGGATCACCTTTATTGTCGGTTTTTGTTTTTTTTACACATCCAACATGAAATTGAGTGGCTTGCTCTCGAAGCGTACACACACATCCGTAACACACGTTGAAAGTAACCTATATAAATATTAATCCTGGTCCGTCTTGAATACATAACGGAAGGAGGAAGCCGTAGAGGCAGGGAAGATGGGAAATGTCAGAGAATGCTCAGATCTCGGCGTCCATGACAGAGGGCTCCTTTGGAGAAGGAGAGGAAGGAGGGAGGAGAGAAAAGGGAGGAAGGAGAGCAGGAGGAGAAAAGGAGGGAGGGAAGTAAGAGGAAAGGAAAAGGGAGGGAGGGAGCAGAGGAAGGAAAGAACAGGGACGGGAGGGAAGGATGGATAGGAAAGGAGGGAAGAAGAAAGGAAGGAAGAAAGGAGAGAGGAAGGAAAGAGGGAGGGGAAAGAGGAGAGGAGGGAGAGAGGAAAGCGAGGCAGGCAGGTTGTCAAGAAGGAACGAGGGAAGAAGAGAAAAGGACAAAAGAGCAGACAAGACGGATTCCTCAAAGACAGCCTCTTTCTTCCTCCCCCCCTCTAGGACTGTTTTTTCTACTCGCTGGTTTTTGACCCGGTTCAGAAGACCCTCTTAGCCGACCAGGGGGAGATTCGGGTGGGCTGCAAGTACCAGGCAGAGATCCCTGAGCGACTGGCGGAAGGTGAGCCAGGGCGGATCCGGGTTCCGATCTGGGGCGAGGGGAGCCGAGCTGGAGAAGGGCCGGCCACGAGTGCTGATCCTCCCCTTTCCTCCTCCTCCTCCTCCTCAGGGGAATCCGACAACCGGAACCAGCAGAAGATGGAGATGAAAGTGTGGGATCCGGACAACCCGCTGACCGACCGGCAGATCGACCAGTTCCTCGTGGTGGCTCGGTGAGGTCCGAGGGCGGCGGGGGGGGGGCTGCTCGGGGCCCCGGTGGAGAGCAGGCGGTGGTTAGCCCTTCTCTCCTTTTTCTCCTTTTTCTCCGGCCTCAGGGCGGTGGGCACCTTTGCGCGAGCCCTCGACTGCAGCAGCTCCATCCGTCAGCCCAGCCTTCACATGAGCGCAGCGGCTGCTTCTCGGGATATCACGCTGGTGAGGATGGGCGGTTGCTGGCCTGCCCTTCCTTCCTTCCTTCCTTCCTTGCTCCTTCCTTCCTTCCTTCCTTCCTTCCTTCCTTCCTTCCTTCCTTGCTTCTTCCTTCCTTGCTTCTTCCTTCCTTCCTTGCTTCTTCTTTCCTTCCTTCCTTCCTCCCTTCTTCGCATTCCCATCTCTCTCCTTCCTTCTTTTCTTCCTTCCTTCCCCCTCCAATGTTCCTTCCTTCCTCTTTCTCTTTCTTCTCTCCCCCCTTCTCTCTCTGTTTCTTTCTCTGTCTATCAGTCTCTCTTTTTTCTCTTTCCTCTCCCTTTCCTTCCCTTCCCTCCTCTCTCTTAGACCTTCCTTCCTCCCTCCCATTCCTCCTCTCCTTTCCTTTCCCATTCTTTTTTCTTTTCTCTCCCTCGTCTCCTCCCTTCCCCTTCCCTCTCTTTGATTTCAGTCTGTTCTCTTTTGCCATGGCTAAAATCTTTAATTAAAAAGTACAGAAGAAGAAAAAAAAGGCCAGGGATTCTCACATCACAGAACTTGCTCTGCGATGTGACAAAGCAACCGCTCACTGCTTGCCTGCTCTCTCCCCTCCCTCCCCCCTCTCTCTCTGTCGCCAGTTTCATGCAATGGACACCCTGCAGCGTAACGGCTACGACCTCGCCAAGGCCATGTCGACTCTGGTGCCCCAGGGCGGGCCCGTGCTGTGCCGGGACGAGATGGAGGAGTGGTCCGCTTCGGAAGCCATGTTGTTTGAGGAGGCCCTGGAAAAATACGGGAAAGACTTCAACGACATTCGGCAGGACTTTGTGAGTGCGATTGTGGCTCAGGGCTCCTGATTACAAAAAGGATCTTGTTGACTTGCAAGGCCAACATTTCCGTTGCTCAGCGAGGCCCTCGCGAAGCGCCTTCTGCCCCATTTTACGACCTTCCTGGCCCCGGCTGCTAAGTGAATCGCTGCAATTGTTAAATTAGCAACAACCAATTAAGGGAATCTTGACTCCCCCCACTGACTGGTCAGAAAAAGGGGATCATGGGACCCCATCATAAACACGAGTCAGTTGCCAAGCAATCCCAGTTTTGATCACGTGACCCTGCGGACGTTGTCAGGGTCGTAAGGCTGAAAAACAGTCGTCAAAATGGGAGTTTTGATCCCGTGACTGGTCCTAGAAACGTCATAAGTGAATTTTCAGTGCTATTTTGTAACCAAAGAATCACTGAATGAATGGCTGTAAGTTGAGGACCGTCTGTATTTCTGGTTTGGGGGGAAACCAGCCGTTGCAAACCGTGGCCTGGTGTTGGTTTAATGACGGCCAGGCCAAGAAAGAGGGCAAAATAGACACACACACCCCACTTTGCGGCCATCTTGGTCAGGATCCATTATGGTCATAACTCAAGGACTACCCATATGGTTATTGGCTGGATTAAACCCTGGAAGAGCCAGGATCGATAGGACCAGCCCCTCCCCTCTTTTGTGGGGAGGGCGTCCTTTTCAAACCCACCCACCCCCTCTCTTCATAGCTGCCCTGGAAGTCCTTGGCCAGCATCGTGCAGTTCTACTACATGTGGAAAACCACAGACCGATATATCCAGCAGGTGAGGAAGGGTCTTCCTGCAGCTGCTTTTTGGGGGAGGGGGCGATTCCCTTCCTTCCTGGAGGCGGGAGGAGGGTGCATTTTTCTGGAGACCCTTTTTTTGGGGGCGTCCCAATTCTCCCGTTTCCTTTTGCCGCGCAGAAAAGGTTGAAAGCGGCGGAAGCCGACAGCAAGTTGAAACAAGTATACATCCCAACGTAGTGAGTATCCCCATCTTGGGGGGTTTTGAAGGGGTCTTATTTCTCCCCAACAGACTGCCTTGAGGCAGATAAATGCTCCCCCCAGCCCCCAAGACCCAGGGGGAAAATTAAGAAAGAACAGCGTGAGCAGGGGGAGGTCTACGTATCAAATGCCAGCTGTTGTTTATTCCAGACTTACGGATCAAATCCTTGTGCCCTGCTTCCCCTTTCCCACCAAGGGTTAGAAGCACGTCTATCATTCTCCGGCAGTGGGGTGGATTCCACCGGTCCCTGTTTTTTTTTTTTAATTGCAGCCAGATCTGGGATCGGTAGAAGGACATCTTTTGTAATTCAGGGTTCAAATGAGGGGTCCTTGGCGCTCTCTGAGTTTGGTGGGTTTTTTGGCAGACGTTTCATGATCCAAACTAGATAACATTATCAGGGGTAGAAAGAATGGGGATGATGGAGGAGGAGGAGGAGGAGGAGAAATAATAATGATGATGATGATGATGATGATGATGTTGGGTCCTTCATGCTGTCTGAGCTTGGTTGTTTTCTTGCAGACGTTTCATGACCCAACTAGGGAACATCATCAGTGCTGGAAGGAAGAGGGGAAAAGGAGGAGGAGGACTGTGGAGTCCTTGGTGCTCTCTGAGCTTGGGTGGTTTCCTTGCAGACGTTTCATGACCCAACTAGGGAACATCATCAGTGCTGGAAGGAGTGAGGTTTGTCCTCACAGTCTTCCAGCACTGATGGTGTCACCTAGTCCGGCAACGCAACATCCGCAAGAAAACCAGCAGGCGCCCCACAGATCTGGGATCTGGCTGTTTGGCTTTGGGCCCTGTGAAAGTCAAACGTAGCTGACTTGTTCCCCCCCCCCCCGTGCCTTTCTTGCTCTGTCTCCCCTTCCCCAGTACGAAACCGAACCCGAACCAAATCATCTCCGTGGGCTCCAAGCCTGGAATGAACGGCGCCGGGTTCCAGAAAGGGCTGACCTGTGAGAGCTGCCACAGTAAGTTTCCACCATGGAATCGGGGGCTGCCTCTTCCTTCTGCTGGACGCGAGGCCCACATCGTCTTTTCCTCCGCCCCAGGCACCCGAGGAGACCGATAGGGCTGAGCCCCTGCGGCCGGCGGGGTGGGGTGGGGGATGTTGATGAGGTCCTCATTTGGCCCCCTCTCTCTGTCCCCCCCCACAGCCACCCAGTCAGCCCAGTGGTACGCCTGGGGCCCTCCTAATATGCAGTGCCGCCTCTGCGCCTCTTGCTGGATCTACTGGAAGAAGTACGGGGGCCTGAAGACGCCAACGCAGCTCGAGGGAGCCGCCCGCAGCATCACAGTAAGACCGAGACACACACACACACCCCTTGTGGCTTTGTGTGAGAGGCTGGGAGCTGGCTCAGGACATACGTTCTGTTGGGTGCTGGTTGCCAGTGAGGGGCGCCACACTGTCTCTTGGTGTTTGACCCAGAGTCACCCAAATGGCTTTCATGGCTAAGGTGGGACTAGAACTCACCATCTCCTGATATTTGGCCCAAAGTCACCCAGCCAGCTTTCATGGCTAAAGCGGGACTAGAACTCACCATCTCCTGGCAATTGGCCCACGATGAAGGCTTTCATGCCGACGGCGGGACTAGAATTCACCGTCTGCCATCTTCTAGCACGGGGGCTCTGTCCCTAGGCCAAACGTTCCGCCCGAGCTCCCATATGATGTCCGTCCCTCCTCCTCCTCCTCCCCAGGAGCCCCACTCTCGGGGCCACACGTCTCGGCCGGAAGCCCAGAGCCTCTCGCCCTACACCACCAGCGCCAACCGGGCCAAGTTGCTGGCGAAAAACCGGCAGACCTTCCTCCTGCAGACCACCAAGCTGACCCGCATCGCGCGACGTATGTGCCGGGATATCTTGCAGCCACGGCGGGCCGCCCGGCGCCCTTACGCGCCCATCAACGCCAATGCCATCAAGGCTGAGTGTAGGTGGGGCCGAGGGAGGGGGGGCAGGCCGGAAGAAGCGGGTGGGTCTCACGGGAGCTGTGGCTTCTTTCCCCTCCAGGCTCCATCCGCCTTCCCAAAGCGTCCAAAACGCCCCTGAAGATCCACCCTTTGGTCCGTCTTCCTCTGGCCACCATTATCAAGGAGCTGGGTAAGGGGTCTCTGCCGAGATTGGGATCTGTCTCTGGACGGGAACGGTCTCCCTTCCTCATTTCCCGGACACGCATCAGCGGAATAAGATATACCCCCTCCCCAGTGCAGCCCCTTGGAAGGGAGGAGGTCACGGAAAGAGGGAGGAGAAGGGGCCAGGTACAGTGGGAAAAGAGGAAGGAAGATGGGTGGGTGGATGGATGGATGGGAGGGAGGGGGAGGGAGGGAGGGAGGGAAGGAAGGAAGGAAGGAAGGAAGATGAAGGGAGGGAGGAAAGGAAGGCAGGAACAAAAAGACAAGAAAGCGAGAAAGAAGGAAGGAAGGAGAAAAAGCAAGAAAGGGGAAGGATGGGAAGGAAGATGAAGGAAGGCAGGAACAGAAAGACAAAAAAAGCAAGAGAAAAGGAAGGAAGGAGAAAGAAAGCAAGAAAGGAAGGATGACAAGGAAAGCAGGAACAAAAAGACAAAGACACAGAAAGCAACAAAGAGCGAGAGAGAAGAAGGAAGGAAGGAAGAGGAAGGATGGGAAGGAAGGAAGGAAAGCAGGAACAGAAAGAGACAGCAAGAAAGCGCAAGGAAAAGGAAGGAAGGAGAAAGCAAGCAAGAAAGGAAGGATGGGAAGGAAGGGAGGCAGGAAGATGAAGGGAGGCAGGAACAGAAAGACAAAAAGCAAGAAAGCAAGAGAAAAGGAATGGAGAAAGAAAGCACGAAAAAGGAAGGAAGATAAAGGAGGGAAGGAAAGCAGGAAGAAAAAGACGAGAGAGACAAAAAGCAAGAAAGCGAGAGAAAGAAGGAAGGAAAGAAAGGAAAAGAAGGAAGGAGATGGGATGGATGTGGGAAGGCACCTTCAGCGCCCCATTCCTTTTTTTTTTCTTTTGGCAGCCGCCCAGGCGCCCCTGAAACCCCGCACCCCTCGCGGCACCAAGACGCCCATTAACCGGAACCAGCTGACCCAAAACAGAGGCTTGGCTGGCATCGTGGGCAAGCGGACTTTCGAGAACGTGAGTAGCTGAGCTGCAAGCGACGGACGGGACGGGACGGGCCTGGAGTGGGGTGGGAGAAGCGGATCTTTTATTTTTATTGTTCGGGAAAAACCATCCCGAGATCCGGAAAGCCAGCAAGGGTAGAAGCCCCCCCCCAATAAAAACCACCTCCTTCTAGTGGTTGGGAGTCCTGCAACCCATAACGCCCTGCAATTTGGCAGGCATTCTCTCCTCCGCCTATGAGGGAAGCCAGCTCTGCATCCTCTCCCTTTTTCTCCTCTCTCCGTCTCGCTCGCCCTTGGGGGGGGGGCTTTCTCCCCCGCAGAAGTGGGCACCACCCCGCTTTTATGAAAACACTGATAAACAACCGGCCATCTTTCCACCAAACCTTGGCTTGTCCCCTTGAGAAGGCGGCCGATCTGAGGCGGGCGGGCGGCTAGGCGGGCGGGCGGGGGGAACCAGCAAGAGGTAGACATTGCTTTGGGGGGGGTGTTCCTCTCGCTGATAGCTCTGTGTGCGACCGGGCGCAGGTGGCAGGGGGCGGGCTCCCCTTCTCGGCCAACGGGCGGTCGCTAACTTCCGGCATGAGGTCAAGCAGTCAGCCTGCCCTGAAACGTCAGAAGCTGAACCCCGCCGACGCCCCCAATCCTGTCGTTTTTGTGGCGACCAAGGACACCAGGTACGGAGGCAGAGTTGGCGCGCTGCGGGGCCGCGTGGAACGGTGTCTTGGGGAAGACGGACAGATCAAAATCAGCGGACAGATCAAAGAGGCGGCCGAGCCCTCCGAAAGGAAACGGGGAGCCTCCCTAGTTTCCTGAATTGTAAAGGCAAAAAAAGGGGGGGGGAGAGATGGACGTTCAGGACTTGCTAAATTCTGCCCCCCCCATAGACTTAGAGGAGGAAGAGGGAAGGAAACGGTCAAATAAGAGGCGGCTGAGCCCTCGGAAGAAAAAAAAAAAAAGGCTGTGTGGAAAAGATTTGGACCCTCCCTAGATGCTTCATCTTTAAAGGTGGGGGGGGGGACAGACTTTCAGATCCGCAAGATTCGGTTACAAGAAAGATAGAGCTTGTCCCTCCGATTGTATACTACCTTGCAAGGCTGACAGGGAGGTGACGGCGGGTTGGGTCACTTCATCGGCTCCCTCACCCCCCTTTTGGGGAGGGGGTTGTGGCCCCTTCTGTCCAGTCCCCCTCGCTTTGATGCAGAGCAGATGACACTTCCCGGGATCAGAATGGTGGAAACAGCTGGATTCTCGCCGGTGGTTCTAGAATGGCCAGTCTCCTTTTTTGCATCCATCCAGCGGTCTTTCTCAAGCTTGTCGCCTTTAAAAGGGGTGGACTTCAACTCCCAGAATTCCACCCACCTTAAAGCAGGCTGGCTGGGGGGGCGGGAGGGGGGTTCTGGGAGATGAAGTCCATCTATCTTAAAGCATGTCGGTTGGGGGATTCAGGGAGTTGAAGACTATCCATTTTAAAGCTTGCTGATTGGGGGGTTCTGGGAGTTGAAGTCCACCTATCTTAAAGCATGCCAGCTGGGGAATTCTGGCAGTTGGTCCACCTATCTTAAAGCATCTTAAGTGGGGAATTCTGGGAATTGAAGGCCATCCATCTTAAAGCAGGCTGGCTGGGGGATTCTGGGAGTTGAAGTCCACCCCTCTTAAAGGCCCGAAACTTGAGAAACCTAGAGATTTGCTGGCTGGGAACCTGAAAAAGTTTCCGAAGCCACCAGCGAGTAGGGGGACCCCTGAGATGTTTTTAGAAGGGGGGGGGGGAGAGAAGCAAACGGTTCTTTCTCAGTCCAGGCGTTTGTCTACCCCGCCCTACCAGCCTGGGCGCCCTAAACGTGCTCTTTCCTTCCCCAGAGCCCTCCGCAAGGCGCTGAGCCACCTGGAGATGCGGCGAGCTGCCCGTCGGCCCAACCTTCCAGTGAAGGTGAAGTCAGCCCTGCCGCTCAGGCCTCTGGGGGCTCCCCTGTTGCCGGTCCCCCCAGTCCACCCTGCCAGCACCAGCGAGCCCATCATCCTGGAAGACTGAGCGCTGAGCTCCCTTCTCAGCCCCTCTAGCAATCTTTTGGTAGCCACCTCGCCCAACACCACAACGCCCCTCCATCCAGACCGGAGGCCCGATTCGCCGCAAGCCGCTTCCGAGGGTCCCGTGGCCCAGCATTTGCTGGGAACGGGCCGGGCTGGGGGGTCCCTGCCCTCTCTCCCCCCCGGAGTTGGGTCCTGGGTCTCCCGCCCTCTCTTTTTTATATATAAATATATTTTTAATTTCCACATTTTACATTTGTACTTCCGCCCCCCCCCCCTCTTCCCGCCCAGCCTCCTCCGCTCCTCGCTGATCTGAATGCACAAAGTCCCCCGGTCCTGTACGGTTTTTTTTTTTTTTTTAGGGGCGCCCTCGTGTTTTCGCCTCCCTCCTCGTTTAGGGACGCAGGCGATGCTAGGAGAGGCGTGGGATTGGGAGGGTCAGAGGCGTCCCTGTTATTTTCAAAACGGCCTCTTTTTTCCAACGGGATCGCTCTTTTCCCGTCTCTGTGTGGTTTTTTTTCCCTCTTCTGGGATCCTCTAAAATCTTCCCTCCCGCCCCCCCAATTTGAGAACAGGGAACCTTTGCAATTCCTTGTTAATGCATCCATCTGATGAATCCCCCTCCTCTCTTCCCCCCCTCAGCCTTTGACGAATTCCTTTTTTTTGTACATGGTTTGGAGAGCAAAAAAAAAAAAAGGGTTTTTTTAAAGTCAGCCTCTTAACTGGTTCTTATAAGCAACGACAGCGGGGAAAAATAATAATAAATGCCGTTTTCTTCACTTGCTTCTCCGGCTCGTGGTTTTTGGGGAGGGGGACAAGTGGGAACCTGGGGTGCGTTGTTACTTGGAAAAGACCCTTGCCTGATTTGATAAGGGGCACATTCCTTTATTGCATCTAGGAAAAACAAAATGCAGAAGGAAGTTTGTGGAGCGCCTCTCACGGACTCTGTTTTTCCTTGAAGTCCTATCGCTTCTGATCCAAGAAGCTTCTTCAGTTCTGGAGAATCTCAATAGACATACAGTCATGAAAGTTTGTTTGGCCCTGATTTATTTTGCCAGCACCGATTAACACTGATCACCTCCTACAGTGCTAAATTTTAGTGTTTTTCCCAAAGGAGCACTCATTAAATGGGACTACAATACAGCCCAAATCGTTTGCAAAGTCACATGAGATAGAAAAGCGCTTTAAAACCCTAAATTTTGGGGGGAAGTCAGAAAAGCCATTGTGTCACTTCTAGCGCAAAAAAACCTCTTTCTAAATTGTGCAATGGAAGCTTATTTTATTTTGGTACCCTTTATTGCTGTAACCTGCAATTAACCCAAAGTTTCCACACACTAATAAGCATGGAAAAGCGTGTTCGGTTTCAACCCGGAAGTGTTCGGCGAAAAGCCGGCTAATTGATAGACGCGGCGGAGCTACAAGAATTCCGTTTCTTTTTCTACCTCTATGCGGAGGGATAGACACTCAATTGAACCTTCTCTGCCACTCAAAGGATGAACTTCGCATGGGAACCGGAAGTTTTAATGGAACTTGGTTGCTCCTTAGGTCAATGGCCGTGACGTCCGCATATCGATGTCACACGATACACTCCATCCGGCCCCTTCCGCTTTTCAGACAAAGGCATCAAGTAGTAAGGGCTAGACGGCACCTCGTTTTGGGCGGAAGCTACATTGGAGCCGAAGGAGCTTCCGGCCGTGGAGGGAAATGGAAGAAGAGGGAACGCTGGGCGATGTGGATGATCTGCCCCGCGGGGCTTTTCGGTGCCGTCTCTGTCACGTGACGGTGGCCAACAGTGAGTGGGGTCAGGGGTCAAGGAGAGGCCTAGTGCAGTGAATTAAATACTCCTGAAATAAACTCGTAAAATTGAGGTTTAAAAGGGTTGCTCTTGACACATGGGGAGTTGTGAGCCAATAAACATGGGGCGGGGTTCGGCTGATAATCAAAGCCAGCGGCGCTTTGCCCATGGTCAGAGGCACTTTTGCCTTAGAAAGTTGGTAGCCTTGCTTTATAAACTTGGTTAGCCAATGAAAATCAGACAACAGAGCCATTACATCGTAAGGAAGACACCCATCCGTTCTGTACACTCCTTTATTCCCTCCTTCAGTGTATATCTCATCCATGTGCGTGTTTCTCACACTTGTATGAGATTTCCCTGACGCAAAAAGCTGATTACAAAAAGCAAGAATGCCACAAAAAGCAAAAATTACAAAAAGCAAGAAAGACCAAACCATTTCCCTTTGTTCCGGAACCCTTCAATAACTTGCTTTCATTCTTTAGAGCCCAGCTTGGAAGACCATCTGCGCGGAAAGAAACACCAACGCCTGGAAAGCCTTCGTAGTGTCCGTCAGTCTCAGGAACTCCGCAGTATTTTTGTCAGTGGCTTCCACAAAGGGACGACAGCCTTGGAGCTGAGCAACTATTTCGGAACCTACGGGGAGGTGATCAATGTAGTGATGGACAAAGATAAGGTGAGTGTCATCCCTCCACCCCTTTGCTTTGCACAGGTTGACGCTTTTGATTGATTAAAAAAAGAAGTCACTGGAACAAATTGGCAAGCTTAAGGCTCCTTTCCTTTTTTTTCTGCAAGGGGGTCTATGCAATTGTGGAACTGCAGGACGAGGAAATGCTCCAGAAAGTACTATCAGAAGCACAACATAGCCTAGGGGGGCAGAAATTACGTGTCAAGCCACGGGAGAAGAAGGATTTCAGATACACCCCACCAAAGAAACAAGGGTCAGCCAGGCGGGAGCAGCTGAGCCTGGAGACGTTGGCACACAATCTCTGCCAAATGGATGATGTAAGTGTCTCTGGAGCAGTGCTGGCTGAGGGACCCTGGGAGTTGAAGTCCACCCCTCTTAAAGCATGCTGGCTGGAGAATTCTGGCAGTTGAAGTCCACCCATCTTAAAGCATGCTGGCTGGGGAATTTTGGGAATTGAAGCCCACCCATTTTAAAGCATACTGCCTGGTGGATTGTAGTCCACTCATCTTAAAGCAGGCTGGCTGGGGAATTCTGGGAGTCAAAGGGCACCCATCTTAAAATTGCCAAGGTTGAGAAACATGCTCTGGAGGATTCCCTCTTTAAAGATGGCTATAGGGAACGTCCTAAATAATTCCTCTGAATACAGTTGGTTACAGAAAAAAAAAAACTTCATTATTTTTTCCTGCAGGTTGATGCCCAGATGTCTTTACTGGTTCAACTCTTTGAATTTTCTGAGAGCGAACAGCGTCTGCGAGACTTGCTCGTCAAGCTGTTCGAGGAGGTGATTTCTGAATTCTTCCCAGGTAAAGTGGACTCTTTGCCATCTGCTTCGATTCGGTATTTTGAACGTTTCCGATTTTACAACTGATCCTTCTCCCAAATCCACAGAATCGGCCATCCTTCCCTTTGGGTCTTCCGTGAACGGCTTCAGCGTCTCTGGATGTGACCTGGATTTGTTCCTGGATCTTGAGAAGACGAAAAACTTCCAGGCTTCTGCCAAGAGAACGGATAAGCCACCGGTGAGGATGAAGCTGGACTGTATCTTGATCAAATGTAGATTTATTTTTTGGTCCCGTATCTCTTGTTAGAGGTAGGAAAGATTCCTTAAACTTGGCAAGACCACTGCAGATCACTGTCAGTTTTCTCAATCTCAGCCGCTTTAAGGTGTGTGGACTTCAACTCCCAGAATTCTCCAGCCGGTATGCTTTAGGATGGGTGGAGTTCAGCTCCCAGAATTCTCCAGCTGGCATGATTAAGATGGGTATACTTCAAGTCCCAAAATTCGCTAGCCGGCATGTTTTAAGATGGGTGGACTTCAAGTCCCAGAATCCCCCAGTCCACATGCTTGAAGATGGGTGGACAAACAAAATGAACAGAAGTGATTGGTTCACGTATTGGGCTGTGGGTGGATCGGAGGGAAACGGGTAAATAACTATTCCAGTGTTTGCGTTGGAAATCAGAGCTGGCTTTGCTTCTTCTGTGCCAATGTAGATTTTCAGTAAAGTATTATACCAGTGGTGGTGAACCTATGGCACGCGTGCCAGAGGCGACGCTCAGACCCCTCTTTGCGTTCAGTCCTGGTCGTAAGTTGAGGATTACCTGTATACCCATGCTTGAATTCTGGCAGAGAGGGCTTAATCCTGTCTCAACTTTTTCAGACAGAGGAAGAAGTTTCTGAAATCGAATCTCGCTCCGAAGATTCGATCCTGTCTGATATTGACCTGGTCACTGCCACCGTGCCTGAAATCCTCGATCTGGTGGCCACGGTGCTGCAGAAATGTGTGCCGGGCGTTCATCATGTCCAGGTGGTCTCCACCGCCCGCCGCCCCGTGGTCAAGTTTTGCCACAAAGAATCCAGCCTGAGGGGCGACATCTCCATAAACAACAAGTATGGATATAATCTCTTTCTAGCACGGGTAGGCAACCTTGTCTCTTTTATGACTCATGGACTTCAACTCCCAGAATTCCTGAGCCAGCTAAAAGAGCCAAGGTTGTCTACCCCTGCTCTAGCAAAACCCCATACAGGAAGTCCTCGACTTAAACAGCTCATTTAGTGATCGTTTGTAGTTACAACGGCACTGAAAAAAAGGGACATAGGACCATTTCCCCACTCTTAACAACCGTTGCAGCTTCCCTGTGGTCACCTGAGCGAAATTCAGAGGCTTGGCAACTGACATGTACTTATGACGGTTGCAGTGTTTCCCGGGGTCACGTGATCCTCTTTTGCAACTTTCCGACAAGCAAAATCAACAGGGAAGCCAGATGCCCTGTGATTAGCTTACCACCTGCAGTGATCCACTTAAAAATGTGGGCAGGAAAGATGATAAAATGGGGCAAAACTCACAACTGTCTTGCTTAGCAACATAAATGTTGGGTTTTATTGCAGTCGTCAGTCGAGGACTGCCTGTACTCAGTCAGGCTCAGTCTATACAGCAGTTTAGACTCTGGATAATTGCAGACTGCCAGTTTAATCTAGAGCAATGTTTCCCAGCCTTGTCAAATTTAACAGATGTGGACTCCAACTCCCAGAATTCCTCTGCTGTTTATACTGGCAATATTGAGAAACGTTGACCTAATGGCAAAGGAACTGGATTAGGATGGGGGAAATGTGAGTTTAGGGGTTTCCTGTGGGCCGAAGAGAATATGGCAAGAAACTTGGGTATAGAGAAGTGGCTGAGCTCTGCACGGTATATTCTGATTTATGCTCCATCTTCTTCTGTTTGATAGGCTGGCCTTGTGCAACACGCGCTTCCTGCAGTTTTGCACCGAAGTAGATGAACGTGTGCGGCCTTTGGTCTACTCAGTGCGCTTCTGGGCAAAACAGCAAGGTTTGGCAGGTAAGATGGAAGGGAAGGGAAGGGAAGGGAAGGGAGGAAGGAAAGGAAGGGAAGGAAGGAAGGAAGATGGAATGTGGAAAGAAGGAAGGAAGATGGAATGTGGAAGGAAGGAAGATGGAAGGTAGATGAAGGAAGGAAGATGGGAGGGGCAGCCAAAGGAATGGAAGTATCCTCCTTTGGGGGTCACAATTTTAGTGGTGGAATAGCAGATGAAGAACCATATATCAATTGATCTACTTGTATACAGGTAGTCCTCAACCTATGACCACAATTGAGCCCAAAATTTCTGTTGATAAGTGAGACATTTGTTAAGTGAATTTTGCCCCGTTTTACAATTTTTTTTTTTTTTGCAGGAAATCTTTTTGGTGGGGGCCCCCTTTTCAACAACTACGCCCTGACCTTGCTGGTGTTCTTCTTCCTACAGACACGCACCCCCCCAGTCTTGCCGACGGTTGCACAGTTGAAGGATCTCTCAGGTTAAACTCCCTCCGTGCACCAATTCCCCCCCCCCAAACAGAAACAGTAGCTTCCACATTTACTATGATTTTACTACGAGTACGGGTGGTCCTCAGCCTATGACCACAGCGGCGCCCGTTGTAACTTCGAACAGTCACCAAGTGAGCGGTCGAGGACTCCCCTGTATTTATTTATATTTTTCAGTCAGTCACACTGAGTGGTCCCCTTTTCTGCTTTTCTTTCCAGGGTGAATGACCTCAGTGATGGGATAGAAATACGACAAAAAGCAAAGCCAGAATCCAATTGAAGACTTTGCAGACAGATTTCCCTCCCCCCCCCATCCTTTTCCAACTTATTTTCCTTTCTTGTCAGATGATGGAGAACTGACCGTGGTGGATGGTTGGGACTGCACTTTCCCTAAAGATCCGGCTTCGTTGCAGCCCAGCGGGAACACAGAGAGTTGTTGTGAGTTGCTACAAGAGTTTTTTAAGTTGCATGTTGCTTTAAAAAGAATAGAACAGAACAGAACAGAATAGAATAGAATTATGAAAGAATAGTAGAATAAAATTATGAAAGAATAGAAATAGAATAGATGAATCATGAAGGAATAGAATAGAATTATGAAAGAACAGAATAGAATTATGAAAGAATAGAATATAGAATAGAATTATGAAATGTAATAGAATTATGAAAGAATAGAATAGAATAAAATTATGAAAGAATAAATGTAGAATAGAATTATGAAAGAATAGAATTATGAAAGAATGGAATGGAATAGAATGGAATGGAATAGAATAGAATAGAATAGAATAGAATAGAATAGAATAGAATAGAATAGAATAGAATAGAATAGAATAGAATAGAATAGAATATTTATGAGCAATGGATCCAGAAATTAATCTTAAAACTGTCTACCATTATAGATAGAATGTCTGTAAAATATATTATGGAAAAGGAATATATTTTATCTTACAAGATTGAGACTGATCTGAAAGTGGATTTAAAAATAATGGACCACAAGAACAATGTGGAAAAAAAGATACTACACTGGATATACACAGGAAACTTCCTAATGCTTGCTTTGTTAACTTTTTTCCCAGGCTCCCTTCTGGCAGAGTTCTTCCGTGTTTTCGAAAGCTACAATTTCGCCAGTGGGGTGATCTCCCTGCGCGAGGGTCGGTCACTTCCTCTCTCCAATTTCCTGTTATCCGACGCAGGCCAGAAATTCAAGGTGGGCCCCATCAACCTGCAGGATCCTTTTGAGCTGAGCCACAACGTAGCGGCCAACGTCAACGAAAAGACCGCACTGCGTCTCCAGCGAGGTTGTCAGGATGCTGCAAAATACTGTCGGAGTTTGCAATACCAGCGTAAATCCAGCAAGGGGAAGAACTGGGGGCTGGTCCGTCTCTTCCAGCGTGGCAGCTCCCAAGCCGTGGAACGGCTGGTCATCAGCCTCCCCTTAACGCCGGCAACCCAATCTCGGGGGTCCCACCCAGAGCTACACCTGAGCAGGGATTTCCACCAGCTCTGGTTTCGAAGAGTGTGCGCGGGTGTCTCGTTCGTTCTGGAGCAGGTGTTGAAATGCAGCTGCTCGGAGAAGCCGCCGGGATTCGGAGAAGATAGGGAACCCCTCAGCAGTGATCCGGAGGAGGAGCAGCTGAAAACGAAAACCGAACAGCTCTCCATGGGTTCCAAGCGATCTCTGGACGTAGAAGAGGCCGCGTGGGGTTCTCCATTGAAGAGATCACGAATAGAGAATTCGCTTCCCGCCACAGAGAGTGTGACTTGGAATTGCACCGCCTGGCACCGTGTCTGGTTAGGAAGACGCCGCGTCCGGCGACAATTCTGCAGCCCGGAAGTGGATCCCAAACCGAGAGCTGATCCCCTAGAGCTGGAAGGGAAAGTATCCGAGGCGATTTCCCGACAGGAGAGGGAAACTGGGCCCGTGGAGCCTCTGTTTCAATTCACCATTTGTGCCAGGATCACAGATGGTGGTTCTGGGGAACATGACCCACAAGTCAGCCTAAATTTCACCCCAGACCCTGAACAGGGAGCTGTTTTCCAAGATTTTTTTCATTTCCTACAAGGTTTTCTGCCCCGAATGGTTGAGCAGTACCTGACCACCAAGCCTTCAGACCTGCCTACCCCCGAAGACAAATCTTCTCCGGAGGATGACATTTGAACTCATTTAGACCAGTGGTTCTCAACCTGTGGGTCGCGACCCCAGTTGGGGTCGATCGACCATTTTACGGGGGCCGCCAAACAAGGCGATTGCCATTTTCCCCCCTCAGGGGGCGCCGCCGCGCATGCGCACCGCGCATGGGGCGGCCCTGCGCATGCGCACAACACATGGGGGCGCCCCGCGCATGCGCACCACGCGTGCGCGGCACATTTGTGTGACGGGGGTCGCCGTCACACAAACGTTGAGAAACGCTGGTTTAGACCATGGCAGAATTCTGTGTTTCGATTTTTTCCCCATTTTTGGCTGTTGGTGAAAATAAAAGGAATGGGGAGAAAAATTGAAACCGGTTTCCTTTGTGTTTTGAGTTCTTGAAGTTGATCCACCCACGATACCACACTAGGATTGTTGATTTAATGAACTCCACCGTGGGCTTTTGTCTTGACTCAACTAGGGAGCATCACCAGTGCTAGAAAGGAATGGGCTTTATTGCATAAGCCCTTTATAGCACTGATATTGCCTAGTTGGATAATGAAACATCAACCAAAAAACAACAAAGCTAATGCCTTTTTTTTTCTTTCAAAATAATTTTATTGAATGCTAGTTTTACACATTTAAAGTTCAGAAGAAGAAATTAAAAAAAATAATAATAAAAGAATGGAAAGAACATGATGAAAAAGAAAATATAAAGTGTATAGTTCTTTGTATGTTTACAAACTGTCTGATGATCAAACCTCAACCGCATAGAGGGGAGTTATGTGTAAAGAAGACCAGTATCCAGTTGTATGTAACTTGGGATCAAACTGTTTTCTTGCCAATGTTTTATTACCAGGCTTAATAACATCATCAGTCTGAGGGAATATATCTATATCTGTCATCTATTTTATCTATCTCTTTAGCATCCATCTATCATCTGTCTTGTCTATCACTCATTATCTGTCTGTCTGTTTCTGTATCTCAATAATCTATTAGCTCTATATTTCTCACTATATGTATCTGTTTCTATGTATCTCAGTCTGTTATCTATATTTTCTCACTATGTCTATCTGTTTCTATGTATCTCAATATATATCTATCATCTCTATCTGTTTCTGTATCTCAATAATCTATTAACTTTATATTTCTCACTATATGTATCTCTATCTGTTTCTATGTATCTCAATCTGTTATCTATATTTTCTCACTATGTCTATCTGTTTCTATGTATCTCAATATATATCTATCATCTCTGTCAATCTATCTCTGTCTATCTATCTATCTATCTATCTAAATATTAGTAGCTCAGGATTGAAATGAGGGGGTCTTTGATGCTCTCTGAGCTTTGTTTTTTTTTGTTTTTTGTTTTGTAGATGTTTTATTACCCAACTTAGTAATATCAGTGCTAGAAAGGGCACATGCAACAAACCCCACTCCTTTCTAGCACTTTCTTTCCCTAGTTGGATCATGAAACATCTGCAAAAAAAACATCAAGGTCATTGACCCCCAAGAGCCTCTTATCCCTCTTTCTGATCTCATCTATGGCACTTCAGTTACGCTAAGTGACCCTTGCAACAATTTATGAAGTTTTATTAAGTTTTATTAAATAGAGAATTAGCGCAATGAGACAAATATGGCAATAAAAATTGGTGGAACAGTGACTCTTTTAAAAACGAGCATTGCAATCAGATAGATCCGTCAAATGGCCGAAAGCTTTTATGCATATACTTAGGAGCACTTTGTACATGCTTAGGGATACTGTGGTTTGGAGGAGGTCTCGTCTCGCAGTCCAGGAAGTACAAATCCGATTCTTTACCAGGTCCGGCAACCATCTTTACGTTACGCATGCGCGCCCTTTCGGGCCTTTCCTCTTATCGCGCTTGCGCACTGCTCCTGCTTTTCGCGCCCATTTTGCCTCCCCTCGATTTGTATCATAGAGATATGAAATTGTAGAAGAACCTTTGGCTTGCAATCCACCGTTTGGTCAAATGTAAGTTTACTATATCCTATTGAGGACGGCAGTTATTGCTAAAAAAATAAAAAAAAGATTTGTTCAAAGTCTGAATGTCGCCTTCTCTTTTGCTACACCTAATAGCAGGGAGTTGTGAGAATGACACGCCGACTCTTCGCATAGAACAAATGTAAAATACATGTCTTCCCTTTTTAGTATCTCTATATTCAAACCTACCCACAACCCTTCGCGAAGATCCACGCCCTAAAGAGATTCTCTATTGGAGAAGGCGGAGCATTTCCCAGCGTGCCCCGCGGCTCTCGAGTATTTAACTCTTTTGCCGCCAGTTTCTTTTTCTTTTTAGATGAATCTGTGGCTGACTCGTAGAAGGTGCGTTGTTCTTAATCCGTCGCCATCCTCGGCCGGTGGGAATATCAGCTCCAGACCAACTCGCTTCAATTCTTTCAAACGATCCCCTCTTCCCCATTTAGGCACAATTGGGATCCACTAGATCGAAAAAGATCCCGGTCCGGGGGAAGGGAGGAATCGATGCATGCAGCAAATAGGATCTCTGCAAAAAAAAAAAAAAAAGTATGCATGGGGGGGGGAAGTTGAAATGCTGCGCGGGATTGCATGCGAGCCCGGCTCTTTAATCAATATTTTAAGCATAGATAAAATGTATATATTATGCATATCTTTTATAAGATTTTTTTTCCTGGAGAGGAAAGAGGAAAATGCAATTTAAAACAGGCAAACTACCCAGAGTTCGGGATGGAGGGGACGCTTAATTTATATATATTTGGTTTTTTGCAAATACCTCTTAAGATGATGTGTGTTTGCCATTGCTTTAAAAAAGTGCTGGAGAGGGTAATTTTTTATTTAAAATTAAAAATTGTAAATAACAAAAAAATAAATAATTTTTAAGCCTCTTCCAAGGGGGCTATTTTTGCAAAACGGTGTCTTTTGGTGATGAAATTTAACACAGACCTGTTCTGAACTGTGCTGTGAGGATATTTTCATTTTCTGAAAAGACGCCAGTCGCCATACCACTTGGTAAAAACTTCGACTTAACCAAGGTTAAACTGTATTTCTAATTAGCTTCTGCTTTTCTCTACAGTTTGGGTCGATGGAATTCTGCAGCTCAGCATTCCAGGTAAGATGGGCTTTTTTTTTTTAATAGAACACGCTTGGTTTTTAAATTTCATTTTTTTAAAAAAATAGACAAAGACTGTACAAAGCCAGCTGTTCTGCAGGCCGCCGTTTGCTGCAATAAAAGACATGAGAAAGAATAGATTTAATAAGTAAATTGAAAAGTCAAAGTAACAGTTAGCTTGGGGTGGAATATATTTAATTTGTACGTAGCCCATCTCAGTATCTAGAATTACTCTAGGTCAGGGGTCTTCAAACTTGGCCCTTTTATGACTTGTGGACTTCAATTCCCAGAATTCCTCAGCCAGGAAAAGCTACCATGATGAGATCCACGAACTCTCTCTTTCTGATCTGTCAGTGGAGAAAATGGCACAAGTCTGAGTAGCGCTCAAAATAGAAAATTGACCAACTGTATTCCAGAACTATGTCTAATAAAAATGGGCTTTGTGAGGTTCAGGTGGCAGAAAATATATTCATTTTCCCTGTGGCTTCTTTTGCAGCTGCAAGCAGCACGGATGTCTCTGCGTGACAGGTAAGTGTACTAAAAAAGGACAGAATCTCTGTTCAAAAAAATCACTTTTAAAGCAGTTTTATTCTTTGTATGGAGAGGTTTTGCCCCCGTTTTATAAATACGAGCTAGTTGCCAAACATCTGAACTTCGATCAGCAGAAGTGTGAAAAATGCGTCATTAAGTCCTTTTTTTCAGTACAATTAAGGCTACCTGTTATTTGTTTTCTAATTGGCTGCTTGTTTGCAGTCTTCAAAAGGCAGGGGAAAAAAATCTGGATTATTAGTTACCAAAGACCCTTAGTCTCCTTCCTGTGTTCCGTGATGTGCCTAAAACAGACAAGCATATATCTGATGATGGGTGATGCTCAGTTAACTGTCTGAGAACACACAAGATCCTGTTTTTTAGGCATTCAGCTTGGAGAGAAAACGTATAAACTCTAGAATTCTTTGTTTCTTTTTTTTTTTTGCAGGGCGCGTGAACCTGCAAGGATCCGCCAATGGTTAAGATGCACTGTGGAGCTATTAGAGGTGAATTTTGAAGGCTGTGGGACAATTGGGAGATGTGTTTGTGACTTTGGCGCTCGAAAGGATGACTTCTGTTGTTGGACGACTTTTTAGTCAAATGGCAATTGAGTTACCAAAGCCCTGATCGGCCACACATCTTAATCACACAAATGTTTTTCTGGCTTTCCTTCTACTAATTTGGTTTTACTTTCTATCTTACAGACGATGGATCCACTTTAGAGAAAAGGTGAGTCCTTATTTGAAGAATGAGTTTTGTCTTTACAGGTCCAACGACCAGTGGATCACATGGTTAAGTGAATCCTGCTTCACTTTAAATAAAAAATGTTTTATCTTGTTTTTATGATTGTAAGCCATTAGAGTCCCCTCCGGGTAAGATGTGCCATATAATTTTTAGGAATAGACTAGAATAGAGACGAATAGAATAGAATAATGGGTAGAATAGAGCAATGTAGAATAGAACAATGAAGAGTAGAATAGAACAATAAAGTTGAATAGAAAATAGAATAAAAAGAAAATAGAGTAGAATAACAGTTGGAGAGGTCTTCTAGTCCAAATCCCTGCTCAGGCAGGAAAATAAAATAAATAAAAGATGGGTGGCTATTAAAATCCACAGCTTATGGTCCCAGTGATGAAAGCACCTCACGTCTTACTGTCTGACTGGCACCAGAACCTGCAAAGGTTGAACCCACTGGTGCCACCAGACGGAAAAGAGGATGGTCTGCTTCAGAAGAAGCTGTCTGATGTGGACCAAGCATCTGAACCCTTCTCATCTCCCAAGAATTGCTCTTGAGAACCCAGGTTCCTGCTTTTTGATCTGATTTCTTTTCTTTCGACAGCTTCTAAAGTGGAAATGAATCTTGAAGGACCCTGAAGATTGTCTCTCCTTGCGTCATCAAAGTAAGTATCCTGGTGCTTAATTCAAAATTAATTTGGTCGCCTGGCTTGGTTCCTTCTGACATGATGAAATTGTGTTGGAATCTCGTTCGGCTGAATTGTCGCTGTTGAGAATCGGAATCTGAGCATCAGCTGGAACCTGGCCAGTCTGGAGTGGGGGGGAGAGAGATATTTGCCCCTGCCCTGCTTTCTTGAGTCTTTTTAAAGTAGGGGTATCCAATAAGGCTTGTGGACCTGAAGTCCACCAATCTTCAGGTTGCTAAGTTGGGAGTTGAAATCCACAGATCTAGTTGTCAAGTTAGGAATTATAGTCCATAGATATTAAGGTTAAGTTGGGAATGGTAGTTCATAGATCTTAAGGTTGTCAAAATTGGACACCCTGTTTTGTAGCCTGTATATTTAATAGCTAGATAGCTAGGGGGGATTTCCATACCTTGAGACTGGTGCTGAATTAAATGTGAAGGCTCTGCAACAGGCTTGTATTACCTGATTAATAATGAGCAGAATTTTACCTGGCTGGTGTATTGACATGTTCATGATAATATTGTTTCCTACAGAATGGAAAAGCTGGTCCTGCAGGATGGAGAATGATCCGGTAAGAAACACTTCAAGATAGCTTTAAACCATAGATAAGGACTGTGGGTCAAATCTGGCCCACTCAGTGACTATTTTCATAGTTAGAAATGGGTGGTAGTCATACTCCCAGCCTTGGTGGAGTTCCTAGGCCGGCAAGACATCCTGTGGCTTGGAACTTAAATAAAATTAACTGGTTAAAAGTATTTGCTGCCGATCTTTCTGTGAGGCTACTCTAGGCATTTTACAGCAAAACGGAGGGAAAATGGCACTTTAGAGGTGACATTTTTTGTTTTGTTTAAAATAACTTTGGATATTTATTTGATTCACCAAATATACTCCGTCTTTCACTATGGTTTACAAATGATCTATGAACAGGATCCAACCCAGCTCAAACTGACATGTTACACCTCACTATATCAAGCTGGGGCTGCTAAATCAGCCTGCCTTCCTGCCAGGACAAATTAATTCTTGATAGTTAAATAAAGAATCCTAAAGCAACAATTCTCCGTGTAGAATTGATTTTTTTTTAAACCTATAAATGGGCATTCTTCTCCTTCCCAGTTTGCAGTTTTGATGATGAATACAACTAGCTCACTTTGAACAAAATGAAACGTCAGGAACTGCCTGAAAAACTGCAGATGGTAGGGGCGTTATAAGTTGGATTCCTGACCAGTTTTCCTTGCAATTTTATGGATTTGTTGATGTTTGGGTAAACATGTTGCTCTTTCTTTCTTTCTTTCTTTCTTTCTTTCTTTCTTTCTTTCTTTCTTTCTTTCTTTCTTTCTTTCTTTCTTTCTTTCTTTCTTTCTTTCTGCAGAAAATAACTTGCCAGGAACAACTCAAATATTGGTGAGTGGATTTTCCTGACTATGCAGGTAGCCCTTAACTTAGACCCACAACGCGGTCCAAAATTTCTGTCGCTAAGCGAGGCAGTTAAGCAGGGTTTTTCCCCATTTCAGAAATTCACTTAACTGCCTCACTTAGCAACAGAAACGTTGGGTTTAGTTTGTTGTAAGTGGAGGGCTACCTGTAATCATTTTACGACCTTTTTTTTAAATGTAAACGTTTTATGACCTTTTTCACCCCAGTTGTAAGTGGAAGACTAATCAAGAAAGCTGTAGTCGAGATAACGTTAGCAGCGAGGGATCAAATCCGTTGGGATTTATATCTCTGGCTAAACCACAGTCTGGTTTGTTTTGGCTTGGGGCAATTGTGGTGTGCAAGCCAGATTTTTGTGGGGTGTTTTTTTTTTCCTGATGCCTGCCAGGGCTGGCTCCCAAAATGATGAGATCTCTACCGCCCCAGTCTGATAATCTGTGACTGAGTGGTCCCTCTGATTGCCCAAAGCCAGCTCTCTTCTGCGTCAGTCTGGGACTTTATCGCTTGCCTTCCTTCTTTACATTTTGCACTATTTTCTTAAAAGCTCCCATTTAAGGCATATCACTATTTTCTTAAGCTCCCAATTTAATGCCTCCTGGCTCTTTTGCTGCACCTCTCTGCAGCATGAAACCTTCCGTTAATTCCCATTTCAAGAGTGAAAGAGTCCATTTATAACACGAAGCATGCTAATCAGTAATAATTGCTTTTGAAGCTGTAAAGAACACGTAGTAGTGTCTCAATTTCTCAGATGGACAAGAGTGCGTCTAATGAAAAGGAGGGCTAGGAGTGACAGGACAACATTGTTCCAATATTTGAGGGCTGCCACACAGAAGGAAGGGCTCAACTTATTCTCCAAAAGCCCCTGAAGGGCAGGACAAGAAGCAACTAATCAAGGACAAAGAAGCAATCTAGAACTAAGGAATTTCCTGTCAGTGAGAACAAGCAGCGCAAGGACTTCAGAAGTTGTGGAGGTTTTTAAAAAGATTGGACAGCATTTGTCTGGAAATGTCTAAGATCTGCCTGAGCCAGCAGGCTAGAAAACCTCCAACGTCCCTTCCAATTCTGTTGTTCTTGGCTTCTGGTGATATCCCCCCCTAGTTAAGTTCTTCATACACCAAAAAGCCTATTTGTTTTCATTGAGGCTTGTCCCTTGAGGTTACAGGTTATTTCAGCAGCTTCTCAATTTTTGATCTGTCTTCTGTTTCCATAAAGGCAGGCTGAAATGGTAATCGTGGAGATGTGTTGAAAAGAAGACACTAGCTTGTCCACATGTTTTCGAATCAAGAAGAATTTTTGTGTTTTTTTGGTGGAATAATGAAAAGCTGAAATGGATCCTGGCAATATCTTTCTGCCTTTAAATTCCTGGAGTATCTGAAATTTAAGACTGGCTGGAGGAAGAAAAACCCCTGCAGAGATGTGTGTTTTGGGGTTCTCTTTTTTTAAAAAAATAACAAAACCCAACCTTACATAACTAAAAAGAGTTTGCTGGTACTTAGAAACTGGAAGTTGGAAAAAAAACTTTGTTTTTCAATTCGTGGAAAGGTGGCAGCTTGGTACATGTCAGAAATCATGTATCGGCAATCAGTTCTGTATATGGTAAATTTCTTTTACATGTGTACAAAATTGCTACTATTAATAAATGCACTGGTTTGAAAAAAATGCTGGAGTTGGTTTATTTTCCTGACTAACTTGGGGATGGATGGATGGATGGGGGAGTTTGATCAGATGGTGCTTATCTAATTGGGTAATGCTTAGCTAATATTCCTTCCCCTTTTCCCCCACAACAATCCTGTGAGGTGGGCTGAGCTTGAAAGGGTTAGGCTGGCTCAGGAATTCTGGGAGTTGAATTCCATGAGTCATAAAAGAGCCAAGGTTGCCTGCCCCTGGCCTAGTTCAAGGGGTCCAATGACCGTGTCTCACAAAACGAGAACTAAGGTTGGCTTTGGGAAAGGGACAGTGAGGACCTAACGCAGGGGTCTTCATACTTGGCCCTTTTGTGACTTGTGGACTTCAACTCCCAGCATTCTTCATGAAGTCCACAAGTCATCAAAGGGCCAAGTTTGAAGACCCCTGGCCTAACCGATAAGCTGCAGTGCTCTGAGAAGGTCATTTGGTGGAGGCAAGAGGTCAAGCAGGCCCTCATTCAATTTGTATGCTGCCCATCTTGCAGCCAAGCACTGTTTTAAGTTGAATTTTGCCCCATTTTCCAACCTCTCAACTGCAGTTGTTAAAGTGAATCGTTGCATTTGCTAAGTTAGAGACAAATGAATCTGGCTTGTGGGAAAATCGCAAAAGGGGTCACATGACCAACCAAGACGCTTGCAACTGTCCTAAGTACATGCCAGTTGCCAAGACATCTTGAATTTGGATCACGTGACTGGGGATGTTGGAAGGGTTATAATTCCTCGTTCCTGCAAAGGATGGGTGAAGAAAACGGGCCCCAGAGGGCAGGTGGGGGAACAAAACCCCACCTCTGCCATCTCTGTTGCAGCCACCTGTGGCTGCCGCTGCATCCTGTCCCAACGTGCACAAAATGGTGGGACGAAGCTGGTGGGTTTTTTTTTTTCTTCCGCCGGACTTGAATGTCCATCGCGAACTACTACTTATATAACTTGGCCATGCCCTCAGCGGTCTTTTCTCCCTCCCCCTCTGGCGCCTGGCATTCCAAAGCTGTTGGCAGCTGCCGCTCTGGGCACCCACCCAGCAGCTGGCGGGGGCCAAAGGAATCTAGGCAGGCTGGGACAACAGGTTCAGGCCTGTTGTGGTGCTGAGATCCAGCCCCCTCAGCCTGCCCGCAGCTCTTTCCCTCGACATGCTCGTTTCTGTCCCGAAAGCTTGCAATGGGTCATTCTGGGCTGATCGTTGTCTTCATCCTGGGCACGGCTGTTCTGGGCTATGTCGGAGGTCAGGAGCTGGCGACGGAGGCTCTAACCGGTGGGCAGACGGCGCTTTGCCCTCCCGATGACAGCCCTGCGTCTTCGCAGGAAGGAGAGCTCCCGGTGCAGCCCAGATTTAGCAGCTGCATGGTGCGCTGCACTTCCCACGCCTACGAAGCCTTCATGGCAATGCTGGTGGCTGGCGAGTTCAAGAGCATGACAACGTCGCTGAAGCTGAACGAAGGAAGGCAAGGTGAGCGGGAGGGCCCTGGGACGGGTGCCAGGCTCCTACTGGATGCCAGCTCTGCAGCCAATCAGACTGAAGCAGGGGATGGGCTTGGAGACTCCGCCCTGGAGCGCTGGCAGCTGTGGAACAGCTGTCGGGCCGTTCCCAAGGCCTTGAGTTCCTGGGTGTGTGCATCTTGAAATCGGGGGTTATGTCCCTTCTGCTTAAAACCGATGGCCGTTTTAGTCCAACTGTCTCTGCAATTAGAGCTTCTAGATTAAAGTCGGCTAGGAATGAGGCAGGTTGTAAAGATTGTGAAGTAAATCGAAGCATGTTTATCCTTTCGGCCACTCTGTTCAATCCAGTGTTGTAATTTGGCAGCGGGGTGGAGGGTGGGATCTGCGATTTTTAAAAGGGGTATGATGAACAGTTGGTTCTAAATGCCAGCCAGATTTTGAAGTTAAGAGTTAGAACAGCTGGGAAAGGAAGGCTGGGTGTTTTGTTTTTTTAATTTATATTTTATAGTCTATAATTTACACTTTATTTTATATGCTATTTCTTTTCCTTGTTACCTTTTCTTTTTCCCTTTCCTTTCCTCTCTCTCAGTCCTCCCTCCCTCCCATTCTTCCTTCCCTTCTCTTCCTTTTCTTGTTTCTCTTTGCTTTCTTATCCTCTTCTCTCCTCCCCTGCCCTCCACCCATCTCCCCTAAGTGATCCTGTGTGGTTTAAAATCATACTACCTTCTTCTCTCCACAGGGCCAGATCACGAATTCTGCTGGATGCTTCATCTCCGTTGCCAGAGTGGCGTCCGTCTCACCAAAGCTTTTGTCCTGCTGAACCTGGAGCAGCCTCTGGGCCAGAGCCAGCCGTTCCCTCTCCGCCTCCTCCTCACTGCTCCAACTTGGCCCAACCCTCTCTTGCAACCTCGGTCCAAGAGACGAGACACCCGGCTGCTGAACGCGGAGGCCTGTGGCATCCGCTTCGATGTGACGCAGCCTTTCCGCGACGCCGAAGGCGGACGAGAGGCCCAGATGTGCGTGAAAGTTGTGTGTCCGGAGGGGGATGCCTGCGAGGCCATGCAGCTGAGTCTGCGCTGCCCGCTTTTCCTGGCCACTCTGTGGCGTACTTTGCCCCGCCCTGATGGCTAAACGGGTGTGGGGGGGGTTTCTTCTGAAAGGTTACCAGGGGGAAGAATAGGGTTCCCAGTTCCCCTTGTGCACACACACACTCCAGTTCAGCTGCTGAGGCAATCTTTGGACCGGTTTCCCTGAAGGATTCATTTTTAGCTGGCGATGTTTACATTGCTTCAGGTGGGACACGCGATATGTTGCAGGTGTGCGCAGGGGCCCCAGCTGCACACATTCGGTCATGCATCAATGCAATTGCAGATAGCAATGATGGGAAGCTAGTTTTCACTCTTGAGAAAGAACCACGACAAAACTCAGTGCATTAACACACCTTCTTCCCTTTTCACATCATATTTACAGTCACATTTACTGCAAATGTCAAATTGATTGGAGTATTCTGTTAGAAAGACGCCAGATTTTGCAAATGTCAAGAGCTTACATTGACTGCTAAAAGGGATTTCAACTAGCAAAAACGACACAATGCTGACTTTGAAGACCTTTTCTCTTTTACCTGAGGTTTTTTTTTTTTATCCTGCTCTTCTGCATGACAGGATGTTCCTAATTCCTGCAGAATGGTTCACTCGCTATTTTACAGGCTGGAAGTTCAGCTCTCTATTGTGCTGTTGGGATTAAGCATAAGAAAAATATATTGGACAGCGCATCCCCGTTACAGGACAGATTTTGCTAGACTTTAAAATTTCCTTGAAAGGAATTGCAATCCTCTGAAAAAGTTTGCAAAAACTCTGAAATCAGATCTCTCTGTTTCCTTATCAGATATAATCTTAAAAGTTGCGGGATGGTGGCGGTGTCATATAATATTTATCTGGGCTGTGTGGCCTTTTACTCATTGTTACTCCTTGTCTCTATCCATTCCTTTGTATATAAGGTTTTCCTTGTTCTGGAAGTCTATGTTTTTAGGTGAGGACATCCATTGTAGATTCACTCGAGCTATCTAAAATGTTGGGAGGTAAGGGAATCAAATAGAGTCTGTGACGTTGCCATATTGTTGGAGGCTTGTGAAATAAAGCAAGCCTCTGTTGAAATCTCTGCTATGCTTATTTCTGATCAGTGGAATTAAAAAAAAACCCCACCAAGATTATCTTCGCTGCTTGCTTTAGTTTAAATCCTTTTTTGGCATTAAGGAACAGACAAAAAGGGAGGGGAAAAAAGTAGAAGACTGGGTGAAAAAGCAAGGAAGGCACCTTATGCTCCAGTTCTAAAGACTTCTAAGCGTGATTTCTAAGAGGCAGTTTGGTCTAGTAGTTAAGGCACTAGCCTAGCAAAAAGGAGATAGTGATAGGCATGAAAGCTGGCTGGGGAACTTTGGGCCAGTCCCTCACTCTCAGCCCAACCTACCTTACAGGGTTGTTAGGAGGAAAATAGCAAGAAGAGGGAGTGTTGGGTACGTTCTTCACCTTGAGTTATTTATAAAAATAAAGGCGGGATAAACAAAATACATAGATAAATTAATAAGCTGTCTCCTCAAAAACAAAAAAACAAACCCAAGAATTCAACCGACCCGCTTCTAATCATCCATGCAAAAGTTTTATATCTTCCTGTACCAAAAGTAGCTGGGCTGTCTGAAGACGGGAAAGGAGCGCGAGGGGGACTATCATGATTGCCGCACCAAAGTTGCGCCCCAGCCAATCAAAGCCACGGACGCGCGCTGCGGTCCGTCGCTTTAATCGCTCCGGCTCGGAAACAATCCAGAAAACTCCGAAGCGGAGCTGAGGCGGACATGGCGTCTCCCGCGCGGGGCAGCCACGTGTGGGTGGGCTCCGAGACGGGCATTTTGAAAGGTAATGAGGACTAGCCGCGTGTTGGGGTGAATCTGGAATGGAGGGTTTAGGGATGGAAGAAATAAGGGACGGGCGGGGAGGCCGGCGGGCAGCAGCTTCTAAGTGCATGGTACCTCTGGGCATATGTAAAGTGCGAGGGGAAAGAGGCGAGCGGAGAATAACGAGGGAAAAGTGGAAGGAAGGAAATCTCAGCTGCCTGCAGCTTCACTTGCTCAATCCATTTTGACTGGGGAAGCTAAAGGGGGCTTTTTAAACCTCTAGGCGAGATGGGGCAGATAAATGTAATACTAATATACATTATATAGTATTATTATATATCATATATATACCTACACACATCTTTGTCATTGTATAAATAATAAATAAAGCCGGCCGGCGCTAAAGAGGCCACTTGGTCCATCATCTAGCAACATTGTCTTTTGAGGGGTCCTTGTTGCTCTCTGAGCTGGGTGGTTTTCTTGCAGACGTTTCATGACTCAACTAGGTAACATCATGCCTGCTAGAAGAGAGAGGAATTTGCTCTCTTTTTATATACTTAGTGGCTTGTCCTATCAGGGTTGATGGAGGTAGTTTCTTGATTGGGCGGTTGTTTACTTATTTATTTAGCGTATGACATACCATACATGGACTTGCAATATATATTAACATTTCACCTAGATTAGTAAAACACAATAAAATATAAATGTTAAAAAGATTTTTGATCAGATACCAACGTCTAGGCCATCTAACCATTGAAGCGCAGCATCCTTTATATAAGATAGATAGATAGATAGATAGATAGATAGATAGATAGATAGATAGATAGATAGATGAGATTAGGTAGTTAGGTAGATAGACAGACAGACATAGATATATAGAAATAAGATACTGGGCCACTATATACTTTCAGGTCCAGTGTCTGATTTTTTTTCCAACAATGCTGAGCTTAAACAGCAAAGCTGTTTACTGTTTGATTGATTGTCTGAGTTGGTAGTTCCTTGACTGGGTTGTTGTTTTACTGTTTGTCCATCAAGCACTGATACTTCGTTTGGGTCATGAAACGTCTGCAAGAAAACCACCAAGCTCAGAGAGTAACAAGGACTTCCTCCTCGCCCTCCCCCTCCTTCTTGCAAACGCCACCTCCCTCTAGCACTGATGATGTTACCTAGTTGGGTCATGAAATGTCTGCCAGAAAACAACCAAACCAAAGATCCCTCAATTCAACCCTAAACCTACCAATATTCTCCTTTATTGACAAGATCGTCTCTTGCTGGAACGTTAAGGGGAGGGGTGGGGGGGTAGGCTATTATAATGATTCTTTTCCTTACTCTTTTTCCTGTCGAATGATATATCTTTCCTCACTTTTAGGGGTCAACCTGCAGAAGAAACAGGCCACAAACTATAGGATGGGGGAAGCAACTCTCAGTCGACAAGAAGCTGTCACTGCCATGTGTTGGGGAGATTCGTACGAATCAGAGGTGACATGGTCTTCCTTTTCTGCTTGTGCTTGACTGGCTTGGCTATGAAAAATGGTCATGTCACGTTTTAAAGTACTGTTTTAATTTTGAACGGTCCCTAAATGAACTGTTTGTAAATCAAGGAGTACCTGTACACCACCTTCCTCTTATAGATTATTGAGTTCATTTTAATTTAAAATGTCAGGGATAGGGTTGAACCTGTGACCTTACCTGAGCCATCTAAGAAATGTTAACCCTGAAAAGATCCGTAAGTGACCTCATGAATCCCGTTGCTTTCTTTTTCCACACAGATCTTTGTGGGATGCCTCGACGGGTCTGTTAGGTTATTCAGTACCGAAAAGGGCAAGTTTATTGAATCTCGAAACTGCCAAGGAGGTGAAGGACCTTTTTGTGGCTTAGCTATCTTGGAGGGGTAAGTAGCTAATCCCTTTTGATTTTTCCCTTCTCTTGGCAAAAATGGCAGGGTTTTTTCTATTCCCACTTGAGCTAGGAAAAGAGATGGAAACAAACCTTAAGTAGACATCGCACAATTATAAATGGAAGAATTTGGCGCACTCGTCCTCTGAGCCCACTCTTAGCCCACGCAGTTAATGTGGCACAACTGTTTTTGTGATCTCTGTCCCCAATTTTAAATACAGCCCTGGGACACCCCCCCCCCAAATGGTTTCCCAGCTCTGATTTAAGAGTTCTGAAATAATGAAACTGACTGCAAAATATAACTCTTGTCAATAGAGGCATTACAATGAAGCAAAAAAAACCCAAAAACCACACACCCTTACTTGAAACCAAAATAAAACTTGGTTTATTTAACCACACCATGCCAGCTCCTTCAACATCTTGGCACCAGGGCCCATGGAAGAAGCCACCTCTTTGCTTTCTTAAAAGTCCAAACCGTATCAGATCTTTCTGTATTTTTATATCATGCCCTGAAAAAGTATTTCTCTGCCTTTTTTTTTTTTTCCTTCCTCCTTACAGTTCCCTTATCACCTGTGTGGAGTCTGGGTTGATGAAAATCTGGCGGGATTCCTCCTCAGAGAATGTAAGTGTTGCCTTGTATTCATCGTGTGAAAGATGGAAATTTAAGATTGCTTTTCTCTAAGGTTTTTTTCCTCCAGGGATGACATTTGTATGGGATGATTATAGAGGAGATATATATTTGAACTCTGGTGTTGGAGAAGACTCCTGCGAGTCCCCTGGACTGCAAGGCGATCAAACCGGTCAGTCCTAGAGGAGATCAACCCTGATGCTCTTTAGAAGGCCAGATCCTGAAGTTGAAACTCAAGTACTTTGGCCACCTAATGAGAAGGAAGGACTCACTGGAGATGAGCCTGATGCTGGGAAAGATGGAGGGCAAGAGAAGAAGGGGACGACAGAGAAGGAGGTGTCTGGATGGAGTCCCTGAAGCAGCAGGCGTGAGCTTCAATGGACTCCAGAAGATGATAGAGGACAGGAAGGCCTGGAGGAACGTTGTCCATGCAGTTGTGATGGGTCGGACGCATCTTTACAACTAACATCAACAACAACACTATATTTGTAGTTTTGTGTTGGTCAAGAAATTGACTCTGCATAAACTTAACTGTTTACCTCAATCTTTTCCGATCATGGTTAGGAAACCCGCAAGCGTGTGTAAGCACCCTTCCAAATTTCATTTGTATCCCGCCTTTGTTATTTGGTGAACATTTTTATAAATAACTCAAGGTGGTGAAATAACTCAAGGTGGTAACACTCCTCCTTCCTCCTCCTATTTCCCCATAACAACCCTGTGAGGTGGGTTGGGCTGAGGAACTGGCCAAAAGTCCTCCAGCCGACTTTCATGGCTAAGGTAGGATTTGAACTCGCTGTTTCCTGGTTTCTAGCCTGGCACCTTAACCAACTGGGGACCCAACTGGCCATCTGTTAAAAAGCAATATTGACTTGCTAGTCAGAAAAAGAACTATCAGGCTCCTTGTGTTTTTAATTCCTTATTTTTTTTTTCTCACCATAGACTTTCCAAACTTGAGTAAACTGTTTCAGAGTTGAGTAAAAATGATTCTTTTTCTTTCAGTCACAACATACAAATCCATTCATGGTGTGCTTTTTCCTTTTTCTACTGTTTTTTTTTCTTTCGTTCCTTTGTATTAGTGCAAATCAAATCCTTTTATTAACAGCCATATGGCCAGAAACAGTAAAATACCCAACTGTAGGCTAGTTACATACATACATATTTCAAAACGCGCTGAGCGTTGATCTAATGATGAATACGAACACATACAGTAAAATTAATTTTAAAAAGTAGTATTAAAAAAGATGAATGTATCCAAACAAATAATGGTCAAAGGCCCTTGAGTTACAGCTGTTTGTTTAGCAACCACTTCATCTTTATTTCAGTAAAAAGGACACGTCTGTTGATTTTTTAACTATTGCCGGTAGAATGCTTTTTTCCTCAAAAAGGAAACTCACTCAGCAAATTATCCTTTCTGACAGGTGGAGATTCAGGTGGGGCCCAGCGTGTGCCGCATGAGGCAAAGCTCCGAACAGCCCCACCGTATCGCCACGGGGGGGAAAGAGAATTGCCTGAAAATATGGGACCTGCACCAGCCTCAGGAACCGATTTTCCGAGCCAAAAACGTGAGTAGTTTTATTGGCGTGCCTGGATTTGTGTTCGTAAGCAGGTTCATTGCCTTGGCTTGGCAATTTCGGACCCAAAGTCTCTTCTTTGCATGATTTCTTTGTTCCTGTCACAGGTGCGACATGATTGGCTTGACCTGAGGGTACCTATCTGGGACCAAGACATGGAATTCTTGCCTGGATCTGAGAAGATTGTGACCTGCACCGGACATCACCAGGTAGTAGCCGGTTAAGATACGTGAGCTCTTCAGCTACTCAAAGCAGTTTACGGCTGGTCAGTTGGATTTGGCCTAGCCATAACTACACTAGATAATTCCCAACTAGCATTGCTCTTGAAATAGATTTAGGAACTGTGTCTCCTCTAGAATATGGGAATGAGAGGCTAGTAGTCCAAAGAAAAAGAAGAGAGGAAGGAAGGGATGAGAAGGGAGGGAGGGAGGGAGGGATGAGAAGAGGAAGGAAGGAATGGATGGAAAGAAAGGAACGAAAGAAGGAAAAGGGAGGGAGGAAGGAATAGGGAAAGAGGACAGAAGGGATGGATGAGAAGGAAGGAATGGAGGGAAAAAGGAAGGAAGGAAAAGAGGAAGGAATAGGAGGATGGAAGAAAGGAAAAAGGAAGGAGAAAGGAAGGAATGGATGGAATGGGAGGAAGGAATGGATGAGAAGGAAGAAAAGGAAGGAAGGAATGGATAGGAAGGAAGGAGAAAGAAAAGGAAGGAAAAAGATGGGAAGGAAGGAAGGAAGACATTGAGAAAATAGAGGTATTTCATTTATTTTAATTATTGCATCCTGTCCTGCTTTTTGTGCAAGAACCCGGCCTGAGCCGAGGTGGCGCAGCAGTTAGAGTGCAGTACTGCAGGCCACTTTAGCTGACTGTGTTGGTCAGGTCAGCGGTTCAAATCTCACCGGCTCAAGGTTGACTCAGCCTTCCATCCTTCCGGGGTAGGTAAAATGAGGACCCAGATTGTTGGGGGCAATGTAAATATATATATATATATATACATTGCTTACTGGTGTACACCGCTTAGAGAGTGCTTGCACTTAAAGCGGTATATAAGTCTCATAAGTAAATAAATAAATTCTCTTGATCTTCTGCCTCCAGGTCCGGCTTTACGATCCCAGCTGCCCCCAGCGCCGTCCCGTTTTGGAGGTGACCTTTGGCGAGTACCCACTTACATCCCTCTCGCTCACCTCCGATGCAAAGTGAGTCCTTCTTCTCTGCTCGAGATGGAGCTTTTGGAGAAGGCAGCGCTACGAGCAGGGGCGGCTGTTTCTTGCGGAATAGGACTCTGCTTTATATATATATATAAAAAATAAGGCAATACGAATGAAAAATGTGCCAGTAAAAGAAAAAAAAAGATTAAAAAAAAAATCCCAGAATGCAAAAGATAAGATGCAGAGAGTTATCCCTGTGGAATTTCGAATTGAACATATTTGGGGAACACCATATAAATCGTTAACAGAACGATAAACAGTAAATAATTAAAATATTTAAATCGAGAATAGAACTTATTGCTCAAGCAGCTATAGGATTTTAGAGAGGGGAAAAAGACATTTAAGTCACAAGAGCTTATTACAATCCAAGCATGGTTTCCAGTTAATATTAAATTCTGCATCCAATGCAAGACGTTGTTCTTGATGTTGAAGGTTACTTCTACAGTTTAATTAGCTTTTCTTCCAAAGAAGGAATCAAATAACTGTATTTTTTTAAAAATAAAAAAGCATACAGTATACAAGATCACCACTATTGCAAAGCAAGATTTTAAAAAGACAAAACATATCAACTCTATTTTTTTTTCCAGCGCTGTTGTCGTTGGCAGTTCCCACGGAGACGTTGCGGTTATAGATCTACGGCAAGGTATAACTGGCGAAGAAAGAAAAGGGTTTACTTCAAAAGAGAATTTGGAATGCATACTAGGCCTCACTTTCAGGGCGAAAGCAGACGGTGGTTTTTCTATGCCCGATTCCCACGGAGTTTTCTTTAACAAGATCGATTAAGAACAAATGGATGACGTGACAACTGTTCTGTTTCAGATTGAGAACAGAACGGTTTTAGGCCTGGATGTGGGTTATACTGTTCTTATTTTGGTGTAGTGCCTGGGTTGTTTATTTTTATATATTATATTTTCGATTCTAATCCTTTGTGTGTTGCTCAGAGTCCCTGCTGTGAGGTAGGCACCATCATGATCAGGGGACTGGAGGCTAAAACATAAGGAATGGTTGCTGGAATTGGGTATGTCTAGTTAGTGAAGAGAAGGACAAGGGGGGACATGATAGTAGTCTTCCAATATCTCAAGGGCTGCCCCAAAGAAGAGGGAGTCAAGCTATTCTCCAAAGCGCCTGAAGGCAGGATAAGAAGCAACGGGTGGAAACTAATCAAGGAGAGAAGCAACCCAGAACTAAGGAGAAACTTCCTGACAGTGAGAACAATTAACCAGTGGAACAACCTGCCTCCAGAAGCGGTGAATGCTCCAACACTGGAAGTTTTTAAGAAGAGACTGGACAGCCATTTGTCCGAAATGGTATAGGGTTTCCTGCCTGAGCAGGGGGTTGGACTAGATGACCTCCAAGGTCCCTTCCAACTTTATTATTATTATCATTGTTATTATTATTATTATTATTGTTATTATTCTTGCAACTTAACCCCCGGGGAACTCTCTGCCACAGGGCGTTTGGTGAAGTGCCTCAAGGGTTTCGCTGGGAGCGTCCGTGCCATCCGCTGTCACCCTTCGCTGCCGGTGGTCGCCTCGTGTGGATTGGACCGTTTCCTTCGGCTGCACAACCTGCACAGCCAGTGTTTGGAACATAAGGTAAGAGGGCGGTCCTGAGAACTGGGGTACAGAATCTGGAGCTTTGGGGAACACTCTGAATGAAGGGGGGGGGACACGGCTGTGTGAGCTGCAGGTGGCCTAATTTTGTCTCTAATCGGGTTGAGTCTGGATTGCCAGGAAAACTGCACGCCGGCTGTCTGAGATACACGCAGTCCTCGACTTACGACAGTTCATTTAGTGGCGGCTTGAAGCTACCACAGGACTGGAAAAAAACCAACTCTTTTTCACACAACTGTTGCAGCACCCCCATCGTCACGGGAGCACAATTTAGACACTTGGCAACCGACTCACGTTTAGGATTGTTTGGCGGTCTTCCGTCGAGCAACGTGTGACTAATTTAACGACTGCAGTGGTTCACTTGACAAGAGAAAAATCGTAAAATGGGGCCAACGTTTCACTTAGCGACATAAGCTTTGGGCTCTTATTGTGGTCGTAAGACGAGGTCTAACGGTTGGCCGAGTAGCAATATTTAACATGAAACGTTCACCTTTATTTTAAACCCCTATGTGGACCAATAAAAACACTTATTGGGGAATTTTTCAACTCTGGAGAATCTTCGGTCTTTGTTAATAGTCTAAGTCAGCCATGCTGATCTTGCGAAAAACAAAATCCCAGATCTGCACTCCGGAGAATTGAAATGCAAAATTCCCCTGCAGGAGCAGCAGATTAAAAATTATTCTGCTTTTTTTTTTTTTTCCCCCTCCCCTCCTCAGCTTTCAATCACCTTTCCCCCATTTGGACCAACTCTGCTGTTTTTTTTTTTTTCTTTGAAGAAGAGAGGGGCAGGCTTCCCAAAGATTTTTGTTAAAAAAAAAAAAGAGCAAATCTGTTTTTTTCTTTTTTAAAAAAATTCTGACTGAGTCTGTATCGATTCCAGGTTTATCTCAAATCCCGATTGAACTGCCTCTTGCTGACCACCCGGGAAAAATGGGAGGTAAGTTATCATAACCATGTTGTGTGTTTTCTGTGTGTGGGTGTGCGGCTGTCGTAGCTTTGAAAAAAAATGGTCTGTCAGTAGCTTTTGAAGAGTCCGTTGTAACGTTGAGCAAGTGTTAAAACGGCCAGGAAAAAAAGTTGACACTTTAATACTTCAAATTAATTGGCAATCCAAAGGTCAGGAAGATGAAAAGTCTTAGCAAATCACACGCTCAGAAACTGAAGTGGAATTCAGGTTTGATTTAGTAAGCCAACATCTCTGCTTAGACAGAGCTATGCAGAAGAGGGATATATTGGAAATTTAAAATGTTTTTTTTTTCTCAGCTAAACAGAAAACAGTTGCAACAGCTGGTTGCTTACCTGACCCATATTGAGCAAAGCCAGTTTAATACGTATATTAAAAGATAGATAGATAGATAGATAGATAGATAGATAGATAGATAGATAGATAGATAGATAGATAGATAGATAGATAGATAGATGGATGAATGATAGATATAGATGATGGATGGATGGATGAATGGATAGATATAGATAGATAGAAAGATGAATGGATGGATGGATATAGATGATAGATAAATATAGATAGATATAGATGATAGATGTAGATGATAGATAGACAGACAGGCAGACAGAACTACAATTGCAACCCGTCATAAATATGAACAGGTTGCCAATTATCTGAATTTTGATCACGTGACGTGGGGTGGCTGCAATGATCGTAAGTGTGAGGAACGGTCCTGTTTTTTCAGAGCTGTTCTAACTTCAGTCACTACTGCGAGGCCTGGCTCCAGTCCTGAGCTGCATTATCCTCCCACATTCAACCAGTGAGGTTTACGGGAGATTGACAGCTCAGTTCCCCTCTTGTTTTTCTCTGTCTTGCAGAGCGAGGACCTTGAGCCGTCCGTGAACCTCCCGGACGAGGTGAAAGAGGAAGAGGACGAATTATGGAACTCCCTGGAAGTGGTGGCTTCCAAGCGGAAAGCCGATGAAGGCGCCAGGACGGAGAGTCCCAAACCTTCCAAGGACACGGCCGCCAAAAAGCAGAAGAAAATGAAAAAGGCCAAATTATGTTCGCGGTGAGAGGTACAAGCTCTACCTCTTTAACACAGAGCTGGCAAACGCTCAACCTGCGGGTTCCTTAAGGCAGGGGTCCCCAGCCCCCGGAGCCATGGACCGGCCCCGTTCCGCGGCATGCCAGCAACCGGTCCACACAAACAAGCGAAGCCCCATTTGTGAGATGCAGGCAGTATGCAAAACCACACCCCCTCCGTCCACGGGAAAAAAAAACCTCTCTCCACGGAACCGGTCCCTGGTGCCCCAAAAGTTGGGGGCTGCTGCCTTAAGGGACTGCTAGGCCTGGCTGAAACATGGTTCCTTAGGGAAGGAAAACATCCTCAAATCCATGTGTATTGGAAAAAGGTTACTATTACTAAAGCCAAGTGGTTTTACAGTAAGCAAAGCCGAAACTATGAGTTTGAGCACGGAAATCCCCTAGTTAGCGTTCTCTTCCCTGGTTCATTCCCCCCATTACCACCCCACTGTCCAGTCATTCAGAGAGGATGTTTGGAATAGGAATAGAATAGAATAGAATAGGAATAGAATAGAATAGAATAGAATAGAATAGAATAGAATAGAATAGAATAGAATATATGGGATGGGATGGGATAGAACAGGAAAAGGAATGGAATAAGAAGAGAATAGGATAGGAATGGAATAGGAATAGAAATAGGAAAATGAATAGGATAGAATAGAATACAATAGAAATACAGAATAGAATAGAATAGAATAGAATAGAATAGAATAGAGAATGGGAATAGAATAGAACAGAACAGAATAGACTAGAAATACAGAACAGAATAGAATAGAGAAATGAATAGAATAGAATAGAATAGAATAGAATAGAATAGAATAGAATAGAATAGAGAAATGAAATGAATGGAATGGAATGGAATAAACAGAGTTGGAAGGGACCTTGTAGGTCATCCAGTCCACCCCCACCCCTCCCAAGCAAGAGACCCTACACCATTTCTGACAGATGGGAACAGTCCCTATCATGGTTGGTAGATGGTTAAGCTGCTGCATTCCATTCCCAGGACCAGGATCCTGAGATTTCTCCGGACAGGATTTGCTGGCTGAGGAATTCTGGGAGTTGAAGTCCACAAGTCATAAAAGGGCCGAGTTTGAAGACCCCTCCCCCGCTATAAAACCTCCAATAGGATAAAATATTAATATTAAAATCACCCCATGCTTTCCAAGCTCGCCTGCCACCTGCTCCTTTCACACGATCTTCTACTTACCCCCCCCCCCCCCAGGAAATGGGAGGTTTTGTTTTTTTTTCAGAATTAAGCCTGGTTTTTAGCTACCCCCCCAAATGTTTAATTATGGTGGCGGGGCGGGGAGCCTGGAAAGACGGGGGGGGGCCTACCTGGCGTCGCGTTTGGAGGGGGCGATCTCCGCGATCTAGTTGTGCACGGGTGGGTCAAGGGGCGGTGGAGGGGGGCGGCCCTGTGACCTCACAAAGCCCCCAGGGCGTTGGAGGCGGCGCCGGCGGCGCTGAGTCCCTTACTGGGGGGGGCGCGGCCCCCCATCCAGGCGCCGCAGCGGGCGATGGGCTGCGTGGAATCCAAGGAACGGCCTTCCGACGTGTACGAAGACACGGGTCAGAGCCCCAGGGCAAAGACTCAGCCGCCGGAGGAGGAAAAAAGTGAGCGGCCGTCCGCCCGGCGGAGGGCTTCCCCCGCCGGCCGAAGGGAATCCCCGCGGGGGATTCCGCTCCACGTGGGTGGGCGGGGCTTCCCGATGGAACGTTCGGGGAGCTGCGGGGCGGGGCTCTCGGCGAGAGGGCGGGGCTTATTGTGCACATGGCTGGGAGTTCTGTCTCCCCAGATCGTCACTGTCAGGGATGGGAAGGTGTTTCTCTGCCTGCCTTTCTTCAAACGGGTCGTGGGAATGTGTTTTCCTAACCTGGGTCTCTAGCACATCTGAAAGGGATGTCCCAAAGGGGAAGATTGAGCTGGGAAGTGTTTCTCTTTAAACTTGATGAAGCTTGGGCGTTTCAGTCAGAATAGAGCTGGAAGGGATCTTGGAGGTCTTCTAGTCCAACCCCCTGCTCAAGTAGAAGAATAACAGATATGGAAGGGACCTTGGAGGTCTTCTAGTCCAACCCCCTGCTCAAGCCGGAGACTCTGTACCATTCCAGCTAGGTGGCTGCCCAGTCTCTTCTTTAAAAAAAAAAAAACCCACTGTTGGACACCCATAACCTCTGGTGGCAAGCGGTTCCACTGGTTAATTGTCCTTCCTGTTAGGAAGTTTCTCCTCAGTTCCAGGTTGCTTCTCTCCTTGATTGGCTTCCATCCATTGTTTCCTGTCCTTGCCTTTGACAAGAGCACCCAGAGATTAAAGAATTTATTAAAATGAAAAAAATGTATTAAAATGTTATTAAACATTAAAATAGTAGGAGTCATAAAATTAAAGAATTAATTCAAAGGAGGTTAAGAGGGCACCTTTTCCCCTTCGCCTTTTATGTGTGTAACTTCAATTTTCTTGTGATATGTATCTGATGCCTTTTGTAGCGCAGTGCCTACAAACCACAATAGGTCTTGCAATTGTCTGCTTGATTTCCATTGTTTGGGACTAGACCCTCTTTTCAAAGTTTAATCCGTGCAAAAGGCACAATTTACCGACGAACTAAAAACTTCATCCAGTTTTTCAGTCCTGAGTTCTGGCTCAGCTGCCAGCGAAGCGAAGTCTGTTCAATCAGTTGATCTCTTCCTAAATCGGCATTTGATCTTCCTGTTCTTCTCTCGTCTTGCCAGGGAAAAAGAAGAAAAAAAACAGGACACGGAAAAAATTGGATGGACAGCAAAAAGGGGTGGAGGCGGAGAAGCCAGGCTTAATCTCAAAATCAGAAAGTGCCAAGGTTACCGTGATTTGGCAGCGTTGGTCCCTCTTTAGTAGCCCCCATGAAACCTATAATAAGCGCCTGGAAGGAGAAGCAGCTGGACCCAGTGGAAGCCTTGCTCAAGCCTCCCAGATCAGCAACCTCAGTGCCGAGGATGTGGTGCCACCACTGGACAGGACAGTTAGCTAGTGTTACGGCAACTCGTTTCCAACACATCGGAAGTTGTACAGCTATGGGGAATAAACATTCATTATCACATATGTTTCCTATGAAATACTAGGTTGTGCGTGTGGTGCAAAGGAAATGGTCGGAAAATGGATTTCTCAGGTCTGAAAGGATGGTTTCATACAGTGTTTTTCAAGCACAGGAACTTTAAGAGGGCTGGACTTCAACTCCCAGAATTCCCCAGCCAGCTTGCATGGAGATGGGTGGACCAACTCCCAGAATTTCCCAGCCAGCATGCTTTAAGAAGGATGGACTTCAACTCCTAGAATTCCCTAGCCAGCTTGCTTGGAGATGGGTGGACTTCAACTCCCAGAATTCCCCAACCAGCAGGGCCATGGATGAGAATTCTGGGAGTAAACGTCCACAATCCTCCTCTTGGGGAAACAGGTGTCTGTATGCATTGGATTGCAACTCCCATCACCCCCAGCCAACCTTGTGTAGTTGTGGGAAAGAAGACAAAATGGATTTTTGATTGGCTGAAAATCCCCCTTTGCAATTTTGCTTTCCTTGGTTTGATATCAAGGTTTCAGGACCTTGATTATTGCCGGCATATGGACTTCAACTCCCAGAATTCCCCAGCCAGCATGGCCATGGATGTGAATTCTGGGAGATGAAGTCCACAACCTTGTATGGCAGCACTCCACCCCACCCCTCCAGAGAGCACCAGACTGAGATGAGGTGGCTCAGGGTTTGTATCAGGTGGGACTGCAACAGGTGTAGTCTTTCTAAGGCTTCACCTGTTGAAATTCAATTTGTCGCACCCCAGCAGCGCCTAACCTAACTGCTGGGAAATGGCTGCTTGTCTGTGGGTAGAAGAGACTGTTAACTTCAACAGAGCCTACACCAGGGGTCTTCAAATATGGCCCTTTTATGACTTCTGGACTTCAACTCCCAGAATTCTTCAGCCAGGCATGCTGGCTGAGGAATTCTGGGAGTTGAAGTCCACAAGCCATAAAAGGGCCAAGTTTGAAGACCCCTGTCTTAAATCTAACAAACAAAATGGAGGCTGGCTGAGGAATTCTGGGAGTTGAAGTCCACAAGCCATAAAAGGGCCAAATTTGAAGACCCCCTGGCGTACGCTAAAGTAAAGTTGAGAAACGGCACTAGGCCTTGTTTGCTTTAGTTGCCTAGCAACCACGACGGAGTGTAATCCCTCCCCTGCTCTCCATCGGCGCCTCTAAGGTCGCCTAGCAACAGTCCTCCCTCCCTTCCGTCCCCATCGACGTCAGGAGTTCGACGAGCGACAGGAAGCCGCGCCGTGGGGGGCGTGGCCTCGTGACGCCGTCCGCGTCGCCGTGCGCCTGACGGCACCCCCTGAGGGGGTACGTGGCAGTGACGTCGCGGCCCGCCCTCTTTTCGCCTTGTTTGGCTGTTCGATGCGGAGGCCGGTGTTCGTAGCCCAGCCGCCCCGCGACGCCGAGAGCCGCCCCGGGTCCGCGCGACAGGTGAGTCCCGGGCTGGGAAGGGGTGTCCCCTCGTCAAGGTCCCCCCTCCCCTCAGGTCTCTCCTCTCGCGTCCCCCCCTTTTCCTGTTGGTGTCCCCTCGAAAGGGCTCCCCCTTCCCGGCGCCTTCGCCTCCAGGGTGCCCCCCTCCTTTGGGGTCCCCCAAAGCCTTCTCCTTCTGCCCGTTTTCCCTGGACTGATATCTCCCAGCCGCTTGAACTACACCTCCCATCCTCCCCAACCAAAGCCCATTCTGGTGGGGTGAAGGAGAACTACACCTCCCATCCTCCCCAACCTGGTGGGGTGAGGGGAGTAGATGTCACTGAGCCAACTGAATTACACCTCCCATCCTCCCCAGCCTGGTGGGGGGAGGGGAGTAAATGTCCCTGAGCCACTTGAACTACACCTCCCATCCTCCCCAGCCTGGTGGGGGGAGGGGAGTAAATGTCCCTGAGCCACTTGAACTACACCTCCCATCCTCCCCAGCCTGGTGGGGGGAGGGGAGTAAATGTCCCTGAGCCACTTGAACTACACCTCCCATCCTCCCCAGCCTGATAGTTCCACCCTAATGGGGTGTGCATGTTTGGTGGGAAGACCGGATGACTTTTCTTCCTTCCTCTATTTCCTTTGGCTCTTTCGACCCTGCTTGCTTTTCCGTCTCCCAGTCCTGATGAAGGGCTACTTCAGAACTTGGGGACCCTGGTTCAAATCCTCCCCTCCACCTGTCACTTAGCTGCACCGGTCTAGATCCGCTCCTGTCTTTCAACCGGACCGACCTCGCAGGGCTGTGGTGAAACAAATCAAGAGGAAAGTTTTTGTTGTGTTTGTTATCAGCTGACTCCAGCAAGCACAGGATTCCGGTGGAATGAAAACTTAGTTTCTTGCTTTTCAGTTCTTCTGGCATTAGAATAAAACTTTGTTATACATAGAATTATTGTCTTCCGTTCAGCAATATTTAGCTTTTCTTTCCTCTGGCTACTCCTGCGTGAAGAGATTCCATATGTTCAGGCAGAACTTCTTCCTAAGAGGGTCAGTCCTCAACTCTTCCAACTCAAATGGGGAGGCAAAACAGTCATAGCCTGTATGATGTAGCAATCTTGGTGAAGCTAAGCAAGGTTGGGTTTGGCCAGTTCCTGTACAGGAGACCATTTAGGAACCTCATAATAATTTATTTTAATTTCACGGTGAGTAAATGGTTGGTCTAATGATAGTTGACGTGAGGTCCTTGGTGCTCTCTGAGCTTGGTGCTTTTCTTACAGACATTTCATGACCCAACTAGGTCACATCATCAGTGCTAGAAGGAGGAGGAAGACTGTGGGAGTCCTTGGTGCTCTCTGAGCTTGGTGGTTTTCTTGCAGACATTTCATTCCCCAACTTGGCAACATCCTCAGTGCCAGAAGGGGCATTTCCAAAAAAATCCCCACTCCTCTCATAACTAAGTAAAAAGTTTGAGCTGCAAATATGGGAGAGCAACGGCAAAGGTTGAGCAGATATTCAAATAAAGAAAGATAAATAAACACTAAGTGCAGCTCTGCCATATTTGCATTGGCATCTTTTCGGGGTGATAGCGAGGAAGATCTGATCCAGCTTCCTCATGTCGGATAGATGTGCTTGTATTACAATTCCCATCGTTCCCAGCCTGCATGGCCACAGATGAGAGAAACTTGGATCAGATTAATTTTGTGACTCTTGAGAAGTAAGGCAGGAAAAAAAAAAGCACTCGGGTTTGTCAGAGAAACAGTTTCTTCTTGAAGATTAGAAAAGCTGATTTAGCTCGTTTCAGCTGTGACTTAGAGAGGTTTCACTTTGTTAGGAAGTTCAGAGTTGTCGTGGCTTGTTGTTGGTTTCCTATTCGTTTTCAGTCTGGGTTGTTATTTCTCTTGGTGTGTCTTTCATTTTTAGTTTTGTTTCAGCTTTGCGTTCCAGCTTTCATATGTATCAGTTTAAAAGGTTCCCTCCTTCTTCTTCTTTCTTTTTTCTTTTAGCAATGGCAAACAAAAGTAATTTCGTTCTATTTAAAAATAAACAACATGCAACATTATACACAAAAAGATCCTGCCGAAAGAGAGGGGAAAAAAGCTAAAATAACTAAAAATAATAACTAAATAACTAAAAAAACAAAAAAGAGGAACAAAGTCATGCAGGAGAAATATTTACAAATATAAATTAAAATGGTAACCATCTATCACGGTAATCCTTCACACCTAATCTGTGTTGATAAGTGAAAAACAACTGACTTACGGCTGGTCCTCGGACTTCGTTGCACATCCCTGCGGTCACATGATCAAAATCCAGGCACTTCCAACCGGCACGTATTTACCAACCTGGAAGTAAGGAGGAATTTCCTGACAGTGAGAACAATGAATCAGTTGCTTCCAGATTTGGTATGTGCCCATGATGGGAGGTTTTAAGAAGAGATTGGACGACCATTTGCCTCGATTCTTGTAGGGTCTCCTGCCTGAGCAGGGGGTTGGACTAGAAGACCTCCGAGGTCCCTTTCAACTCCGCTCTTCTCTAATTATGTATCCCTTTCTCTCCCTTCTCAGAGCCACAGATTATGAGCCTCCATGAATACGAGGAAACGCCACGGCTCCCGAAACACTGATCAAGGCGTTTACCTGGGGCCGTCCCAGACGCAAGCTTTCTCTCCGCTGGGTGTCCCTCCCGCTGCGGCTGTTGCTGCCACGGCCGTCCCTGTCAGCCCTCCTCAACCCCAGTGGGACACCATGTCGTGTCAAGACCGCACCCTGGAGTTCCGCTCGGCCTGCAAGTCCTTGCAAAGCAGAGAAGTGAGTGCCGGGCGTGGAAGACCACGATGCTCGATGCTCCTTTGATCTCTTTGAACCTCAAACCCCTTCCTTCCTTCCTTCCTTCCTTCCTTCCTTCCTTCCTTCCTTCCTTCCTTCCTTCCTTCCTTCCTTCCTTCCTTCCTTCCTTCCTTCCTTCCCAATGGTTAGAATGCAGCATTGCAGGCTAACTCTGCTGACTGTCAGGAGTTTGATCCTGACCGGCTCAGAGTTGATTCAGCTTTCCCTCTTCCCAAAGTCAGTTAAAATGAGGACCCATGTTTGGGGGGGCAATAGGATGACTCTGTAAACCGCTTAGAGAGGGCTGTGAAGCACTGCGAAGCGGTATATGCGTCTAAGAGCTATTGCTTCCCCCCCCAGCATGGTTTGTAACCCCTCTCTTCCCCCACCTAAAACAGACTAAAATCTGACTTAAGTTTTGCCTGCAGAAATTCACCCTCCCAGGGCTGAGGGCCTGGCCCCGAGCATCGTAAAGGCCCGTTCACCCTTTTGCCCCTCCCAACAAAACCCACTGAAAAGCAGAGGGCCACTGAGCAAGCTTTATAGCAGTGTTTCTCAACCTTGACAATTTTAAGGCATGTGGACTTCAACTCCCAGAATTCCACAGCCAGCAATGCTGCTGTGGAATTCTGGGAGTTGAAGTCCACATGCCTTAAAATTGTCAAGGTTGAGAAACACTGCTTTATAGCTTGACGCTGTGAAATCAGGATGCCCAGAAGGAAATTGAGATATTCTACCCCAGTTTCTTTCCAAGGACTTTTTCTGCGACCTGTCCAGCAAGAGGGAAGTCGCTTCTTCCCTCAATCCTGACACTCTTACGCAGAAGAAGCCACGGGGCTTCCCATTTTCCACAATTCTGACTACAGATTCCTTTGGGGTCCCCCCCCCCCGGTGCCCAAACTTTACAGCTTTGCCCTTCGGATGATCCTCGGTGACATGGGCGGGCTGGCAGGAATCAACCGCTGGATTCAAGCTGCGGTGGCTGAAACCTTGAAAGGCAGGAAGTGGGTGATGGGATCCTGCCCAGCGTAGAAAAATGCACGTCCTAAATTAGCCTTTTCCCACTCTCGGAAAAGGGAGGGTGTGTAGACGTGGGTTTCCGATGGGGATAAAAACAGCATTTTTCTCTTTCTGCTTTTCCCTTCCCAGAACGGGCTTCACGTGAACAAGCCGGCGCAGAGTGGTGCCATCCGGCAAAGGAGTGAATTTACCCTCATGGCCAAGTAAGGACGCCGGGCCGTTTACGTCCAGCCAGGGTGACTGTGGTGGGCAGGGTGGAGCCCCCGATGGATGCCTTTCGGCCACAGTTGCAACAACACTGGGGAAACAAAAGGGACTTACGACCGTTTTTCACACTTACGGCCGTTGCAGCATCCCTCCCCCAGGGTCATGTGATCCAAATTCAGACACTTAGCCACCGGTTCATATTTACGACGGTCGCAGCTTCCTGGGGGGGGCGTCACACAATCCCCTTTTGTAACCTTCCGACTTCACTGCAGTGCTCCGTTCAGCAGCTGTAAGAAGAACAGTTGCAAACTGGGGGGCAAAGCTCACTTAACAAATTGTCTCATTTAACAACGGAAATTTGGGGCTCACTTGTGGCGGTACAGACGAGAACTACCGGTATTAAGAGCGAGTTATGATCAAGCATACGGCGAGGCCTTAAAGAACGACTTGTCGCTTCCCGAGCATTTGAAGTCACAGTGTGTGCCCAGATCTACTTATAACCTGTTTTCAGATTTATGTTAGCTGGCACATAAATGGGGTTCACGCTATCGCATTTTGGGCCCTTAGCCAATTGCAGCATCCCACTCAGGTGTCATTGTGGATTTTATTTGTTTGTTTGTTTATTTATTCATTTATGCATGCTGGTTACCAGGATTTAATTCCTGTTTCTGGCAAAAACCTGGCCAATTGCAGCATCCCACTCAGGTGTCATTGTGGATTTTATTTGTTTGTTTGTTCATTCATTCATTTATTTATGCATGCTAGTTACCCGGATTTAATTCTTGTTTCTGGCAAAAACTTGGCCAATTGCAGCATCCCACTCAGGTGTCATTGTGGATTTTATTTATTTATTCATTTATTTATGCATGCTAGTTACCAGGATTTAATTCCTGTTTCTGGCAAAAACCTGGCCAATTGCAGCGTCCCAGTCAGATGTCATTGTGGATTTTATTTGTTTGTTTGTTTGTTTGTTTATTCATTGATTTATGCATACTAGTTACCAGGATTTAATTCCTGTTTCTGGCAAAAACGTGCAGCCAATCACAGCATCCCAATTAGGTGACCTGGTGGATTTTTACTTGTTTGTTTTGTCAGTTACTAGGATTTACTTCCTGTTTCTGGCACACACAAAAAACAACAACCCTCCAATGGTGGAAAAGAAATTTCCTTGACAATTACATTTGCTTAACTGTCGCTACCCAAAATATATATATATATATATCATAAAATCAGGTCTGCACATGTAATTCCTCGCCTTGCGACTGCAGCAACTTAACAGCCATAAATTAAGGACCACCTTTAATTCAGGAGTGATTGTCAAAGATGATTCAGCATAGGGAGCAATCTTGTCTGTCAAGGATTCGGTGTCATACTTGACGGCCCCGTCTCTTCTTATTCTCAGGCGCATTGGGAAGGATCTCAGCAACACCTTCGCCAAGCTGGAAAAGCTAACGATTTGTGAGTATCCTGGGATGTTTGTGCTGCAAAGGAAATTGTGTGACTCATCGTAATTGGGAGGTGAGAGACAGAGGCATCAGCAAAATTAATGAAAAGCAGGAACAGCGCAGGGATGAGAAAGCGGGCAGCTGCCTATGAATAGAATATTTGTAGCTCAGGGTGAGTCTCTCAGTGGTCTTCTGAGCTTGGTTGCTTTTTTTTTTTTTTAGACGTTTCATTACCCAACTAGGGAATGGCGTCAGTGCTAGAAGAGAGTGAGGTTTGTGGAATAGAGGAAAAAGAATAGTAGAGGAGAAGGAGGAGGACTGTGGGGTGCTCGTTGCTGTCTGAGCTTGGTTGTTTTCTTGCAGACGTTTCGGGACCCTAATAGGTAACATTACCAGGGCTAGAAGGGGAGGTTTGTGGAGAGGAGGAAGAGGAGGAGGAGGGAAGGAAGGGAGGAAGGGAAAGAGAGAAAGGGAGGGAAGAAGAGGAAGGGGAAGGAAGTATGGAGGAAGGAAGGAAGAAGGATGGAGGGAAGAAAGGCGAAAGGAGAAAGGGGAAGAGGAAGGAAGGAAGGAAGGAAGGAAGGAAGGAAGGAAGGAAGGAAGGAAGGAAGGAAGGAAGGAAGGAAGGAAGATGTAAGAAAACTGCAAGGGAGAGGGACTTGGTGTGCTTGCTAGGGGATACAGGGAGGGTAGGTCAAAGAAAAAAAAAAAATCCCATATCTGACTCTTTGCATGCTCAGTGGCCAAACGGAAATCGCTTTTCGACGACAAGGCCGTGGAGATAGAGGAACTGACCTACATCATCAAGCAGGTAAGGAAGACAAGGAGCAGAAGGACGGAGCAGGCAGGCTGAAAAGGGACGACAAACAGCCGCTCTGTCGGGCCCTCATCCCTCATCCCAGCTCCTCCTCCTCCTCGCAGGATATCAACAGCCTCAACAAACAGATCGCACAACTCCAGGAGTTTGTCAAAGCCAAAGGCAGCCTGACGGGCAGGCACGTGCAAACACACTCCAACACCGTGGTGGTTTCTCTGCAGGTAAGGCTTCCAAGCCCTTTTGTTGTTATTAATTGCGAAGTCGTGTCCGACCCATCGCGACCCCATGGACAACGTTCCTCCAGGCCTTCCTGTCCTCTCCCATCTTCTGGAGTCCACTGAAGCTCACGCCTCCTGCTTCAGGGACTCCATCCAGCCACCTCCTTCTCCGTCGTCCCCTTCTTCTCTTCCCTCCATCTTTCTCAGCATCAGGCTCTTCTCCAGTGAGTCCTTCCTTCTCATTAGGTGGCCAAAGTCCTTGAGTTTCCACTTCAGGATCTGGCCTTCTAAAGAACAGTCAGGGTTGATCTCCTCTAGGACTGACCGGTTGGATCGCCTTGCAGTCCAGGGGACTCGCAGGAGTCTTCTCCAGCACCAGAGTTCAAAGGCCTCCATTCTTTGGCGTTCAGCCTTTCTTAGGGTCCAACTTTCACAGCCGTACATTGCAACTGGGAAAACCCTGGCCTTGACTATACGCACTTTTGTTGGCAGGGTGACGTCTCTGCTTTTGAGTGTGCTGTCTAGATTGGCCATAGCTTTCCTCCCCAGGAGCAAGCGTCTTTTAATTTCTTGGCTTTTTAGGGCTTTTTTTTTTTTTTAGCCCTTTTAGGTTTTCTCAATTTTGGGGACCGGGGGGGAGATTGTGGGGGGGTGGGGAGGAAAAGGCTGCAAAATTGTGCACTTCTTGCAGGATTGAACTTGGGGCTTGCTTTTTTCCCCCCGGCGCTGAGGTTTCAGATATGGAGCTAATCCTTGGTGCATCTAAAACAGGCTTCCTGCAAAATGTTCATCCCGGTAGGACATTCCGCTCAGGGAAGGGCAGCGCCAACAACAGTGGGAAGAACTTTTCTCTGACCCACAGAGCAGGACAGCCAACGCTGGTTTTTGTCTTGACTCCCTCCTCCTTCCTTTTCTAGTCGAAGCTGGCTTCCATGTCCAATGACTTCAAGTCCGTTTTGGAGGTGCGGACGGAGGTGAGTTCCCGATCCGCACCTGTGGTTTTCAGACTTCGCCCTGGGGATCTTCTGTGGGACAGTGCGGTGGCCCTTTTGACTTCATTAGCTGTTGGGAAGGGAGAGGGAGAGAGGGAAGGGAAGGGAAGAAATGGGAAAGGGAGAAAGGCAGGGAGGAAGGAGAAGGAAGGGGAGGGAGGGAGAGAGGGAAGAAATAGGAAAGGGAGAAGGGCAGGCAGGAAGGAGATGGAGATGGAAGGGGAGGAAGGGAAGGGAAGGGAAGAAATAGGAAAGGGAGAAAGGCAGGAAGGAGAAGGAAGGAAAGGAAGGAATGAAGGAAGGAAGGAAAGGAAGGAAGGATAAATAGGAAGGGGAGGAAGGCAGGGAAGAAGGAAGGAAGGAGATAGAAATGGGAGGAAGAAAGGAAATAGAAATGGGAGGGAGAAAGGAAGCAAGGAAGGAGAAAGAGGAAGAGGGAGGCAGGAAAGAAGGAAGGAAGGAAGGAAATAGAAATGGAAGGAAAGAAAAGAAGGGAGGGAGGAAGGAATAGGAAGGGGAGGGAGGCAGATAAGGAAGGAGATAGAAATGGGAGGAAAGGAAAGGAAGGAAAGAGAAAGGGCGGAAGGAGGAAGGAAGAGCAGAAGACGACGATTGATTAATCGATGATCATTTATATGGTGTGAGACAGAGCAGGTGTGTTTATATAGGTATGTAGCTATATGGTGGAATAGAATATTATAAATAGAGAAAGGGGCAACTGTAGCCATAGAACTAGAGGTTCTTGGACAATCAGGATATTCAGTCACAGGCCTGGGGTAGGGTGGATTGTGGGTATAAAAACATGCCTTTTGACCAGCACTGCCCCACTGCCGTAATAGGAGGCCTCCTTTACTGATTAAGATGTGCTCACCTTGGTGGTCTGCATGGCCCCCCTAATCCCTTGGCCCTGCCTCTCCCCCCTTCCTTCTCCAGAATCTTAAGCAGCAGAAAAGCCGGCGAGAACAATTCTCCCGTCCCCCAGTGGCCACCATGTCTCTTTCTGCAAACAACCTAGGTGAGTTTTCTCCGTCTCTCTCTCTCTCTCTCTCTCTCTCTCTCTCTCTCTCTCTCTCTCTCTCTCTCTCTCTCTCTCTCACGCACACACACACACACACACACACACAGAGTCATCGGGCAGAATTGGGCCGGTGAAGGAGGCGGGGTGAAACCTTGGACTGTCCCTGGAAAGGGAGGCTTGGGAGGTGCCACTTCTGACGTCGTCTCCGTCCGCTGTAGGTTCCAGCGTGCTTCAGGACGAGCGTCGGTACTCGGGAGATGTGGCCATTGACATGGACAATCGGACGAGCCAGCAGTTGCAGCTAATCAATGAGCAGGTGCTTTTGAGATGGGGATGGGCAAAGGAGGAAGTGGAATGTTGTCTGTCTGTCTGTCTTTTTATCTGTCCCTATCTCCCTTTCTATCATTTGTCTATATCTGTCCATCATCTATCTATCTGTTTGTCTATCTAACTCTATCTCCCTTTCTATCATTTACAGTACAGTGTCTGTCTGTCTGTCTGTCTATCTATCTATCTGTCATTCCCTATTTCCCTTTCTATCATTTGTCTATATCTGTCCATCATCTATCTGTCTATCATCTATCTACCTGTCTGTCTATCTAACCCTATCTCCCTTTCTATCATTTATCTCTATCTGTCCATTATCTCTCTCTCTCATCTCTCTTATTTCTCTCTCTCTTATCCTCTCTCTATTCTATCTGTATATCTGTCTGTCTGTCTATCTGTCTGTCTTTCTGTGTGCATGTGTGTCTTTTTGCTAACCCCCTGGTTTTTTGCGTTACATTTGTCAATATTATTCCCGGCTTTAAAGGAAGCCATATTTAAGCTTTGCAGACTATGCTAAGGTTTCAGAACAATGATTTGGAAAAACGCCGAGAGAGACCCCATCCCCAGTTTAAAATCCCATGGACTTTATGTTTTCTCCTCTGCAGGATTCATACATCCAGAGCCGGGCGGACACTATGCAGAACATTGAATCGACCATTGTAGAGCTGGGCTCCATATTTCAGCAACTGGCACATATGGTTAAAGAACAGGAAGAGACGATCCAGAGGTCAGAGGCCCGAGGGAGGGGCTGCGGGATCTCACATGGCTTCTAAGCCATGGCTTGCTTAGCAGCGGCTTATTAGACAGCCACAACCTTAGACAGCTGATTACATTGTGGCCAGCCACAAGGCCTGGTGGTCCCATCTGTGTTGAGTGGACCATACAGGTGGTCCTCGACTTACAGCTGTCTCACTTAGCAACGGAAAGTTTGAGCGCCATTGTAGTTGCAATCTGACAACTAACTGTAGTCCTTGACCTACAGTTCTCAGTGTCGTTAAGTCGAGGACGACCCCCAAACAACCTGGGATCCCCTCTTCCCCTTAAAATCTTTCCTTCTGGGTGGCTTAAGTGGTGGAGAGCCCCCTCCCCAATTTGTGCTGTGTCAGAGCGTGCCCAGTCTTATTGCGCTGAGATGATTCCCCCCCCCAAGAACAACCACAATGCTGATGCGGCCCTCAGTGAAATTGAGTTTGACACCCCTGCTTTATACGAAGGCTCTTCAAGAGACACAGACCCTGCTGGGTCCTTGCCATCATTACATTACATAAGCTGGTCAGCTGCCAAGTCAACCCCTTGATAGGCTGCCATTCTGCCCTCCCTTTAGAATCGATGCCAACGTGGAGGACACTGAGCTGAACGTGGAAGGGGCCCACATGGAAATCCTGAAGTACTTCCAGTCCGTCTCCTCCAACCGGTGGCTGATGGTGAAGATCTTCCTCATTCTGATCATCTTCTTCATCATCTTTGTGGTCTTTTTGGCCTGACGGAGGAGGGGGCTCGACCTCCCATCCCCTCCTATGCCGTCCTTCCCGAGCCGCCATGGACACTGGACACTTCCACGTTGGGCCAAGCCAGCCGGCCACGGAGGGCAGGGCCGTCCTCGCCTCGACCCTGCGCCGAAGAGCTCCGCCTACTCTTGGGTTCCTTGGCCGACAACGAGGCTGCCCCCTCTCGGGACGATGCTGCGAAAGGGCCTTGCTGCAGAGCCCTCCTCGTCCCATGGGACTCAGCCCTGGGAGCGTGTGCGTACTGCTGTGTCTCTCAACCTGGGCCGCTTTAAGATGGGTGGATTTCAACTCCCAGGATTCCCCAGCCAGGGGCATTCTGGGAGTTGAAGTCCACCCATCTTAAAGCGGCCCAGGTTTAGTGACATTGGGATAGCGGGACCAGCATCTTCCCTCTTCCTCTTTTGTGTACATTTTCCCAACCCCTGACGCGCTAACAAGAACCTTCTTTATTTTTTTTTTATGTTTTAAAAAAAAACAACACAAATATACGATGAGTATCTCAGAATGGAATCCAGCTTCCACGCCCTTCCTCCTGGATTCCTGGGCGAAGAGAGCTGGGTTTTCAGGATCCGGATCCGGAGGCTGGATTCTCTCCCTCGTTTTAACGTATTTAACAGATTGTCTTCTTTTTTTTCTCTCTTTTTTTCCCCTTCTTTTTTGGGGGAGATCCAGTTCTCCAAGGGGAGCAGACCAGGCCCTTTACCCAGCGTGGCAACCTGGCTGCTCTTTCTCTTCCTTAGAAGTGTCCTCCGGAAAGCAAGTTTTGTAGCACGATTGAGCCTTGCTGACCACGTGGGTCTTCTCTTCAGCTAAACTGGGATGGCCGATCATAGCTTGCACATGGTTGGAAAGGAGCCTCAGCTCTTCGGTCAACTGACAGGCTTTCCTCCTCCTCCTTTTCCTCCTCCCCCTCCCCTCTTTTTCTCTTCCTCCTTCCCTCTCCTTTCCTCTTCCTCCCCCTTCTGTCTCCTCCGTTTCCTCCTCCTCCTTCTCCTTTCCTCTTCCCCCTTTCTCTTTCTCCTTTCCTCCTCTCCCTTCCCTCTCTTCCTCCTTTTCCCCTTCTTTCCTCCTCCCCTTCTCCTTTTCTCTTCCCCTTTCTCTTTCTCCTTTCCTCCTCTCCCTTCCCTCTTCTTCTCCTCCTCCTCTTCCCCTTCTTTCCTCCTCCCCTTCTTTTCCCCTCTTCTCTTCCTCCTTTCCTTCTCCCCCTCGCCTCTTCTTCTCTTCCTCCTTTCCCCTTCCTTTCCTCCCCTTCTGTCTTCTCCTTTTCCTCCTCCTTCTCCCCTTCTTTCTTCCTCCCCTTCTCCTTTTCTCCTCTCCTCCTCTTTTCGTCCTTTCCTCCACCCCCTCGCCTCTTCTTCTCTTCCTCCTTTCGCCTTCCTTTCCTCCTTCCTCCTCCCCTTCTGCCTCTTCCTCCTCTCTCCTTCTCCTTTTCCTCCTTTTCTCCTCTCATTCTCTTTCTCCTCCTTTCCCCCCCCCATCCCCAAGCAGATTTGCTCTCTGGTGCAGGAGCAAAGAACCTGCACGCCTCAAATTATTATTATTCATTCCTCCCCCTGCCTGTAGCTTTCTCCAGAAGGTCTAGGGCACTTAGTTCAGCAGCCTTAGGCAAAGGGAGATTTTCCCACCTCCCCTGCCCCTTCCACTTCCTTTCCGCTTCCTTTCGGATCCAACCGTTCTCCTTCCCCTGGGAAGAAAGGAGTGGAGGAAGCGTTTCCTGCTTTTCCCATAACTTAATTTTTAACACTACTAGAGAAGAGTAAAATGTGTTCTTTAATCTCCTGCCCCTTCCTTCTTTTTCTTTCTTAAGCCTATGCTGGAGCCATGTCGTCTCCCTCTTGGCCTGGTTATGGTGGCTGAGCCATCACTTGCTTTCTCTCTTGTTTTCCCCCCATAAATAGGGAGCTGGGGTTCTCTTCCTCCCCTCCACCCACCTTGCAAGGGCCCTTCATGTCGGTATCTTCCTCCATTCTGCAAAAACGTGCTCCTTCTAAGAGACTGGGCCAGTAAGGGTGGGGGGGGGGATCTATCCGCTGTCGGTGGGAACGAGCTGTTTCTAATCCAGACTTTATCAGCAAGCAGTCCCAGCTCTCCCTTGTGCTCTGAAAACGATTAAACGGAAAAGCCTACTTTAAACCAACATCCCACCCCTTCTTGCGTCTTGTGTGTGCCGGCCTTGATTAGATGCCTCTTAAATGTTGACCTCCACTTTTTTTTCCCTCTATGGAGATCGTCCGCCATTCAGCCCAGGGTTGTCCCAAAAGTGCTTTTTCAAGACTTCCTTGGGTTGTTTTTTTTTTTTCTTTTTCTTTGAAGATGTTTTGCTTCCCCTCCAGGAAGCTTTTTCCGTTCCGCAGACGCGTTCAACCTAATCCAGGGAGGCTGTGTGAATCCAGCCCGTGGGATTATTGTAGCTTTGTTTGGGCTCTGCCAATCCAGGTTTTGATCTGTTTAGGATGTGTTAAACGGGGTTTTGTGTGCTGTGCGGTCCCTCCTTTAAGGGTGCAGCGATAGCCACAGGCAAAGTCACAGCTTATATATGTACAAGTGGTCCTTGACTTACAGCCATTTGTTTTGCAGCCATTCAGCGAGCCTCATAACCATGCGTGGCAAAACAGGTCATAAAATCAGGTGGGACTAGAGATGTAAAATTTCTGGGAATTTCTGGAAAAAAATAGAAATTTTGAAAAAATTGGGGAAAAAAAGTTCAGCGTGGAGTAGTTTTACCAACTGCGTGAAATGCAGTGTGTATAAAAGTATTATGCTTGCAATAAAACAGGTAACCATCCCCCTTTCCCTCAAAAGAGGGGTCTTCAAACTTGGCCCTTTTATGACTTGGAGACTCCCAGAATTCCTCAGCCAGCATGCCTGGCTGAGGGATTCTGGGAGTTGGAGTCCACAAGTCATAAAAGGGCCAAATTTGAAGACCCCTGCTCAAAAGCTACAAAAAAATAACAAGAAACCATCAACCTCAGAAATCTTTCATTAAGGTCTTTGTGCTATATAGTTTGAATACCATGTCATAGATATATTATTTATCTTTGGAAAAGAACATATTCCACGCTTCTTTTTTTCTCAATTTTTCTGGAAAAAAACAGGAAAAAAATCAGAGTTTTTTCCAGGTCTTCCCATCTTTAGGTGTGACTGACGTAACCACCATTGCTTAGCAACAGAAACTGTGATCCTAATTGGTATAAATCAAGGGCTACCGGTACAGCACATTAGAAGTAGCATCCTTATCCTCCTGTTAAATTTGCTGATCTTCAGTTTGTGGGATATAAATTACATTAAAACGCTCAGACATCATACCAGTTTTATTAGCACGACACATGACCTCTTCCAACTTTAATAAGCCCACCAAACGGTGCCAACAGGTGAAGGGCAAGGCATCCCTCTAAACCACCATTCAGGGCCAACTGTAACAATCAAGCTTTGGAAGTTTTTCCAAGAGGCCAGCCTTCCCCAACCTCCTTTCTGCCTCTAAGTCAGGGGTCTTCAAACTTGGCCCTTTTGTGACTGGTGGACTTCAACTCCCAGAATTCCTCAACCAGGGATGCCTGGCTGGGGAATTCTGGGAGTTGAAGTCCACAAGTCACAAAACGGCCAACTTTGAAGACCCCTTGACTCGTGGACTTCAACGCCCAGAATTCCTCAGCCAGGCACGCTGTCTGAGGAATTCTGGGAGTTGAAGTCCAATAGTCACAAAAGGGCCAAGTTTGAAGACCCTTGCTCTATGTCTATGGTTGCAAAAGCGGCTAGAAAGGAGGAGGGGAGCGATACGCGCCTGTGCGGCCTGCGTTCCGACCTTCCCCCGCGCGGCGCGCTCTCCGGAAGTCCCTCACCGCGCCTGCGCGCTACCTGCCGCACATGCGCATCGGGCGATTTGGAGCGACGCCTCCTTCGTGCGAGAGGGGGGAGGAGAAAGGCGGCGGTTGCGGCGGCCAAAGACTCTCAGAGGCGCCTCTCCAGCCTTCCGCTCGAGCGCTCGTGTGGCAGGCAGCCGTTCTCCGAGGTGCCCGCCAACGGGGCTCCCTTCATGGCCGACGGCGGGAAAGGCGGATACAGCGGTGAGTGGGGGGGCGGGGAAGGGCTTCCCAGAGCGTCCCCGGCCAGCCCGGCCTACCTCGCAGGGTCGTTGTGCATGGGAAGGAAAGGCACCTCGGGGAAGCGGGAGGGGTCGTTGCCTGGGAAGGGGCTGATGGGGGAGGGGCTCGAGCCCTCCCCTCCCCCTCCCCGAGAAGCGCCACGTGGGGGGTTCTCTTTCTCTGCCCGGCCTACCTTGCGGGGTTGCTGTGATGGGGAAAACAAAAAAAGGGGAAACCCCCGAGTTTGGAGGCATCCTAAGGAAAAACGGTGTGTGTGTGTGTGTTTTTGTGTGAATCTAATCCTTAAGAAGGGTCTCCCTTTGAATTATTACAATTGAAACATGGGGTTGGGTGCAATAGATTTGTGTGTGTCTCTGTGTGTGTGTGTGTGTGTGTGTAAACCTAATCTTTAAGGGTCTCCCTTTGAATTATTACAATTGAAACATGGGGTTGGGTGCAATAGATTTGTGTCTGTGTCTGTGTGTGTGTAAATGTAATCCTTAAGGGTCTCCCTTTGAAATATTACAACTGAAACATGGAGTCGGATGCAGTAGATTTGTGGGCACCGACAGCGTGCTGTCTGCAGACAGTCATTGCCTTACAACCGTTCGTTTAGTGACGGTTTGAAAGTTACAACGGCACTGGAAAAAAGACTTCCTTGTTAAGTTAGCCACACCATTGTTAAGTGAATCTGACTTTCCCCATTGTCGGATGGTCACAGAAGGGGAATCACGTGATGCCCCCCGGGACGCTGCGACCGTCATAAAGATGAGTCAGTTACCTAAGTGTCTGAATCTTCGTCACGTGACCGTGGGGCAAACGCTGCAATGGCCGTAACTGTCAAAAACGGTCCTAAGCCACTTTTGCTGGTGCCGTTGTAACTTTGAACAGCCACTAAGCGGACTGTTGTAAGTTGAGGACTAGCTGTGTGTGTAATTCAGTGAACTCTGGTCCGTTTTGGAGCCTTAACTCAGAGGTCCCCAGCCTTTTGGGCATCAGGGACTGGTTACACGAATAGAGGTTTTTCCACGGACCGGAGGGTGTATGGTTTTGTGTGTTGCCTGCCTCCCACGGATGGGGCTTTGCTTGCTTGTGCGGACCGGTTGCTGGCATGCCGCAGCCTGGTATCGGTCCACAGACCGGGGATTGGCAACCCCTGATTTAGGACACTGTTGGAAGGCATGAACCATTTTGAAGGGCATTCACAATCCCCAAATGCAGACTGGCCTGCATTCCCAACCCTATGGGCCAGGAATAACAGAATAACACCGTTGGAAGGGACCTTGGAGGTCATCCATCCAACCCTCTGCTCAAGGCAGGAGACCTTAAACCAGAGGTCCCCAACCTTTTGGCCATCAAAAATTCCGTGGAGAGTGGTTTTTCCGCGGACCGGTGTGTGTCTGTGCTTTTGTGTGCTGGCTGCATCCCGCAGATGGGGCTTTGCTTGTTTGTGCGGACCGGTTGCTGACATGCCGCAGCCCGGACTGGGTTGGGGACCCCTGCCTTAACTGACCCAATCCTCGTTTCTCCAAACCGATGTTCCTCAACCTTAGCAACAAGCCAGCTGG